GTATTCTAGTTAGATTTACCTTTTAAGCAAGGAAGAAGCGTAAAGACGGTCTTAAAGTCGTTTTAAGACATCTTAAAGTAAAAAATAAGGGTATTATAATAGTACGGGATAGACTTATAGTCGTACCTCGATTATAAGCGTTTCTCCGAGGCTATAGCTTTAGAGGCGTATCTATATATTAGATAACTTACTTTCGCTACTACTTATATATACTATTAGAAAAAAAAGGTATTAAAAGGAAGGTATTAATAAGTAAATAGTACTAAATGTTACGACCCGTTGGACATGGTCGCCAACACGACCCCGCCTGGATCCCGGCGGCTAACGCAGGGCATATGTAACCCAGCCGACAGGTGTAACCAGGGATCCTCGGAACGGAAGAACTATGGACAAGTCACGTGGCCTCGGGGATAACGCGGGGTAGGGACAACCCGGGCTGGATATGTTGGATATGTCAGATATCCAACCGATCCCCGGATATGTTGGATATGTCAAATATCCAACCGATCCCCGGATATGTTGGATATGTCAAATATCCAACATAGCCAAGATAAGGAGGACCGTTCAGGACTTGTATATAGGATGGACTCGAGCCGGGCTCGAGGACAGACTTCCATAGCTCTTCAGCAATCAACTTTGTGATTACCCTAACCGGTACTTTCAGCTATACCTAAGTGACGACTACTCTACGACTCTTGTTGAGGCCTTGACTGATCACCAAGACCTTTGAAGATCTACGATTCAATCGACCAGACCCCAGAACGACTGTTACTGTTGTCAATCCCTGGCTTACTGTTAACACAAACCCACTGTCAGTTAGCTGGCCGTAACACTAAAGAAGTATAAATATTATATAAGAAGGAGAATCTTATATAAGAATATAAGAAATAAGTAGAATTATAAGATCTAACTATAGAAATATAGTAAATCGAAAGGAAGAATAAATACTTATAAAAGATATAAGAAACTAATAAGCTAGTTTAAAAAACCGAAGCTAAAATAGTTAAATTCTTATAAAAACAAGGAAATCGAAGTAAAAGTATAGTTATAACTAAAAAGTCTATTATTATAATAGAATTCCGTAGTATTTATAAAAACTAGTAGGTTATAGTAGTCGGTCGCGTGCTATGTAATATTCGTGCGCGCTAGGTAGCTAATATCGCGTCAGAAAGTAAAATTCGTTAGCGAAGAGGAAAGAAAGCGAGAAAATCGCATAGAAAGGTAAATAAAGCGAATAAAATCGCAAAAATTCGTGAATTAATAGAAAATTGATAGACAAGTAAAATAATAGGTAAAACGACGTTATTCCGAAAGAATAACGCTAGGCTCATAACCTATAGGCGAAACCAGCACAGAACGCTCAGAATGGGAAAAGTGGTGTTGTTGGTTGGAAGAACTAACTAACTGGCTAGAGGGCTGTGGAGGCTGGCTAAGACCAGTGGTGGCGGCCGTCAGCCCACGTGACGGGCCGGCGAGGCCTGCCACCCACAGAAGATGTCGAGGAAGACTTGTTTTTTTTTACAGCAGGGTGAAGAACTAGAAAGTAGTGTCACATGCGAAACTAGGGGTGAGAGGCTTGTGCTACGGACGACACTACTAAAGAATGAGGAGATTAGGGAACAAATGAGATTAAGGAGGTAATAGATGTTACGACCCGTAAACAAGGATAACAGCTGAACGACCCACTTGGGCGTCGGGCGGCTAGAACAGGACATTTGTACTGCAGGTTGATTGATTGATTGATTGATTTATTCCTACTCGGTTATGAAGCCGCTCTTATGCCAGCAGCTATGCCCGGAAAGCGGGGTTTGGCAGGTAGCCGAAGCGTCGACAATGAACAGCGACGCCCCACTTCGCCCTGATGTTGCATCAGGGCCAGCTATCCCCAAGCTCCCCACTATGTTCTCTATTCTGTGTGTTTGTGCCCTCTGTTGAAGAAGTGTGTTGCTCTCCTGTCTGCTTTCTCGCTTTTGTGTTGCTCTCTAGAATGCTTGTTTTGCGTCCTCCTGCTTCGGTTCAGTTGGTGCTGGTAGCACCGTATCTGGTTCTTTGTACCTACAGTCTCCCCCCAGCGCTCAGCTTTGTCTCTTTGTTTTGTCCGTATCCTCCCGGACTTGTATGTGCCGTTTTCTCAGTTGCATCTGTAAATTCTTTGTTGCCTCCTGCCGGGTTCCTATGTGGCCTCTTGTTTCTTGCCTGTTGACCACTATTGCCCTCCACCACATTGGCCCAAGGGTCTTCCACGAAGCACAATGCTCCTTAGTGCTTCGTGTAGCGGCTTGTGGCTCGCCTGTGGTGGTGGTAACAGTGTTGTCTATTGATATGTCGTATTTTGCGGCTTGCTCTCAAGTTTTTCATTGTAGTCGGGGCGTGCTCTGCGGCCATCTTGGGCCCCTTTGGGACGTAGAATCAAGGCCGAGGATGGCATTGCATCGAAGGGGGCTCTGTGGCCGCGAGCACGCGTATTTGGGGCCGTTTTTGCTCCGATTTTCAAAAATTTCGTTCTCGCTGTTGTTGATGTTTTTCTTTGTACTGCAGGATCACGGGAACAACAGGGACTCACTCGGGAACGGAAGAACTATGGTGCAAGTCACGTGACGATAAGATAAGAGATTAGATCCGTACGCCAAGAATACGGAGTCCGTCCTTGGCACATACGGGATCCGTATGAACGAGGAACGGACCCCGTCAGGATCAGGAACGGTAAAACAAACAAAGGGTACTGTTCGGACTTGTATATAGTATGACCTGAGCTCGACTCATAGTCAGACTTCCATAGCTCTTCAGCAATCAACTTTGTATTTATCCTCAGGATACTTTCAGCTTACCTTCACTGCGAATACTTGTTGAGCCTAAGATTGATCACCTTAGCCTCTGACTACCGATCTACGACACAGCCTACGACCTACGAACCAGACTTACGACACGACAATACTGTTTACTAGCGTCAATCCCCAACTTCTGTTAGCAGACCCTACTGTCGGATAGCTGACCGTAACAATAGAGAGGGGTAAGGAGCCACTACCCAAGTATTGGTTCGACTGGAGTTATAAATGCTGGTCTTCAACCTAACAGATGGTTGAGAGACCGGAAATGAAGGACGTTGCCCTTGGAAACCCCATTTTCTGGACCCCTTCACTCTGTGCTATAAAACCCTCTGACAAGTACCGGTAGCTTGACCTGTGGCATCGAATGAATGTGCCTCTTCTTGTCGGTGGTGTGATTAGCTACTCTTTTACCAATTGACATAGAAGCATATAGGCTTCATTTCGTTTCATTCCTAGGTCTTTCTGTGGCGTAGGAGAAGAATTCAAATTCGTTGTTGGTCTAAGTAGGCACCGTAACTGAGACATCTCCCTTCCAGGCTGTACCAATCACAATTTCTCTTCCGCCACATCCACTTTATGCGCGGTGAATAATCAAATTATCTGTTCATTGTTTCCAATGATCTGGAATTGAAACAAGAAGTCTGAAATTAACCAGCATGCCCATCAACGCTCGAAAAATGCCGAACCCTCACGTGATGCCACATAGCTCGTTGCTTTGGTTTCTTTTCAAAACTCACAAGCCCTTGTTCCATTTTTGGAGTCGACGTTTGGTTTTGACTATCCTTAGAAGAATGGTAGCTATTATTCCTCACGTCTCAGTTATGAGGATTATTACAATCTTTAACACTCTTCTGAGCGGCGCCACGGCTGCCCATGCAGCTCGACCAGCAGACAACTACTTAGTGGTGCTTTCTTTAAGGTATTTGACATACCTGTCAACATATCTAGAGTCGGTACCAACCGTGACTGTTGCACCAGTTCCAGGCGCCAATTTCTTAAGACGGGCGGGTTTTGTACCCACAGCACGGTCGACAGGCGCCGAAACTCTGCCCGTTGCAACTACGTCTGGTTTACCTTGGCTACCGCCATCTAGCCTTGTCTCCAGCTTAGATACATTAACTCTGGCAGAGATTGTTGGTACCACTACTGCACCGCCGCCTGGCACAAGCTTTAGCATCATTCCTTCAACATCACCAAGTCCTTCTAGCCCTCCTGACCACCAGTCCGGGGGACAACATGTCATCTTCTTTGTTTCTCCCGCAATTATAAGTTCCGCAAAAAGACGCGTAAGAAAGAGAGCTCTCGGCGGCTTTCTAGGTCACGGCGGCAGCGCAACTCCTACCGCTTGCAACCTCGCCCACATATTTACGCTCTCTTCAGGACAACTGTTCGATGGCAACGTGCCTATCTACTACTTTCCTGGAGATACCTTCAAACCATTCGGCGGTTCCGGAGCACCGCCAACCGAAGCCACAACAACTACTTTTACTAACAGCGGTGGGGCACTACACTTTGCAAGTTCTGCGATTCCCAACGGCCAGGCGGGCTTCTGCCAAGATTTTGTCACTGGAGTTGTATACATCACATTTTCGCTTAGCCCTCCTAATTGTGCGAGAGTTAAACTCATTAGTTACAGGGGTAATCATTTCGGTACTGCAATTGAACGGACAAAAGCAGAGACTAATCTTGAGAACAGCCGAGCAATGTCAGAGCGGCCAAATCGTTGAGGACGTCACCAGTGTTCAGTCAAAACATCCCCCAGCGACATCTGAGCATTCCCAAGCCACGCAGCCAGCTGCTACTTCAGAGATTCAGACTCAGCTCTCCCCGAAAAACGCCACGTCTCTATTGATTATAAGCCGTGGGCAGCTTAAGTTTCCGGCCTTCTGGCCTGCTGGCACGTTTGCAACAAGTCCAGCCTATCCACTGCAGCATGTATAGCCACAAACAGCATCATGTAGTTACTGGTTATGTTCCTCCACTTCAGAGAAGTTATCACTACATAGCCGATCAGTGCACATGTTTCACGTCCGTTTATAAAGCCTTATGCTACGAAACCATATGAAAACTAAAGCGGCAACTAGGCTTTCTCCGCAGGTAGTCACAACTTGATATCTTTATTCAAGAGAATTTCAAGCCGCACACAGTTGAAACCCCCATCTACAGATATTCTTAGTCTGAATCCTCCCCTTCTGACTCCGAAGTCTCCCACTCATCTCCGTCATGAGAAACAGCGGGTTCCGAATTAGCCGAGACTTCAACACGAGGGACGGCAGGTGGTCTGCAGAGAAAGCACCAGCTAGCGGGCGCTGCTGGCCCTTCACAATTCCGAATAGGGCATTGGGTGTCTTGAGCCGTAAAGCGCCTCCACATCGAAGAGGTGCCGTCGTTGCTTCGCCAAGGTTTACCCTTCAAATTTGGGTCACTAAAGTTCCATACAACATAGCCATCTTGGGAGAGAGCAACAATAAAGTCCTTATCCATCTCGATGCTGTCGATGGAACGACAGGTTCTGATCACGTCCTTGTCGTAGCCTCCCATGACCAAAACTCGTGAGTCGTCCGTGGCGCAGATGACGTTGTCGCTTCTGAGCCGCAAACTCCACCATAACTCTGAATCTTCCGGGGTAGAATTGATAACGCGGCCTTGTAGATAGTAGAGCTGATTATGCCAAGGAATCCCACCGCACTCCTCTGGTTTATTTGCTTCCATGTTCCAGAGCGGCCTGCGCATGCCTTTGGAAAGATCATGATAGGTTTGCGAGAATCTTTCCTTCACCACATTAAAGTTGATTAGCCAAACTAAGTAGTCCTTGGTGGCGGGACTGTCCGTGTAATACGTGAACAAATTGTACAGCCCATAAGGATTCATGGGACGACAGCGAAAGTCACAATCTATGTCTCTCAGGGGATTTGGGACCTCTAGGCGGAAAGATTGGGTGTGCTTCAGGTCGTCGAATTTGTGCACTGTAATCACAAAACACTTTTCGAGTGGTTCGGTTTGATTATTGTATCCAGTTGACTCCATATTACTCTCAAAGATTTCTTGTAAATGGTGTTAGTCATATAGAACCTGCACCAAGAAGCGAAGGTGAAGAAAGGATGAGAGCTTACTTGGTCCACCCAAGATGGAGACAGAGTACAGCAGGTTAGTTTGCGTGGGATGGAAAATAAAACCATAGGCAGGGTTTAGGAGGCCACCTTTCTCCGAACGTTCGAAAGCAAAGGTCACTCCGTCTGATGCCTTGGGTATGCTGGGGAGCTTTAGTTTCGCAAGGCCGCGACCCCAACGCCAAACATGCGGTACATTAGTGAAGGGGGAGGTGGAAAATTGCACAGCAATCGTCTCTTTATGGGCAAAAATAAATTTTGCACGATTTGGGAGCGTGACATTGCGGTATTCTTGTAATTCCAGATGATAGACAATCCTGGTAAAGTTAGCGTAGCTCATAAAGTGAAAACGGCTTGCTATGATGATCAGCAATAGTACTTACAGATTTCGTTCAGTAACGCTATCCACTAATACGACCAGTTTCTCCGTCATGGTACAAATAGCAAAGTCCACCTCTCCCTTCAGGACTAGGTCTGGGGGTGAAATGTGGGTTCTTGTCATGGCCCGTAGATCGTCGACGAAAACGCCGTAGACTTCGGCCTGCCAAGCAACTCTCCCATTTGAATACGCGTAGTTCCTTGGGGCTACCGTGGATGGACGGCGCATAGCACTGAGAGGCCGCATGCCACGTCCACGCGTGCCCTCTCTGTATTTGATGTAGCTATCATCAAGGGTGAAACAGGAACGTTCGTGGATGGCAAGCAAACCTGTGTTGACTGCAAGAGACGAAATGAAGTTTCCTTCGGTGAGGCGCATCAAATTGCTAGTGATATCGACAAAGAGCGGCCACGACAACTGTTGCGAGGGCATTTCAGAAGATGATCCGAGGAGCAAATGCGAAGAACCAGGGAAATGTATCTCGAGCAGCTCATTAATGACAAAGTCGTCGGTCATGGAGCTCCTCCAGTCCTTCGAGACATGTGAACAAGCGATAGCGTCTCTTGCCGAAATCTGACGAGCTATCATGACGATGACCTCTCGGGGTAGATTCGACAGACTTGCGAGGACTGGGTGTTTGTCCCGGACTACGTTTCTTAAGTATGTCAGCTCCCATGGTGATAGACTATCCACTAGGTTCTTCAGGTTTTCTTGTCGCAGCAGCACATCGGGGGCTCCATCGCTGGGCTTGAGGAGGAGTGAAAACTGTTCTGCTAGCAGACGCGGCGACATAGACGCATCAGATGCGTTGGCAGTCCGTTCATCCGACATTTTGGCAATGGAATTTCATGCATGATTCTATTCCAAAACCGAAGGTGTCGAGTACGAGTTGTGGAAAGGCTTTCTGTTTTTCCTCTTTTGAACGCAGCGTTGTATATGGGAAGAGAATACAGTACCAAAAGTATCATTCACTGTTGCTGTTACCAGTGAACAGTGACATGCCAGCACAGACCGATGCTCATGATCCTTAGTACGGTAGTACGTAGTCAGATAAGCAAGGAAAGCCTGCGTTGAATCTTTATCGGAGCCCGGACACAAAATCTCCGGGCTTCCGATCTCGCTAAGCGGATCGGCCAAACAGGCAACGCTAAGCCCCGCGTTCCAGCTTTCAGCACGCTCCAGCGCTACAGACGCCTAACAGTCGGCTCGGTCCACCATACTTGGTGGCATATTTGGCGGTGTTTGTGGCGCCCACGGCGTGTGCTGTGTCATGTTGCCGGGCAGATGGTAGCAAAACGGCCTAGGAGCCCCACCAAGGTGCCGAGCACGACATCATTAGGTGATGGATATGACCTGCTGACGTGCGAACCCGAGACTCTGACTCCGACGCGAGTAGTGTGCATCTCAGTGCTTCGGTACCTGTCTTCACCCTCCATCTCGGCTCTTCCCCAGTGGCCACTCCTCTCCGAGCTTTCTCCTTCCCTCTTCGGCTGGGTGTCTTCTCCACGTCATATTGTTTCCCTCTCTCTCTCCCTCTCTCCTCTCTGGTGATCCTTTCTGTCCCCGTCTTTCTGTAACGCTGCTTAACGTCTGTTTTGGTCCTGATTCCATCTGCTTTCTGGGGGATCATGAGCGGCGACCATCGTCTTTCCTCTGTTTAATCCGCTGCTCGCTCCTCATACTTCCCGACCGCCGAACCCGGCATATTCCCAATCGCAATCCCTCCGTTTGTCAATAACTCAATATTAAAAGAGCCCGAAAGCTTGAATCCATCATCATGGCGCGAGCCCCAAGCACGCCGACCCCGTCCGATGACCGGACGATCGTCGCAGCGTCCCACGGAGACTACGACGACGATGGTTCCTCAACCATTAGCCGACTGAGCTCGCGATCCTCTCTCGACCTCCACCGAACTTCCTCGAGCCGCAAGCACCGAAGCCGCCGCGCGGCCAATACCTGGCGAGCCATCTCCTTTGTCGCCGCCCTTGTCTCTGCCCTCTGCGCAGGGTCTATTACCGTATTCTCCATGTACGGCCACATCTTCCAGGAGCGCCTGCATTATACCCAGTTCCAGGTGAACGGTCTCGCCATCAGCAGCTCCGTCGCCCTCTACCTGCCGGTGTCTTTTCTCGGCTACATCTGCGATCGCATCGGCACACCGCCCCTGTCGCTCCTGGCGGCCATCCTGTTCAGTGGAGGTTACGGACTGGCCGCCGGGACATACCGTCAACTCGAGAATGAGAACCTTGGAGGTCTGCGCGACATGGCTGGCCGGCGCGTCGCGGGCGGCGCGGACTGGACATACCCGCTAATGATTTTCGCCTTTGTCTGCGTCGGCGTCGGTACTTGCTCCATGTACCTGGCCGCTGTCGCGACTTGCGCGAAGAACTTTGGTAAGGGGAAACACCGTGGTCTGGCTTTGGCTGTACCCATTGCCGCGTTCGGATTGAGCGGCATGTGGCTCAGCCAGCTCGGAAGCCGCGTGTTCTACGAGAGATTGCAGGACGGCTCAGCCGGAGACCTGGACGTCTTCCACTTCTTCATCTTCCTCGCAATCCTCCTGCTGGCGGTTGGTGTAATTGGAACCTTCACGCTGAAGGTGGTTGACGAAGAGGAGATCATCGATGAAGCTGTCGAGGAGCTCGAGAGGAGCGGCCTCCTGGAGCGGAGCACTTCGTTCCTCAGTGCGCGCGGTGGTGATCGGGGCAGGGGATACGGTGCTATTGGGCAGATTGACGACGAGGAGGATGTCGGACCGGCCGAGGACGATGCCAAGTTGAAGAAGAAACTCGTCCTCAACGCCGAGACGAGAAGTTTCCTGACCGACCGGACCATGTGGTTCTTCGCCTTGGGTTTCCTGCTCATGATCGGACCGGGCGAGGCCTTCATCAACAACCTCGGCACCGTCATCGGAACTCTGTACCCCCCAACCATGCATTACGTCGGACCCCCGACATCGGCCGCCACCCACGTGTCAATCGTGGGTATCACCAGCACCGTCGCACGTCTGGCGACAGGTACCCTGACGGATCTGCTGGCGCCATCGCCGCAGACACAGCATCTGCAGGTGACGTCGAACCCGCCTTTCATCCGCGGCAGACTCACCATTTCCCGCGTCGCGTTCCTCCTCTTCTTCGCCATCATCCTGTCTCTTGGCCTCGTCGCCCTGGCATCGGGCTTCATCCAAGAGCACGGCGAGAGGTTCTGGATCGTGTCCGGCCTGATCGGCTCCGGATACGGAGCCGTCTTCAGTCTCACGCCCATCATAATCACAGTCATTTGGGGCGTCGAGAACTTCGCGACCAACTGGGGCATCGTGGCCATGTTCCCTGCCCTGGGCTCGACCTTTTGGGGCATCGTCTACTCGGCCATTTACCAATCCGGCGCGACAAAATCCCCTTCGCCTGGACAGGGCGGAGACGTCTTCTGCTACGGCAAGCAGTGCTACGCGCCGACATTCTGGGCCATGGCCGTCACCGTATGGGCGGCGTGCGGAATGGTGTTGTATGCCTGGAAGGGCAAGAATGGATGGGCCCAGCGTGGCATTGTAATCTAGATTTTTCATTTGGTTCTATGCATCATTATCGCACACGCACAGACACACACACACATATATACTACATAAGATATATGCATGTACATCGGAGTTTTTGGGAACGGACAGGAACGGTCTTTCTCTTTTTTGGGTAGGGGCGCGCATGATATCTTGCGCCATGATTTTCATTGGGTATATAATCGCATAAAGTCATGAGAACACTTTTCTGGCTAGTCCTGTTTTGCCTTTCTTGTGATCTGTGTGTTGGGCTTTCCTTTTTTTTTTTTTAATTCTTTCCATCTAATGTGCCCAGTGCCCAGTCTCATCTTTTAAACCCTTTCGACTGATATGCTCCTATAACATCATCAAAGCGAGGAGGGTGGCGAAAGCTATTACCAGTCTCGTCACGGCGGGTATACTAGTACTCCTCGTCGCATCCGAGCTCTGCTTGTCCAACTCGCTCATGGTCTTCATGCAGATCCACTGCGAATACAGCAACTTGTCGAACAGGACGCTCATGACGGGCGTGTAGCCGTTGAGGCCGCCGGTGGGCCTCGTCGAGCCGCCCTCCTCGTCTAGGATCAACTCGACGTCGGTCAGCTTCAACAGGTCGTACGACGACGGCAAGGTCGGATGGCACCCGTTGTTGATGCCGGCGTCCTGCGCCAGGGCGGTCGGGGCGTCGGGCCCGATGATCTCGGCGCCCGTGATGTTCACGGCGCCGGCAATCAGGTTGCAGTGGAAGTTCTTGTCCGTGCGCGTGCGCTCCTCGAGGTACATTGCGATGTCCTGGCACCGCGGCAGCGTCTTCTCCTTGGCGTGCTCGGCGCGGAAGTCGTCGACGTAGCCCGTGATCTCGTCCATGCAGCTCTGCTGCAGCCACGGGGAGCAGTCGGTGGTCTCGAAGTCCTCGACCTCGTGGGCTATGGGCAGCGTCTGGAAGAGGTGCTGGAAGATGAGGGCGCAGCCCTTTGGGTACTCCCGGCTCGACAGGTTGAGGCCGGAGGGGGCGCCGAGGTAGTAGGATTGGGTGTAGACCTGCTTCTTCATCCAGTTGGAAGAAGTCTGGGAGGAAGGGGCGCCATGCAGGGTGGCGACTGTGAGGGAGAGCTTGCGGATGTCGGTGATGTTGTTGTTGTCGATGGGGATGTCGAGGACCTCCGGGGCGATGCCGACGCGGCGGATGACGGAGCCGCCGACGGTGCAGTTGGACTCGCCGACAAAGTCATGGACCTCGCCGGCCGGACAAGAGACATCGGCACAACCTCTAAGGGCGACCTCGGTGAGTATGGGGACGGTTGCGAAGGCGGGCCCAGTAAGGAGGGACCCCATGAGGGGGAATAGTCTCATTATCCTCTCGGTCTTTTTCCCCCCCTCTTGACGCGTAACACAATCTCTCTGTTTCAGAAAGAATTGTGGAAATACAAGCAGAGGCCAAGACGCCCGAGCAACAAGGCCAAGGGCGAAATAGCCGGAACGGGGAAAAGTGTAAGTAATTGTCGGGCTGGATTGGATGAGTCTCACGGCGCCGGTGCTGGGGTTCCCGGAAGTACGGCAAAGAGGACGAGAAAAAAAGGCTCGTCGCGCAGCTGAGCGGCGCCGCGGCGGTGGGGATTTCTTGTCCTTTTTTTGCTGCTGTTGGGGGAGGGGTTGGATTTTTGGTGCGTTTTACAGGAAGCGCTCTCACTCGAGGCTTTGCAGACGAGCGGATCCAACCATGGGACTGGGATCTGAAGGCTTCCCTATCCTTTTTCTTGTCCCTTCTTTTTTTTGGCTTCCTCTTTTCTCTTCGGTTTAACAAGGGGATGGGTTAGCCAGCAATATCGCGGCTGGCTTCATTGTAGAAGAGAGAACAAAATGAGAGGATGTGCGTGGAAAACTTGGCTAAATGAGGGGTGCAAGAGAAGGAGTCGAAAGAGACAGGAACGGAACGGGCACATCGGAGGGGGGGCACAGTTTCTTGCCGGATTACATCAAACGAGCAAAATAGTGAACTTGAAGAGGGTCGCGTGGTGCGAGGTGATAGGTGCTAGAATGGTGACTGTTCTTGGCATTTTGGCTTGGCGCTCTCACCGATCCTTCAATCATTGATTAGGTAAGGCTGCTGAGCCTGCTGAGCTTGCTTCTGGCGGATCCTTTAGTGGGTTAGAGTGTTATAACTTGTGGGGGAGAGAGCTAGGAATGTTGCTGATTCCGAGGAGAATCAGGAGAAGTAGTGTAGATGGGACGATAGCTTAATGTGTTTGGGCATAAACAGGGTGGGTTGAAGCATGTATATAAAAACATATCTTAGATGGTACCGAGTAGCTAGATAAGATGTTTGTCCATATGAAAAAAGAGAGTTTGGATAAATGCCATGTATTGGATTGGAGCATCTGTACGTTATTCAGCAGGTTATGAATGGATAGATGACTAAGCACAGTTATGCTATAGTCAACCAATCAAAAGAGGGATTCCCTCCAAGTCTTACTAGTACCCCACTTATGAATTATACACTCACAAGGCACTATTGCATCCCCCAATCGTTCCTTCCCTACCACCTACCTACCTCGTCACCTCATTCATTGAAACAATCAAGCCTCACCTCCTCACCTCCTCAAGATACTCTCCAAGCAAACCATCACATCATTTTCGTGCTCCGCCAACATGGTTCTAGAATTGCCCAATCCGCCATCCGTCATCCGGCAACACACCCGACATTCAACTGGTTGCACCTGACGCCAGTCTGCAGCATGAAACTCGCAGAGGACCCCAATGCTGAGGCTGTGTACTCTAACGACTGGTTACCCTGCAGCACTGTCAGCTCGCCAGCCAATCGATGCTTTCTCAAATGTACAAGCCACACGCCATTCCTCCGGGCAAGTCCGCTGAACTTCGCCATTGCGTACTAGTTGCTGTGTTCCTGGCCCTCGCCGATACCGAAATCTCGAAAATGTGGTCATTGTTCGGTTGCCTTGTGTCGGTCGCTTCAAGGAAACAATATGCAACTCTTCCTCGGCTCCCTCCCATGAGCCCCTTACCTCATATCCAGGATGCGTTGGCCAGGCCTCTTAAAAGGCCGTTTTTCTACCGGCTTAGATTAGAAATGTGGCAAATGCTCCCACACCCAGGACCCTAAACCGACCGACCACCTTTCGACACGAGACAAGGCCAGACGATAGCAGACCCCCAAAGCTTCTAAAGCTGTAGTGCCACGCCAGGATATCAAGTACACCGGCATGAACGGCGCACCTACCTCCGACGATGGACCCAGCATTCGCCCAATCCCATTCTGCACTCCCCCACACGCTACCGGCGGTCCCACCGACGAGATGCCGTTGAAGGACCTCCTCATGGCCGCCATGTGCCCGGCCATTCCCCTTGGCGCCGATGAACCCCCATTTTTTCTCCCAATCGACCAGCTCCACCGACTCGTGACGCCGGACTCGGCTCTCCGGACCCTACAGAAATGTATGCCCGGAACCCCGGACTCTATACGCAACATTTTTGCCTCTGCCATTTTTAGCGAAAGTCGTGAATTCCGCAAGATTTTCGCCATCTTGGTCCTGATCGACAGACCTGATGCCATCATCAAGTTTATGGAACTCTCCATCAGCGACAATAACTTGCCTCTGGAGCCGACTACCAACTCCCTCGGAGAGCAAACCACTATCGTCAAGTCCAAGACGACGCCTTCCTGCTTCGATTTATCGCTTGCCGGGCTCAATTGGTACGACATTTCTGCCTTTGAGGACGTCCAATGGAAGCTTCTTGCGCCTACTTTTGACCAATTAAACGTTGACGGTGCACCATACCGTTTCCATCCCAAGACCATCTTGCCCTTTGTCTGGGACGACGACGCCGAGCCTATCACTCAGGCAGGCGGCCATTCGTTGGTGTATCAAGTCCAGATCCATCCCGGGCACCACACCTTCAACACCTGCAACGTGAGTAATGTCGTCAAATTCTCCATTATAACGCTAATCGCGCGGTTCCTAGAAGGTGGAACCCCGCTTCGCCGTAAAAGAGCTTCATTCGAGCAATGATGATGCTTTTGATCGAGAAGTGGAAGCCCTCACCAGGTTCAACGATTGTGATACCAACCCTCACATCGTCAGCCTCCTCACCGCCTTCAAACGCGGTGAAACCCCCTACCTCGTCTTCCCCTGGGCAGACACCGATCTCCAGTCCTTCTGGAGTCAACCCGGCTTGCCCAAGGATGACCAGGCCATCCTCACCGTCAAGCAAATGCTCGGAGTAGCCGAGGCACTCAAGGCTATACACTACTGCCGAGCAAAGAAGACCGTCAAGAACCCCAAGCCTAGCCTCACCCGAGCTGTAGCGGAGGAAGGATATCATGCGGATCTTAAACCCGAAAATATCCTTGTCATGGACGGCCAGTGGAAATTGGCAGATTTCGGCCTTTCTCGATTCCGTCATCCGAACGAGTCCAAAGAGGACCGACCTTTGGGATGTTCTCCCACCTACCGCGCGCCCGAACACGATGTTGGCGCGTTCAACGGCCAGAAGGCGGATATCTGGTCTCTCGGGTGTGTAATGAGCGTCGCTGCCACTTGGATGACGCTAGGGAGGAAGGGAGTGCAGAACTTCAGAACTAAGCGTGCTCTTGCGTCTGCCCAGTCGCACGGAAAGGTCGATGACTCTTTTTTCGAAGTTGGCAGGAGACAAGGCAAGCAATCCCAGCTCAAGCTTAACTCTGCAGTCTCTAATGTGAGTCTACATTCGAACGTGCCTACTGGATCTTACTGACTCCAATCAGTGGATCAACAAGCTCCATGAATCTCCGACTGCCAGCCCGCTTATTCACGATCTACTTGACTTAGTGGAGAGCGATATGCTCAAGGTCAACGGTGCCGAGCGCATCACGAGCGACGAGCTCGTTTCAAAGCTGCGTATGATCCATCAGAAGTGTACCGAGGATTTGGCCTACCTCAAGCCGAATCCTCGCCCAGTCAAGCAAAGCCGTATTCCGATCAATACCCATCACGAAAAGCCTGATACGCAAAACCCTCGATCAATCAGCGTCAACATGGTCCGAGTTCCTGGCCATCCCAACCCAATCTACCCGACCCGTCGCACATGGCCCAAGGAGTCCCGGCAGAGTGATAATTGTAACGTCAACACTGACATGGTTAATCCCTCAATGACAAGGTCCTCGACTGTTCCATCGGTATTCCCAGGTCAATCCGCCTTCTATCAACCGGCAAGTAATTACAACCAAGCAGTTGGCAATGAGTTCAACCTAGGCTATGCGACTTCATACACAGAGAGCTTTGCGACAGCACCAACTTACGCCCCAGTCTCGCCTTCTAATAAGAGACAGCCCGGAAACATGTGTCGGGGTCAAGGCCGCACGAAACGGCAAAAACCAAATCCAATGACGACGCCAAGTCCAGCCATGCCACGAGAAGCTAGCGATCTCGGGGACGCCAGCCCCAAAGCTTGTCCAGAGTCTTCATCCAAGGTTCTTTTTGCCTGTCCTTACTTTAAGCATGACCAGCAGAGGTACGGCACCAAGGAGTGGACGTCATGCGGAGGTCGCGGTTGGGAGATTCCGAGGTTAAAGTAAGTTCTTCTAGCAATTCTCGATCACAAATCTGCCAGATAACTAATACTTCTGATAGGGAGCACCTTAGCCGTGTGCACCGCGTCTCGGGTCATCGATGCAACCGCTGTCTGAATATCTGGCCGTCAACGGCTGGGCTGGCCGAGCACCAGCGGTCCCCCGACCAGTGTGAAAACCAACTAGAACAGGTAGACGAGCGCATCGATGATGCTCAGTGGGGCGGGATTCAGGACCGAAAGCGCGGAAAGTCGGGGAGTATCAAGTGGACAGAGATCTATCAAATCATCTTCCCTTCGGAGGTGCCCCCGTCGCCATGTGAGTTTCACCCTAAACATGACGTCTAGAATACCACGCTGACCGTCCTCCCAGACCGGGACGAGCCGATTGTTACGCTCGCCGAATTCCGTAACTTTCTAACTTCTCAACTACAACAGCCACTGAGCGCCCAGGACCTTCTGCGGGTCCAGACTGGTATCAGTTTGGTGGATGAGTTTGAGAAAACGAGCTCCGTACCGCAATTGACCACGGGCTCAGATGTTCCGTCTCGGACCGGAGGACAATCAAACTCCACCACGATGTTGTTTGACACCCCATCGACAAAAGACGAGCAGTCGCCAGTCATTGACTACGCTATTGGAGACCCTGGGCTGAACATGACTTCCTGCTTGCCAGTTGGTCAGCCGGCGGCTTTCCATGACGACTTTTGCCTCTTCCCGTATGGGAGTTCTGGATCGCCCCTTGAAGGGATGAGCCAGGATTGGTGTTCGCAATCGTTCATAGGACAGCCAATTGCGCTTGGGGATTCCCAGATGGGAATGTTCCCTGATGTGCCTATGAGCTTTTCTTTCTCTTAAAAGTGTGGTTTCTTTTTTTTTTCCCCGAGCGTCATGGAGGATGATTTACGAAACGTGTTGAGGACTTAACGATGAATAGATAAGCGATGTGGTAAGAGATATGTATGCATGGACCATGTTTAATAAACGGATGTCTTCTTTCCTTTTCTGTAATCTAGTACACTGTTTTCATCTTTCTCTTGTTTTTTTTTTTTTCTTTTAGTCTCACCCTTAATCATTCAGCAAACAATGATTGGAGAAAACATTTCAGAAATGTAGGGCTACCACGGGTCTCCTGGTGAGACATCAGTCTGATGTCAATCGGACACTAACTAACAAAGAAGTTCTATTGGCTATACAATCATAATATATGAGTGGCTGTACAAAGTGCCTAGATGCTTCGGGGAATTGTTTGCCATGAGTTGAATGCATGTAGGAAACACCAGAGCCCAATGCTAGTAGAATGAAGGGGTATGTTTAGCAATCAATTTGTCGTGGACTTCTGGCAACAACAGTCTGGCCTTAATTTCAACTCCGTTAAAGATACTTCACGAGTCTTTGTTGTCGGCAGGAGTTGAAGGCTTCCTGCCGTATGTAGACCAGCTGGATTTGTCAATTTTTATCCATGGAATTCAGTGCCTTTTTTTACTCACATATTGACGTAAGCGTGGATGTTCCTGTCTCCGATATCCCTGCGAGCTTCCGCAGATAGTGTAAGAACATCTCCTTTTTCGTCCAGCCCAGGCCTCGTGTCAAAGGAGCCTCGATTTACAGTGAAAAGAGGATTGCAGGAGTTGATACATCACGATGCATACATCTCGACAAAATCCAAGAGATACCTGCTTATAAGCCTGGAATAGTAATTAGTGCCTTTCCTTCCGCATCAAGTAGTGAAGCTTCACATGAAAACCATCAATGTCTATCATTGATAAATTCTCGAGTCTTCCTTGGACTACTGCTTCCTCACTCTGTCGTGAGAATGACACCGACCCCTGCCGGTGACTAACCTTTGGATACTGTAGGTTTCACAGGGGGTGAAACAGGGGGTGAAACGGAATTCCGTTCGTCAATAACAAATAACAGTAAATTGGTTCTAATCGATGGTTCATGATTGTTGAAAGTGGTGTTGTTGACTAGAAGGTGGGGATATTCCCCCTTGGCCTGTCACGTGGGTCTGGGAGGCTTGGGCCTCTCAGCCTGGCGGGCGTGTGGCTGGAAGTGCCACACGACTCCGTATTCCAACTATCGCAACACTGGAAACTCTCTTTTTATGGTGTTGAAGCGGTTGGAATACGTTGTCCCTATACAGTTCCGTCTCCTCGTCAATTCGGCCTCCTATCCCTACTTTCTCCCGTAGTTACGGTCTTGTTACCCATCCCTCCATACGTATCGTTATCGTGTTGCTATCAACGAATCTCTCGAGGGCTCGATTTGGTTTGCTCTTCGTGAGGGCATCAGCAGGGTTGTCTTCGCCGTTAATCCAACGAATTTCTTGTAGTTCTCGTCTTTCGTACGATTGTCTCAACGCCATGATATCGATCATGAGTCGCTTTTCTTTGGTAGTGCCCAGCTTCACGAGACACTCGTACAGCGAATAGGAATCGGTACAGACAACTGTCTGAATCGTTGGTAGGTTGAGGTGGTCAGTGATTGTCGCCAGGGTTGTGGCGAGGGCGTAGGCCATATCGACGCCAGCGACCATCCCGTAGATCTCTGACGCTAATACGCTGCGGGTGACTCGTTTACTCTTCGTAGAGCTGTAATGAACGAGGTTACCGTGAATCGTGAATTCTCCGTTGTTGCTGTCAGAGGAAGTGTCGTTGGCTAGGATGATCAGAAACCCTAATTGGGAGGAGAGGTCGTGGTTATTAGCGAACGACCCGTCAACGAAAACGAATAGCTTGGCTGTTGTAAGGTCGAGTGGGATAAACGTTATTCCTCGGTTAGGCGATTCCATTTGCCATCGAATCCGTTGATCCAGTGCTTTTATCGCTTCTGGCGAGGGGTCTTGGTGTTGGGCAGCAGTAGATAAATCGAAACAGGCCTCGGGTTGGCAAATTGACGCGATGTACGCCCCTCTGGCGCGTTGTTCGACATATTGCTGTTTTGGGTTGGGTTTAGTAGTCTCAATACATCGTAACTTCTTGGCTTGTCCCTTTTGCCTCAAATTGATCGAATTGTCGGTTGACAGCGCGACTATCCCTCCGTTGAATTGGAGGGGTTCGTCAATTGTGAGGATATTCTTCGCTTTTGCCGTAAAAGCCGCTTTTTCTAACTGTTCGTCTTCTAATTGTGAGAACGCCTTGTCTGACAAACCGAGGGTATCGTCGGTTTGCATGCCGATACAGCCAAAGTGTGGATTTTCGGTAGATGAGATCAATAGGCATGGATCGTACGAAGAAGTAACCATCTGGAGATTCTCTCTGTGATGCTTGTGATACGTTGCCCACCAGTGGGTTCCAGCTTCTGCGATTCCGTACAGAGGCTTCACAACCTCCATAATGGTCCCTTTTGGGTACTGGTCTTGAATTTGCTTCGGTGGGTAGGCGAGAATAGTACGATTGAGCCTTGTGGAGGATTGAACGTAGGCTTGTGTGATATCTCGAAGCCATAGTTGTTTCCCTTCTCGTAGGAGTGACGGGGTAATTGACAGAATTAGCCGTTGACTCGCCCGCTGAATCGTTGGCGATTGGGTCAATATAGCCTTCTTGCTATCGTCGGCGTAACCCTGTATTACAAGTCTCGATTTCTCGTAGGGTTCGGTTGTTTTACCCTTGACTTCGTTGACGATACGAGATCGGAAGATTCGTACGTTCTGGTGCCTTCTCTTATTGAACTGGGTGAATTTGAACACTCCTCTAGCGATGAGGCTGTTGATCTCTTGTTTAGTTGACTGTTCGAACGGTTCGCCTGGTGTAGTAATAACACCTTCTCGTCGTAGTTTGATTGCCAATTCTTCGTCTGCTTGCTCCTTAATCGATAGGAATATTTGTTGATAATCCGGGTCATCGTTGAATTCCTCTGTGAAGTGGGCGATTGGCAGTGGTCTCTTCCGGGGTCTGCCCGGGCGTCTTCTCGGTGGCTCCGGTGCCTCTTGCGGTTCGTCCGGTTCACTGCCTCCGCCGGCGACGATAATTTCGTCGCGTACTACTTCCTGCTGCGGTATCTCAGCTTCGGGTTCTTCTTCTTCTGGCGCGGCGATGGAATTAGGTGGTTGATCGGGATCTTCGTAGTATGGTTTGACTACGGTAGACCGGAAGGTCTTCGGACCACGTGGCGTATCGACAGTACAGGTTTCGCCGTTTATGGCTGCTAAAGTAAACGGTCCGGTCCAGCCCTTCTTTTCGCGTACATCGTACATATCGCCGCTGTATTTCATATCGTCGGGGTATAGTTTCGCGAATTCTGTTAATTGCTTTCCGATACGGTCTGTTGACTCGTATGGTTGGAAGTCTGTTAACGGAGAGACCGTGGGATGTGGCGGTCGGTACGGTAGTTGCCACTGTTGTTGTTCTTGTGGAGGAGGTGGCTGTAGGGTTGGTTCGACTCTTCCTCCTGTGCTGTTGGCTACTGTTGCCGGTCTCGTGATCTCTTCGTGGAATTCGGGGTCTTTTATCAGAGCCTTCAGGTTGCGATATCTCTTGACGCCTTGTTCGAGTTCTTGGGGTGACCAGTAGTGGAATTCTTCCTTTTTGAGGGCTAATGCCACGTTTTTCGAGATTTTCTTGCCATCCATTTCGACGTAGACGCCGTTACCGATTAAATAGCATTTCGACGTAGACGCCGTTACCGATTAAATAGTCTCTGAAGAATCGTAGGATTGGGGGAGGTACGTTCTGGAAGTCTTCTTCTGACCAGTCGGCGAAATCGGGAGAAACTTCGTTCCATAGCTCGAGGCCCGTGAGATTCCTCTTCTCATAGGTCTCAAGTAGGAAACCCATATAGGAACCCAGTTGCTGTGGGCTAGCGTTTGTAAGGTCGATTGCCCAGTTGCCCCATACTGCTGGATCGATCATACTTTCGATTCTCTGTGGGATGGGGACTGTTGATTGGCTTTTGGCAGTGACGCCGCTCGCGGGCGATCCTTCTCGTGAATTTCGCTCCATTCTGACAGTATAAAAGGATTACTTCTGTTCAGAATCTTGAATTCTAATCCTCAACAGCGTCAGCTGCGATTGGTGCAAGATGCAGGCCTGGAAGTGGGAGTCAAAAGACGATTAGGGATATTACGATTCTAAGGGGAAAGAATCGTGAAATCGGGGATTTTCGTCGGTTCGTCGTTTGTTTCCGTCGGCGCCGTTCTCGCTGATGTTCTCGAGGGGTGTGAGGGTATACACAGGTCTCGAATTGGTAGGGAGAGAGTTCTACCGTAGATTCTCTCGTGAATCTCTCTTTCTCGCTTCGGGCTTCGCTCCTCACTGTTGGGAAGTTTAGAATCTAGCGGACAGTTGGCCTTATGACGCCCACAACCACGTGCGTTTCTCCTAAGCCGCAGCCTCGGAGGCGTATACGTATAGCTGTATAGGCGGATTACCGCCGGTAGTCTCCGCTCGCCTTTCGGCGTGTTCTTCTTCTGGTAGGGAGGTCTCTTGTGGCAGGCGCCTCGCGGTTGGCACCTCGTCTGGGGATTTATTGAGAAACTAGCGGGCGCCTCGTGATTGGCACCGCGCGTGGGGGATAGTTGTAGTTGGGGAAGTTGTTGTCCCTTGTGGGATTCGTGAATCTTCGCCCTTGTGGCGTGAAGAGGTTGGAAGACCGTCGATTCGGTAGGTCTCTTCTTCTGGTGATTGAAAACGCGTGATGGAACGCTCTTGCCAGCGATAATTGGCTGCGATTAACCTTATCCCGCCTAGGGTGAGCGTAGCAGTCCCTAGGTTACTCGAATAATCGGATTGCTGGTAGATTCGAGGAAAAGAAGCTTTCTTCTGCTGGTTTCCGTAGATCCCAGTTACTCTCGCTTCTTCTCTCGTTAGCACGAAATCCCTACTTTTACCTGGGCTTGGGTATCCAGTTCAAGAAGTCGTCTCTTCTGGTGTTGACCTTGCTGATCTGCGGTTTGTCCGTAGCAGAGTGGTAATTGTGAAGTTAACCAAATTAATGGCAACTGTGAGGTTTACCACTGATCAGTGTAGGTTTCACAGGGGGTGAAACAGGGGGTGAAACGGAATTCCGTTCGTCAATAACAAATAACAGTAAATTGGTTCTAATCGATGGTTCATGATTGTTGAAAGTGGTGTTGTTGACTAGAAGGTGGGGATATTCCCCCTTGGCCTGTCACGTGGGTCTGGGAGGCTTGGGCCTCTCAGCCTGGCGGGCGTGTGGCTGGAAGTGCCACACGACTCCGTATTCCAACTATCGCAACAGATACTGAGGGCCCACCCATCAGGTGTATCTCTCGGGAACTAAACGGCACGTCCCGGAGCTAGAAGCGTCTAATAGGGGTCTGGAATGAGGACCAATATTGAATTTCAGAAAAGCATGGGGGCCGAAGAAGCAGTGATCAAGGGTCTGCTTCTGCCAAGCTGGAGCTGGTATGAAGCTTTAGTGGCGCAGCCGCAAACAGACAAGCCGCGGTGTAGCAGCATGCTCTTTTTGGTAGCAAACATGCCATGGCCTGATTTAGGGCCGTTGTCACGTTATTGTGGCTGCTCTTTTGAGACCCGAGCTACCAATTCGAGGTAATAAGACCGCTCGCCAACATGGCCTATCCAATTAGAGACGAGGTAATAACAAGCACAATCTTTAGCATTTCGCTGTTCGCTACGGTTAAGATAAGACCACCTCCTCAATGCCGTGAACGCCAGACCCTGTCAAACCCCGCAGGAGCTGAGGTGAAACATTCCAAGCACGGTTTCCAAGTACCGGGTTGCGCAGACGACCACTACCATACCGACGGGTTCGTTGGGTCGGGACTGCAGTTAGAGACATGGAGACAGTGAGGCACCAGAAAATGTCGTCCAGGGATATTGGTTGCGGTGAATATCTTCACCGAGCGGGTCAGCAGAACGCCGGAAGCGGTAAATACCATGGTTTATCCACGTGTCTGCCCCGCGAAGGATGCCCGTGGACCCTTCGACAGCTTAAACTGTTTGGTGTAAGACACATATTATCGTACTCTAGGTCTGCCTTACTAATCCTCCTCTACTGCCAGTTAATGATCTATACCAGAGATGAATCTGGTTATATTGAAACTGACAAGTATCGCAGAACTGAGTGAAAGGCATCAAAACCCAATTTCTTGCGTGTATATACCATGTTTTCGAGGTGGAGCCAGATATTCAGAATTTGGACAATCCTGCAAATGGACACATCTCCGAATGATAGCATGGTCTTACTTGCCGTCCAAACTTTGCATCTAGCCAGCTCTACGCCATGGCGTTCGGTTGTCTTATGACAGCTTCTGGCTGAGGCCGCTAACGCTACCATGCTTATTGCGCAATGCCATCCAAGGGTATTGGAATGAGTCTTTATGAGGGATCTCGTTGTATAATTACAGAGATGGCAAAACTACTTAAAGAAGACGGGTTCACCATCTTCATGCTCACTCCCTCAATCTCAACAGACAACTCAACTACCTCCTCACTTCTCAAACATCATTTCCAAAAAGAATCCGCAAAGATGAGTCAAAACACTGCCCCAGCCGTGGTGATGAAGCTCCCCCAAAGCTTCCAGTTCTCGCAAACTGTGCTCCTTAAAAATGCGGCATCTCCCAGCAATGGTACCAATGGTACCAACGGGGCCAACGGCAAGAACGGCACCAATGGAACCAACGGTGTTCATTCGGAAGACGTTTCCACTCTCGCAACAGTACCCCTAGACGTCCTAGTACGGTTCAAAGGAACATTCAGGGGAAACGGCTTTAACACCATCTTTCGGCCAAACAATACCAAAAAACCCACTGCTCTTAAAGTTCAACCGACCGATGGTGTCAAGGATAACATCCTCCAACTCAATCTTACCGCAGAAACCATGGTGTTCTCTGATACGTTCGGGAAGAAGGACGGGCTAGTGCCCAACCGCGGCGTGTTTAACCAAGAAGACATCGCGCTCGACGGACTACCGTACACCCAGTCCATCACTGATGTGACGGAGAATATCCAGGGCCCACAGCCCGTCATCCACTTCGAAACAGGCCTCTGGATGCGCGTCCCGGGGAGCGAGGAACCTGCTCTCAAGCCATCCTTCGCCCGCATGGCGTCCATCCCCCACGGCACGACCATCAACGCGCAGTGCTTCGAGCCCGCCATTACCAAGCCTGGTGCTCCGGTTATAAAGAAAATCGGCATCACACCGTTCCCAATCGGGGGTGGACGGGAAATCCATTTCGACAGCCAGGATGCCGACAACCAAAGGACACATCGCCTGCCTGAAAACCTTTCAGACCCCAAGTTCAAAGACAGAATCACTCAAGAAATGATCACCAACCCCAACGTCGTCTTGACGCAAGCCAATAAGGGAAAGACCTTTGTTGACACCACTACATTCTCAATCTCGACCGAAGCAGTCGGGACTGGCCTCGGCGGCGGCACTAGCAACATTGGCTTCCTCGCGGGCGGCAAGAAGGTTGCCGGCAACGCAAACGCGGCCAAGGTGACGGCCGACTACTGGGTCTCGAAGGTGCGCACGCAGCTCGAGCTCCAGCCGTGGAAGCCCGCCCACAAGGACGACTTCAAAAAGTTCACCCCGGCCCACGACGAATCGGCCGTCGGCGTCCCTACCTTCTTGGCCAGGGAGGAGATTACAGAGGCCAAGACGGTCACGGTCGAGTATACTCAGATCCAGTACTCTCAGACTGTCATTCTTGATTTTGCCACGCTGAGCTGGCCTCATGCTACCGTTGCGACTCTGGCCCCCGTGGACGCGGAACTTTCTGAATCGCTTGTGGACTAAAGGAGTCGTCGGGGCGCCGTTTCTTCTCCGCAAGGTGTTTCTCTGCAGTTGTAACGCAAGCGGGAAGACAGGCTGGTGACACTAGGCTGACTGCTTTCTACCATTGAGTTCAATTACTCAGGATTATAGTATCCGTAGTTCAGACTTCAATACCAACTGATGAAATAAAATAAAATAACTTCTATTAATGTCACTTTTCGACGGCAGACAGGGCTAAGTGTGCCTTTCATTTTCTGCAACTTCCGTGAAAACCTAGACTTGAACCACGCAATCATCAAAGATCTTCAGCGTGTGCCTCCAAACCTTTTCATCAACTCCCCTCGACCTAAAATCAGCCAAAATACTCTCGTTGTCAGAGCTGTCTCCTAGAGGATCAACCAAAAAGACACCCCCACCAGACTTCTTCGCAATCTCCAACCCCTCAACCAGTGGCGCGAGGCTCCCCCCACCCTCAACAACGTACCGATCACTCGTGGCCAGGAACAACGCCCGCTCCCCGGACTCCTCCTGGCTCATCTCGCTCGGGGGCGCCATGCCGAACCTCTTCGACCTCGCGAGGCCCCTCGTCGACACGGGGCCGGGATACCAGTGCACGAAACTCACCCGCGGGTTCTCCCGCGCCAGCTTCTCCAGCGCCAGCGTGCCCATGGTAGCACTCTGCACCGACGCGGGCCAGTACGCCCAGTTTCCGGGCCGGCGAAGGTCGAGATCGTCCTCGTTGATGGACGCCTCCTTCCCGCCGGCCAACACCGACAAGACGCGGGGGCTCTCCGCGCCGGGGTTGTTGAGCAGCGGGAGGAGCCGCGACACGGCTCGCAGGCGCGAGTAATACCGCGTCGTCATGGACGGGTCGAGGCCCTCGCGTGTATCTACGCGGCCCTCGAAGGCCATGAAGCCGGCGGACATGACGAGGAAGTCGAGTTTCGTCTCCGTCCTGGTGATTTCTTCGACGACCCTGTCGACTTCGGAGATGAGGGAGACGTCGGCGGTGATGAGGGTGTAAGTACCCCCCGGGCTGGATTTTCGGAGGTCGTCGAGGAGGGCCTCGTGCGAGGGGGCCGACTGCGGACGGGCGACGGTGTATATGCGCGGCGACGGGACGTGTTTTGCAAAGTTTTGAAGGGCGCTCTGGCCTATGCCGGACGTTGCACCGATGAAAAGGGCTACGGCGCCTTTGGGGAGACTCGTGAGGCGGGCGTTGGATTGCTGGACTAGTTTTAGAGCAACCATTTTCGTCTTCTGGATTTGTAGGTGGATTATCTGTGAGGTTGATGACTTGTAATTATACGCTTCTGAGAATGTGATGTGCCTTGAAGATGGGGAGTTCTGGATTAGAGTGTTTGCTTCTGTTTATACTTCTTTGACATCTCACGTACAGGGTACACGTCCAAGGCCATAAACGACAAGGCTGAAGGCAGTCAGCTGTTAGCTAGCTGACAAAGAGCCCCGAAGCGAGGCCATCATTTCTCGGTCTCCAGCGCCCGGGCGGCTGCCGGAGCTTGGTAAGCCGCGTCGGATGGATTCCGTCGTTGAAAAAGACCGAAAGTCCGGCTGTTGAGACTGGTTTTCGGACTCTGCGACCCACTAAAGTGGCCACGGCGGAAACGCGCGGGATTCCGCATCAGCATAGTTTAGTAAGACGGACAAATATCATCCCAATCACTCATGTCGCCTAGTATGTATGTATCATATAATTAAATATTGATTGACATATGAAATCGTTGGCTAGAGTACAACTCGGCAATCTACTCAACACTACACAAAGGAAATCTATAATATCGACAGCGACCGCCCTGGTATCATCAAAACTTCTGAATCAAGCAAAGCCGTCAAATAAACGCCGATATCCCAAATCTTACACGTAACGAATGTATCATAACCCCAAATAACTCGCCTAGTGGCCGCCGTTGACAGCGTGCTTGCCGGCCTGCTCGCCCTGCATGGCGTTCATGCCAGCGTTGAGCTTGCCAAACTGCCACTCGGGCAGGGTGATGCCGGTCTGCTCGTTGATGGTGGTCATCAGGGGGGGCAGCATCTGGTAGACGTTGCGCATGGTGTCGACGCCGGAGTTGCCGTTGGAGCCCTCGCCGGCCTGGCTGCCGGTGTTCCACACGCTGATCTTGGGCTCGAGGCCGCGGATGGCCGCCGCGTTGGCCTTGGCCAGCTCGACGTAGGTGCCCTTCTCGATCATGAGGTACTGGATGAGGCCGGCGGGGCCGCCAAAGGCCTGGGACATCTTGCCGTAGGCGTCGGCCATCGCGGCGACACCCTCTGCCTTCTTGAGCGCGACGGCGAGGTCGGCCTCTGCAGCGAGCTGGGCGGCGTACTGGGCGGCCTCGGCCTCGCGCTTGTTCTTCTCGTAGTGCGCCTTGGCGTCGGCCTCGACGGCGTAGGCCTCTGCGTCGGCCTTTTGCTGTCTCGCCTCGCGCTCAATGGTGGCCTTGACGACGTCGGTGGCACGCAGGCGCTCCATCTCGGCGGCGGCGCGCTTGACTTCGACCTCCTTCTTGAGGTCCTCGTCCTTGGACTCGAGAGCGCGCCTGGCCTGCACGCGAGCGATGTCGACGTCCCTGGTGAGCGAGGCCTGGCGGGTGTCGAGGTTGGCCTCGGCGGTGGCGCGCTCAATGTCACGCTCCGTCTTCTGGACAGCGGTCTCGGCGTTGATCTTTGCGATCTCACGGTCCTGCTCACCCTTGCGCTGGGCCTCTCCAACATTACCGCGCAGCTGGGCCTCGGCGACGTCGATACGGGCCTGGTTCGTGGCGCCCTCGTGGGCCTTGCGGGACAGCGACTCAAAGTAGATGGAGTTGGGGGCGTCCTTGAGCTCCTTGACGTTGGCGTTGTAGATAACGAGACCGAACTGAGAAAGCTCCGACTGGATGTTCTTGAAGATGCGGCGTTTGAAGACCTCGCGCTCGGTGAAGATCTCCTCCATGGTCATGCTGGAGACCAGCACACGGACCTCACCCTCAATGACACCCTTGACGATGTTCTCGAGGTGGGCCATGGTGCCGCCCTTCTTGTCGAGGGCCTCGGCGAGGAGCATGGCGTACTTCATGAGGGCGTCGCCGCGGTCCTCGCGGCGGTTGGCGGGGATGTAGTCCTCATCATCGGCGTGGCTGGAGGCGGCGCCCGAGTTACCGTGGCCGGGGTGAGTCGCGTTGGCCCCTCTGGAGTTGACGTCGGGACCGACGGTGAAGACGACGGGGAGCAGGAACTGAAGCTTCTCCTTGGTCATGGCCTGCAGGTTCATGGCGTAGTCGTGGGGCTGTACGCTGAAGCGCATGCAGCGCTGGAAGGGCCAGACCCATGCTGCCTTTGTGATTTTGACCGACTTCACGGACATACCCGTGATGGCGAGGTACTCATCGGGGGCGGCGATTCTGTAAGACATTTTGGCGGTGTTGTCTGTGGTGAAGTGAAGATGTGAAGAAGGTGGTTTTGAGAAGAGGGTCGACTCTTATAGATTATTTATCAAATAGGTTGTTGTTTTATAGTCAGGAAGCGATGAGATTGTATCAAAGATTCCTAGATGAAGGTTGACTGGTGCCTTGGGTGAGTCAAGAATAAGGTTTGATGGCTGGATGTGATCGAGTTGAATTGGGTGACTATGATATGTAACCCTTGGTAACGAGAGAAGGGATATTGGGGGTATCTCAGGATAAAGTTAGACTTGTGTGTGACCAAATACCAAACGCATCATGGACGAGGCGATACATCTTCTTTTATAAACACATCGCATTGGGGAATCAGAGACACATGTCGGTATGCCAGATATGCCCACCGATAGGCAAACGGCAATGCGGCAAAAATCCGCTAGGCATTCTTACAGGCTAAGCAACGATTGGAGCCTATCACGGAGCCTCGTGGTGTGTCACAACAGTGCCATGCCTAGAAGAAGGGGAAAGCTGCGCGAGAGTAGGCAGGGAGGCATTGGCACGGGAAGCCATCAAAGCGGTAGTGTGTGTATGTGTGTGTGGCGGTGCAAGAGCTGAAGTGAACGAAAGCAATAGCACGCCAGGAGGAATGAATCAGAGGGTGAATCAGAAGGGGGAATTAGAGGCGGACAAGGCTACCAGCCAAGAACCCTGAACATCAGTGGCGCCCCGGCTAGTAAGAAAGGAGGTCATATGATGTGGTCAATGCTCGCTAGCGCTTTTCTAGAAGCCTTCCGTAAGCGGCTGCCTGGGGCTTAAAGCGGTATAGCCTAGTGGGTCTGTGGGGAAATAAACCGGCGATCATTTGCCCTGATCCTCACTATGCTTTTGGCCTTTTGGTACTCTGTATTGAGGCCAGCAATATGCATTGCATCCTGCAACCATCAGACTGGCGATCGATGAGACCACTTTAAGTGTGACATGATGATGGTATCTCTGATTTCTTCCTGCACCGGAAGCTGGTCACCTTGTTGGACATGACTTTACAGTATCCAATTAACAATCAGTACTCTAGTTCATGTACGTAGTAACGTTATAGCATTCAAGCTAAGAGACACTAGATCCGTCACCGAGGAATGCCTTGCCTGGGCATACCAACAATACACATCCACCTCATCCATCTTTTCCCTTGAAAAAATGTTATTGATCAATTCCATAACAAAAGAAAAACACTGCCCAATGCCATCAACCAATTCAATTCTCGCTCTCGCGCCAAACCCGACGACCGAGACATCGGGACCGACACCCAAAGTGGAGGCCGAGCACCCGGGGGCGGAGCAGGCCTCAAAACTTCGGTCCCCATTCCGGAATGCTGGCACTGCAACCGGGCGAAACGGGTCCCATCACACAATTCCCCAGGTGGCATGGGTGTGTGCCTCATTCTGCCATGTTTATTCAAACTAGAGTGCAACGAAAGAAAGCGCCCAGTAATTTAGCGCCCAATTAGCGTTGCCGCCCTGCCACCCGAGTCACACGCATCTCGCTCTCCCCCTGAAAACCAGTAGGTACCAATACTGTAATACGGAGTAATAGCGCTACCACTCACTATAGTGACACTTTGGCCGCCCGCGATCAACGGCACAGCAAAATTAGGCCCGCGGCAGTGCGAAGCCTCAGCCTCACGCCATTTCATTAGTGCCCGACGGTTCTGTACTTACTTATTTCCCTCGGTCCATGGCTCGGTAACGTTCAGGGAATAACTCATAACTGCGGAGAAAGCCAAACTCGAACGACGAGGAAACTAACTAACCTGGTCCACATCCTTGGTTCGTCCCATCCAGCCCTACCAAGAACAACCGCAACTCTCTCTCCGTACCTCTCGGTTACCACCTCGCTCATCGGCGTCCACCGAGCTCATCACCCACGTGAACACTTTGGAGGCGAAACTACCCTGCCCTCTTCCTCCATCCGCATCCAAGATTCCGCCCTGGGTGGTTTTCTCCGTTCAGGCAAGGCACTCCGCGCGGCATTCTAGGGAAATCACCTCATGATTACCTAAGTCTGCTAACCTCACTCACTCACACTCTCACACTCTCACACTCACCATCTTTTCATCACCAAACCTACACTCACATCCTCATCATCATCATCATCATCCTCTCATCTTCATCGTGAACCTCAAACACCCAAATCTAACAACACAACGCCAAAATGCCAAAACAAGAACAAGACGACCTACCCCCCTCCTACAACGAAGCAACCCTCCCCCCCTCCTACCCGCAATCATCAGCAACAACAATCTCATCGACCCTCTCCTCCCTCACATCCCTCCTCCGCACAACCCAAGCCCAGCAATCCGCCCTCGACACAATCACAACCACAAACCTCCTCCCCCTGCTCACCCCGCACCTCACCTCCCTCCTAACCGGCCTCTGCACGACCCCGAACCCTCCGTCCCTCGCAGAACTAGTCTTCGTCCCGGCCGCCGCCGTCGGTCCAGAATGGAGCATAACCTCGGACGCGGATCGAAAAGCCGGCGAATTGGTGCAAGTAATCCGCGTAGCACACGAAACGGATGAAAAGGGGGGCAACGAAAAAAAGACCTCCTCACGTCCTTCCGCGCCATCATCATCATCATCATCACTACGCGAATTCGACGACTGGGGCCGTTGGGGTGACGACGACGACGACGACGCAGCAGCAGCAGCAGGCGCGCGGGGCTCTTCTTCGAGTAGAGAGGAGAAATGGTGGTGGGACGACGAGAACATGGCTCGTCGTCTGGCGAAACAGCTGCAGCCAGAGCCCAAAGTCGACAGGACGACGGTCCGCGCCGTCGTCGTCGAGCAGGCCAAGGAGAAGAAGAAGGCGAGCAGGTGGGGGGGTCTGTTCAAGACGCCCTCCGAAGCATCCTCGTCCACGTCAACGACGCCTCCGCAGCAGTACAGCAGCAGCAAGTCTGCGACGCCAGCGAAACAAGACGAGGACGTGACCATGACGGTCCGCGCCGAAGAAGTCACTTTTCGCAGGGAAAATAAAATGGGAATCTGGGAGGGAACGCACGGGTGGGGTATTGTCGCCCGTGTCCGGATTCGCAGGTGACGGAATGGAATAGAGATAGCGCATCAAGACCTCTCTCATATATGTATAATTTTTTTAAACGAGCAACAACAAAGCTGGAGCTATGATACATCTAGCTAGACGATACAGAACCCACCAACGCCAAGTCCGCTTGCTTCGCACTCACGCCACAAACACTAATGCTGCTGTCTCTTTTTCCTGGGGCTTGGAAACCGATCCCTGTCCTAGCCGAATCTTATTCCGGATCCCGGATCCCAGGTGCCGCTCTGCGGCGGTTTGTTTGACGCTCCCTGGTTTTGCGTGTTGGCTCCTGACGCGCCGGCAGGAGCCGAAAACTTGATGCCCATGTCCGGCTGCCACATGTTTGTGGGCACTGCTGGTGCAGGTCTCGGGTGCTGCGGCTCCACGGTCGAGCCGGCCCAGGATTGGATGTGCGCCTCGGCCGGAGAGTGCACATCGTGTCGCGAGGGAGGCTGCTGCTGCGGCGGCGATGAGCCAGGAACCACACTAGCGTTGAAATAGGAACTCGAGCGCGGGTCGTAGTTAGACCCGGACGGAGAGTGAACTGGCGATCGATTGATATTAAGGGAACTAAGGGGCGGCATGTTGACCTCCCTGGACAAAGTTAGCATGAAAGTTGTAAATAGTACCCCATCAACATCACTTACTCTTCGAGACTCTTGGCGTCCATCCGTCGCTCTGCAGCCCATGCCTTGACCGGGTCCCGGAAGTTCTGGCCTACCACCTTGCTCAGGTCGTTGTAGAACTTGCGTCCCACGTCCACGTTGTTGACAATCTCCTTGTACTTGTAGTAGGCGTTGTCAAGTCTCTGTAGCGCCTGCTCCCGCTCCCGGCTGCCGCTTGATAGGTTCTTCTTCTGGTTCTCAAACTCGCGGTTGACTCTCTGGACCTCCGTCATGAGTCGGTCTTGCTCGTCCTCCTCCTTTGCAACAGCCTCAATCTCACAGTCGTAAAGCTTGTCGAGACGCTTCTCAAAGAAATCCTCAAAGTGCGCCGGGACAATGGCCGTCGTGGGATACGTCCGCTCCAGTCGGGCTGCTTCCTTGAGGATGTCAGGCTTGATATCGTCCGTTCTCGCCTTCTCCCGCAGTGCCTCGGCCTTCTTTCTCCTCCTGGACTCGAGGCGCAGGACGTCGTTGTAGGCCCCGCGCAGTCTCCCTATCACTGGCTTCAGAGGCTCCGGGATGTCCATCCGTCTACTGGAGGGTACGAAGTCCATGAGTGCCCGGTCCGATCCAGACAGCAACTCAAGCAGGTCCTGCACTTCCCTGAACTTCTCCCGCACAACTGCGTCACTGCTCGTACTGCTGGCAAAGTATCCCTCAATCTCGGCCACTTGATTCCAGAACGCACTGCCTTGGGGGTCGCTTCTGCTGTCTGGTCTCGACCATCTGTCGGTTCCGTACTTTCGCCTCAGCCTCTGATCCTCTTCCTCTTCAGCTGCAAGGATGGCCTTGCCTTCGTTGAATACTGCAAGGTCCGCGGTGCGGAGCTTGTCAATATCGGAGAATGCTCTCTGAATACGACCAATACCATCGGCTTGCCGTATTTCTTCGGCATGATGAACCAGGCTGTGGGGCAGACCTAGAGGTTTCTCGAGCGCCTGCAGTGAGCCGGGGAGATTAATAGAGCTAAGCATTTCGTGAAGCTTCTCCGTCTGCGCTTCCATCTGACCTATTATGTTCTCGTTTACTATACGATCACGACGTTGCTCATATAGCGTAATAGCGGCATGCACGGAAAATGGCACCAATTTCGTGAACAGTGCGGGCCCAAACTCGGCCTGGTCTCCGAGATAATCGAACGGGTTAGCCACTTGCGGCGGGACCTTTGCGACGGCCATGTTCGCTCTTTCAAGGATCTTGAGCTCCGACTTTGGCGGCACGGGTTCTGGCAAGAGTTAGCGCACTCGGCCAAGTTTCTCTGCGGGAAATCCAAACTTACGAAGGTAAATCACGTCATTATCCTTGTCCGCCCGTTTCAAGTCCTCTTCAACCTTTCTTTTCAGACCATTAAGATCATCAAGCACAGCCTTGTTGAGATAACCCCCGCGACTCTCTTTCAACCCTTCGTTGACGCACGACACAGCGTCTTGCAGACGAGCAACCTCCTCGCCGTATCTTCTCTTCTCAAGACAGTCACAAGCAGCGCGGTACTGCGCAGCACCGGCAAAATGGTGATGTTTCGCACTCATGTGGTGAATCCAAGCAGAGCTGATAGCCTCGCTCTTCATCGCCGCCTCGCCAGCCAGGTTGTAGAGATCCGAAACACGCGCCGCCAGCCGAGCGATAATAGCGTCCTTATATCCATCCATTACGGCCTTTTGCCAGAAACACTCTTGTGACTGTGCGAGCAGCAGCTGTGTCAGCGACTCGAGGGTGTTGCCGTCCATGTCCTCGGGGGGATCCGACATGCGCAGTTCAGGGAGTATCTCTTTCTGCATATGCTCCAGGACACCCGCAGCCGACGAGAAATAGCCTGCCGCAGTCTTGAGACCTTCAGTTCCGGTTCTTGACTGCGCAACAGCAAGTTGAGAGTAGAGGGAGGCGAGGTTATAGAGGATATTCATGAGCTCGTACTTGAGGTTGTTTCGAACCATAGGCCGTTCGGTATTATAGCCCAGCGCCGGGTACCATGTAAATTCGGCTCCGATCTGTCCCCAAGTCAAATCAGCATACCCATTATTCTGTCGAAGCACTCCTGCAGAAAGGACCACGTACGTCGATTGGGAACTTCCCACCGATCCATGCCAGCTGTCCCGCATACGTCTGAAGCTTCTTGATGCCACTGGGGTGCGGGTCCCTCACGTTAACCGCATCTCGCCGGAGGGCATCAATGACCTCCAGGTCTTGACGGAACATATCCGGATGCTGGTCATATTTGGTGTTGATGTACTGCCGAATGGTGGACGACAGCGAGAGTTGGGTAGATTTGCGGAAGGGCAGCGACAGTATGTTTGATATGCTGGCCATGGCGCGAATCGGTCAGTAAATCCACAAGCAGTCGATTTTCAGCAAGCCAAAGGTCACTCACGTCGCCATATCGGAGGTCCCTGGAGGGTTGGGTGTTCGTGGTGGGAGAGCTTTCAAGCCACGCTAAAGCTTCATGACTTCATTTGTCGAAACATGGAAGGAAAGCCCAACTGACGTTGGTGGGGCATGAATGGCAGAAGGTGCAGCGTGGCTTGGACTTTTCTCCAAGTGGGGGCGGGGCGTGGCTGAGACACTCAAAGGTCGAAGCCTGACGAAGTCTAGTTTTTCTGCCTCAATAACAAGGCAGAAACGGTTCATCTCGAGGCCACACTTTCTTCAGTGGCATTCACGAGTCACGAGTCGGGCACCAAAAAAAGTAAGATGGATATTTCTTTTGAGCATTTCATAACATTGGTTGGTATACAGTTTTCTACCTCTATAAGCGCCAGTGAAATGGGCGCCTCTCCTGATACCAAAAATCAGACCTGATGGTTGACCTCCATAAACAATAAAAAGGACATCCGACGTCCTTATCATGACTCCAAACGTCCGGCCTGTCACAGGTCTATGTACCGATTGCGAGATCCGTCCAAGCAATCCTTCTATGTGCAATGTAGTAATGCCGCAGAAGATGAAAAGAAATGAGAGTTTTAGCGGCTGCCAGCATGCTTTGATGTAATAAAAAAGAAAAATGAGTTCGAACTCAAACGCCGAAGCTCTGTGGAGAGCTGAATGCCGAGGCTGAGATGCGAGTTGAATCGAAAAGGTATGTTAAATGAGGGTATTGCGGTCAGCGGATTATAATTATGATCCTGTCCAGGGTTCCTTCTTATTGACTGGGATTGATGCGATATGGTTCTGCCCTGGTATTGGCAAGCTTTGCTTTTTGTCAAGATTGCCTTTGTTGCTGCCGTCTTAATCGAAACGGGCCCGTGCCATTTCAGCCGATGGCCAAGTGAGAAAACAGGCCAGGAGATCCTGGGATGATGGCGAAAATGCTTGGACGGGTTATGTGGTGCTTTTGATTTGTTGGCGTTTTGCAACGGCAGAACCACCCGCCTCATCATGTCATAAGGTCAAGGAAGCTCCGAAGAGCTTAATTGCCTGTGTCGTATCGTATCGTCGTGCTCGGCAGTTCCGAGGGCACCTCATGTGGAGGGGATCCAGACAAGCTCGATGATGCCGTCAATCTTGCTCATTGCCTCGCCGTCCTCCTCAACCCAGCGCTCGTCGTCTTTCCTGCGGGTGTACACCTGCAGTACGGAGCCGTCCTCCTGAACGTGAGCCTCCTGGAGTTCCCAAGCGATCTTCCGTCCGGTCTTGTGGAGAGATCTGCGCTGGGGGCCGAACATGTAGTCCAAGTTCCAGCCGATGTCATCGGGGGCGGGAGTGAAGGTCCGTTCCATCTGGTCGAGGTTAAAGTCAATGCCCTGGGGGTAGTGGGCAACACTGAAGCCGTTGGAGATAATGAAGTCGTCCGATGTGATGAATCGCTGGTAGGAGCAATCCTCACCGCAAGCGTGAGCAACCTTGCTAGACTGGAAGGGCTTGGCGAAGTGCCAGCCGCCACCCTTGTAGTGGTGCAAGCTCAAGGGCTTGATGCCACTCTCGTAGAAACCCGCCGGGTCGCCGTACAGGTCAAGCTGCCACAGTTCCCAAATGTTGGTGAGTCGGACCTCGGTGTTCTCGTAGATACACTTGCGGAGAAGAATGTCGCCCTGAGGACCCCAGCCGGAATCGGCCTCCTTGATCTTCTGGGGCGTCTTGCAAGCATCGTACAGCTGGTTGATAGCGGCGGCCAAAGGAACACTCAAAAAGACACCAGCACCGCCAAAGGCCTGGGAGCCGTGGCGATGGATGGCGTTCACGTCCTCGGAAAGGGTTCCGATGTAGAGAGGGTCGAGGTGGTCAAAAGTGGCAAACTTGTCAATGAGGCCGTGCATGCTGGGGAAGTAAGTGTCGTCGTCGCAGGTAACCAGCCACTTCTTCGTCTTGCGGTCGGGGTGGTTGTAGAGATAGGGCACCAATGTCAGGTAGCGGACAGCCATTTCCATGGAGGGGTCGGAGTGAGCGACGTCAACGTCGATACCGATCCGCTTGAGTCGGTCGCTGGCATCCTTGAGCTCCGCATCGGTAGCATCGAGAAGCAGCAGCAACAGCTTTCCACCGTTGGACTTGCCGTTGCTGTCGGTAAGCCAGTGAGACCACTCCTTGATTGGGCTCGTCTTGGGGTCGTTGAAACGCTTGTAAGTAGTGGACACGGCGAACATGAAGTCGGAAGCGTTCACAGTAGCGGGGTAGGGGGACTGGGTAACGGGGACCTCGAGAGCGGCAGGACACTCCTCTGGGGCATAAGACTTGGCCACATCAACCGTCTTGAACTTCTTGGGCAGGAACTCCTGGTCGAGAACGGTGTAGCCCTTGCGTTGGATGTTCTTGCGGGTAAACTTGACGTAGCGCTTGAAGTAGTGAAGCTTGCTGTCGAGGCCATACTTGTCCTTGAGCTGCTTGATGTGGTCGGTGTTGACATCGCAGTTCATGACGTGAGTGGACGAAGGAGCAGGCTCAGCGGGGATCTTGTCGGAGAGGGAAGAAGAGCCGTGGGACTCGATGGGGTCCAAAGGCTGTTGGTGAGAGATGGACGACTTAACACCGGCGCCAGTCTTAATGATGCGGCTGCGGACGTCAATGGCGTCGTTTCTGAGAGTGAGGGCCATAATGACCAGGATGACGACTGCAAAAAGCAGCGTTCTCGTGAGTGGGTTACGCATGCTGCAAGCACGAACCGGACCGGGCAATTTAGCGCCCATTGTCCGGATAAAGACGTTTAATTGTTTTTCGTCCAGCTTGACGGTCGTGGAGGGTTGCGAAGCGTATGTAGATGTTGGAATGTGCAGTCACGGGTAGTCGTCGGAGGGGTATCGTCGAGGATGCTGCTTTACAGTGTCGTTCTTGATGTGTGACGTCGAGGATGAGGATCCTACTCTATATTGAAGCTTGACGACAAGAAAGCTTTTGCAAACGATAATGAGAAATCTAGTAGAACATCCGTTGTAACCAAAAAAAAAATATAGGAAAATGAAAATGCCGATACTGGTGATAGTAGCTAGCGGTGGTGAGCGAGTGACACGATCATAGGACCGGCAAGTGATCGAGAAAACAGGAATCTCTGCTACTAGGAAAACATAGAAGCATGTAGAGACTGGCGATCCAGATTCGTCATGAACTGGAGAGACGAAGAAAGGGAAAAGGAGCAGGAGGGGATGGGGGGAGATGAAGGAAGTAGAGGTAAAAGAGGTCTGGAAGAATGAAAAGAGGGTCCCTTATTTTGGTAGCGGGTAGGTACAAAAAAAGAGTGCGTAACGGTGGTGAGGAGACGCCAAAAAGGGTACAAGATACAGATACCACCGAGATAGTCACAGAGAGAGAGAGAATTAAAGGCGGCGAGGATCCAGGAGGAGTCTTTGGACGTGCGGCGTAGAGTGATGGACGGGGAACCGGGGTGTGTGTTCAAGGGGAGGCGTGGGTTTGAGAGACGGGGGGGCGGAGCCAGGGGGAGTGGGAAAAAGAGTGGGCAAGAAGAAAGAAAGAGGGAAAGACTGGGACTGGACGAGATGGATGGGAGTTGTCACCACCAAGCTTGGTTGGAATGGCGCGCTGGGAAGTGTCGACGACGACAAGGGGAGAGGTGGGCCAGTGATTGGGATAAAATTGGGTGCAGGGGGGCCTGCTGAAGAAACCGGACTTGTAGTGGCTTTCATTGCTCACGCAGCTCAAGACCATCTCATTTATATCATCCTTGAATACAAACACGTAGTCCATACACAGATTGTGGCACGCGTACGGAATAGAAACAAATACAAATACCCTCGACTGGAGCAGTGGAAAATATTCGGGAAAGGACAGTACAGAAATCAGAAAAATAAAGGGGGACGGTTGTGCCACGGTCATGCCGCCGCATCGCCGCCATCCCCGCTGTCAACGATGTGCGTTACCGCTGCCGCAACCGCTAACCGCAAAGCCAGCGGTTCCCTGGGGGCAGTTGGTGGTGCTTTTGTGACTGAGGTACTCCTCCTGCATCAGAGGGGGGGAAGAGAGAGAGAGAGAGGGCAAGATGCTATGGGTGTAGGGAGTGCGGTGCAGGGGGAAACGGCAAGGAAGATGGGGGCAAGGATGGATAAAACGGGACCTGCAGCCAGCTAGTAACGGAGAGTTGCGTCCTGCATGGGATTTCGCAACCGAGTTGGAGGTTGACGAGGCACTCGGCCCATTCATTCTCTGTTTCTCTTCAGATACAAACAGTCTCGCCTTACCATGCGACTGATGCCGAACCTGGCGTATGGACGTCGACAACATGGAACATGCAGGCCGTTTGTCTGATGTTGTCTGTAGCAGTGCTTTTTGCTTGGTGTCCTCGTCATCATCTCATCTAATCTCTCATCTCTTTTCTGGCTCCATGATTGACTTCAATCATTTCCAGGGTTTCGCAGTAGCGGATGGGTGATCCCAGCTCCCATTTGAGTACGGATAGCACCTAAGTCGGTGGCTAGCTTAGTTGGTTAGGGAGGTCCAGGTAGTTAGGTCCGGATGCCTTGCCTTGAAAATCCAGAGGCGACAAGCGAGTTGGAAAATAAGTGGATAAGTTTTTTTTTTAAGTCGTTGTTGTTCCATTTTGTTCGAAAGGGGGGCACAGAGGATGAGAGGCAAGAGAAAAAAAAAAAAAAAAAAAAGGGAAAAAAAGGGAGGTGGGAGGTTCCTGTCCGTGACCAGGGTGCCAGGATGAAGTTCCGGGATGGGGGGACTCTGAATTGGGTCGGGACCGGGATTATTGAATGGGAGGGCAAGGGAATTATTCCAGGTGGGGTCTATAGTGGGACGTGAACATCGAACCGGGATATCTGGGACGGTAGGGGATAATGAACCTCGCCCACAGTTTCCCCAGCCTATCTGTGACCTTACGCAGCCCTTGAACAGAGAAGTGCGGCCGTTACGGGACGGTGACGGAATTCTGCCAGAGGCGTATTCGTGCTCCGTACTAGACACGTTGATCTTTAGCTACGAATGGTAACTTGGCGGTCGATAAGCTTGAGACTTAGCTATTTTGTGGATGCTATTGACAGGTACAGGTGCCGAAGCCGTCGACCATGAAACCCCGAGATCTGCTGTCTCGACGTCAGGAATGCGTTCAATGGGTTCCAGAAGACCGACAACTCTTATTACGGTAGTCTAGTAAACGCGCACGAGCGACCTAGCCTTGTCAACTTCAAACGGCCACAACGGTGTCGTGGCTCCAACGGCTGGAGGCGCTGCCGACGGACCGTGTGGGCGGATCAATCTCCCACAGAATCAGCCTCGAAGGGGGCGTTCTAGTGTACTCAGTTGAGGACAAGACGTGCTTGGCTAGACCTTTCGTAGGCCCTTCGTCTGCCGGACTCCTCCTGGAAACCAGCGCCGAGATGCTCGCTAAACCACCGATTGCGTACGCAATTGGTACTAGTTTCCCGTACGCAATTAGTCCTATTTTGGACGGATGCCCATGGTACAATCGTAGGCGCAGCGAGGGGGGGCAGATTTGGGGTGGAGTGGACTGTTATGTAAGACAGCGCGCTAATAAGCTCTTGTCACTGGCAACCAGGTGCCGCAGCTTGGCTTAGAATACTAATATGTTACATTATGGGATGGTTAGCTGGTGCTGGCTTATCAGTCATGGTCAAGGCCCTGGTGCGAGATAACAAGTAATAGGAGAAAACGCAGGTCCCTATCAGAGTACCTCATGCAAATACTACTTGACAAACTGTGACTGCTGCTGCTGCTCCACTGTAAATTGATCAGCGTCTTTTTATTGGTCCACAGGCCCAGCTTGGGCCACAATCGCCATCTCGTGGTTCTGCAAACGTGCTCGTTGAATTCGCTCACGATTGGAAGGCGCAAGCCGGGTGTCTGATTCCACTACCAGTACCTTCCTTGTTTGCCTCATCCCCCATCCTTCATCCCCTACCAGTAAAAGCAACTGGCAGGAGCAAAGGAAAGAGTCGAAAATTAGCCTTGGAAATTGCCTCCCAAGTTTCTGTCAAAACAAAATCTTTCATGGCAGTTGCCGTTACACCGTAGTGTTTCTCTTTTATTTTATTTTTTTTTATTTTTTTTTCCCTTCTTTTATCTCTTCCCTCTCCAGAGACTACGAACCACCCCAGTCACCCACTTATCAAAACCCGTTCCTTGTACCCTCGTAGTACAACCCTGTGCCGGTCAAATTACCGCTTCCCGCCAAGTACCGCTGCTGTACCCGCGGACCACACCTGTAATCACCGCAACCCTCGTTTCCATGTGCCGAGCGAACCCAATCTTAATTCTTCCATTGCAAACACAGCAACGATCCCAACCCGTCCAATTTCATCAACTTGATGCTGCCGCTGCCATCCACTTCCAGAACCCTTGGCTAGATCCACGGCCCAAAACCCAATCTCGTCAATTTCCCACCGACGGGTAGTTCGACATCGGTCCCCAATCAGGGCGAAGAGAAACACATCAAAACAACATTTCCTTCACATTGGCACCATCATAGACTGCCATTCTGCCCACAGAATATGCGGTTCACGGCTGTTGACACGCGGACCCTGCTCCATCGAGAGACCCAGCTGGATCACACTGCATTTAAGTCTACTCAGTATTCAGTCCACCACCTTACGGATACCTGACGGTGATCAACGGAGCCTCGACTCAATCCCCAACCTCCGTTTCTTGTTCCGTTCCACCGGCTAGCACCGCCGCAACCCCAAGGACCTTCAACCCCCCTCCCTAGTCACCTCGTGGGGTCTGAGTCTCCTCTGCCGGGTCCTACAAACCTGGAGGTACGGATATCCGTACCCGTCAATCCACACAATTCTGTTCTGCTGCCAGCTCTGTCCGTTTAGTACCGAGTACGGAGTAGAGCACCTAATACCCTGCCTGTCGCCCTGTTCAAGCCACCTTACTTCGAACTGAGGATGCTACGGCCATGACTCTTTCACCCAGTCCGCATGGCAATCGTCATCTACAGGCTGAGCTGAGCTGAGCTGAGCTGAGCCAGCGGCCATGCCGACTCAACTCGACCTGCTAAACTTAACTCGAGCCCGTTAATACTCAAAAACACAGCCTTCCCATTGCGACGGTCTGCTCCGAGTCCTGGCCACCATCCATATATTACCCCAACGACATCATCTGCCTGTTGCAGGAAACCCCCAAACGTCCTTTGTATGCACGCCTCGCAGTTGCGCCAGAGGCGTTGCGTTGCTATTTTCGCAGCACAAAAATGGGCCGAGTTACGCGTCCGTCATCATCAACGACAGACGATCGGATCCAGCGCAAGCCGGTACCTCCACATGAGTGGCCAATGTCAACGGTGAACACCAACCACCATGCACACACACCGTAATACTATGCGCTTACAGTGGCATACGCTCACTGTGCCGTTGCGTTTCTTCGCCTACACCTGTTCCTGTGCCATTTCTGTCAGATGCACATCACCGCCTCAATGGGAATCGAACCACAGGGTCTCGGAATACGTACCGAGCCCTTTTTTGCCGAGTGCCACGCCGTCGACTACAGCAAGGCTTCAAGAGGCTTTGATCTTCAGCTCTGTCCTCACGCTAGCCCCCTCATCCCCTCCATGCCCTCGTCAAACGTTGTCAGTCTCCAACACCTACGGAGCAAGCAAGTTGCTAAATTACCCCCCGTGACCAACCAAACGACTCCTACTAGGAGATCGACACTAACTAACATATGGGAAAAAATTGGAAAATAAGAAAGGATCTGCTCTTTGTTTCTTGACTGTCATTCACCCCATCCGCGGCTGGCTTTCGGTCATCCATTGCCCGCTACGGAACATTCTGCACCCTAACGGACCTTGAAACAGTCCAAATGAAGAAGAATGCGCTGGGATTGGAAGCCAGGACCCACAGCAGTTGGACGCCTGCAAGCTTGCTTCGATGCAACAAATCATTCCTAGTACACTATATCCAGCCTGACCCTGAGCACTCATCCTAGACCAACAACGACGCTGGATTCAGGGATTGTGCCGGCTCCTTTTGCTTCCTCGTCCTTTTGACGAAACATGACGCGGATCCCACTGCCAACTGTAGCCGATCAGCATTTCTCACACAATAGAACGCCGCCTTTACGCCCCTTGTAGCGAAAATTGCGAAGGTCACCGCCGCTACCATATCCTAAACAATGGTGGGTGCTTGGAGCGGCTGTTGGTCAATTCAGGACAGACTTTCGGCTCGGCGCCATGAGCCTAAGTGGCAGACAAGCCTTTCAGCTGAGAAACGGGAAGCTCAAGATTGCCAAAGTCAATTCGCCAGCTTTACCCGGCCGGCAACAGCCAATGACCACCGATGATCAGAGCTTGTCTTTGAGCTTGATATGTCAAAATCCCAGTGATGAGATGACGGATGGCACCGACACTACAGTCGTATTTTATTAAATGTGCGTACGACCGACACAATGCTCAAACGCCAAAGGGAAAGCCGGTAGCCTTCTCAAGCACCAACTGTTGGCCGGCACATCTGCCCACCCGAGCCACAATTAGAGACCACTTCAATGGGCCTAACACGATCTGACGAATCAATTCCTAATTCTTTGCTGTTCCCGCACCATTTCAAGTGACCTTTCCTTGGCGTGGGGATGTCGGAGAAGAAGGGTTTGTGGGCAGTTGAAGGCTGGAGAGGCAAAAAAGAAAAAGAAAAAGGGGCCCTTGGGCCACCGGTGAAAGGCCGAACACAGTCAGTAACCAGACAGGATCGAGACTGACGAGGATGGTGGGCATTGCTGCCAAAAGACCCAGGAGGGCCAATGCTGCAAATCCCGGGCGTCTCATCGCCGTGGAGTCGATGACGTCCTCAACACAACCCTGCTCGCTGCGTCCAAGTTGTCTCTGTTCCTCCATCTAGCAGCAGCCCACCGGCCATCATGGCCTGGCTGAAATTTCAGGCGGCCTGTACGTACACTATCCGTAGATTTAGATCACGGCACAATGTCCACTTTTTCGGTATTCAGTGTTGCGGTCCCTTGGATATGATGAGCAGAAAATCTGGACAATCGTCACAAATGCGACGTGCGGGCTCTCTAGCACCGGCCAGAAAGCAAGAAATGACACCCAACATTCGAACATCAGCGGGGAATACGAATTAGTCTAAAGAGCTAAGCTCAACTACACATACAGGGCTGTACCGAAAAGAAAGAGTAGGGGAAAAACCTGAAATACAGTTCCTAGCGGCTTTTTTTAGGATCATGGGAGTCAATTTGACGAACATCGTCCGAAGTCGTCAGTCCTGTACCAACACCCTGGTGGATCTCCAAATGATCCGTTTCAAAGCATCTGATGATCTGCCCTGCCCTGTCCCTGCTCTGCACATCAGTATTTCTCAACAACACATTGAACCGGCAAAAAAAACGGTGGCTGCGAATTAATTGTCATTGTGATTCTATGCATTCAACCTCTGACGAGACGAAGGGGAGTACACGGGAGCCGGCCGGCACTTGGAACCCAGTCGTTGATCCCCTGGATCACACACACACACACACACACACACACACACCGCGCCAGTATCCCTTATCCCGTGCCGCCCCAAATAGGCCAAGGTGCGATACGTACTACGCCCCCCTCTCTTCCCTTCCGCCTATCTCGTCGGTCCGATCGCTAGCGTGGGGTGGGGAGGTGTTGCAGGATCTCATCTAGTCGCCATTTGAGCGAGGCGTCAAACGGCCTCGCTAGTTGTGCAGAGCAGAATTCCTTCCATCTCCATCTCATGTGTAAGACAACAGATCTCACACAGCTTCCACCAAACACACCGTTGCTCTAATTTAGCCGAAAACTGGTTGGGTCAGCCGTTTTGCTTCCTTGCACTTGGCACAACACCCTGCATGGTCTGGTGCCTGTGGGGGAAGACTTTAGATCAGCGGCCATACATCCAATCGTTGCTATTTGGTAACCAGCATGTCTTTATTTTTCCCAATCACGATGCGTCTCTAGGTCGACGTTAACAGGAGTTTGAAACATGGCAGTTGGAGCGCCAACCACACCGACCCCCCAATATCTATGAAGCAGTCTCTGGAACGTCTGGCGGCAGACGTGCAGATTAAAAAAAAAAGCCACAAATCGCTGCGATTCCTGGGTGATCTACAATACATGAGATGCCACTTTCTAACCCCGCGTCTCCCCATCTACTTTCTACTTTCCACATTCGTGCTGTCGTACTTTTGTCTAGACTAACTTGGTCATATATCAGAGGGAACGGTGGTGGTTTGTGGTCCCTGTTACAAAACTAACCGTTGGCGTCGACTCCATGCAGCTGGCCTTTCCCGTTGTGCGTCCGCGTTATTTTTTTTTTTTTTTTTTGGTATATATCCGCCCGCCCGTTGTGTGTCTTTGCTTGTTTGTCCCTGTGCCACATCGGAGCATGTCTGACCGAGTTGGCAAGTCGTAAACCGCTACGTCTCGGCTAGATGCAGAGACTTCTACCATGATTCATCCGGGGAACGTTTGCCCAGGGCTTGTTTTTGAAGCAGCGGGCATTCGAAAGCTTACATGCCGCGGAAGACGATAATGCCAAATTTTAGCCGGTAGTGACAGTCACATACATGTTTAATACATCAAGAGGGACAGGAAAAAAGTTGAAGAGAAAAATTTAAATCAGTGGACTATCTAATCTCTCAACTGAAACTGGCCATGCAAAGGGATATCTCTGGGGGCAAAACTTTCCGCACACACACGATCCATATCATAAATACTCATTTATTTACTGGTAGGTTCCCTTGTGGTCTCCCACGCCGGGCCTCGGCACACCGTCGTCCACGTATCCGGGGAGCTGCTCCCCACCTAGGGCTCCAGAGGCAGTTGGGCCGCCCTGGGGTGGGTGGGATCCCAGCGGGCCGCCCTCGTGGTAGGAGGAGTATTGAGGTTGTTGGCTGTAGCCGGGGAGCCCGCTTCCGTCGGGATGTCCTCCATAGTGGGGTTGCTGAGGAGGGGCGGCTCCGTGGCCGCCAGGGACCTGTCCAGGCACTGGGCCAGAGGCCGGAACGGGGGCTGGGGGAGGCAGGTTCGCGTCGGGAAGTGGCTGTTGCGCCTCTGCGACCCGGAGGGCGTCGTAGAGCGTGTGAGCGCCTGCCGGCCACATACCAGCGGGGCCCTGAGGAGGAACTTGGCCCCTGACGATCTGCTCGACCGAGACCTTTTGTCCGTAAAAGGCGGCGTTGGCGTCCTTGCGCTCCGTGACGACGGTGCCGTCGACCTGGACACCAGCGTAGAAACCGCGCGACTTGACGTAGGAGAAGACGGGCTTGAGGGAGCTGCTGCTGCTCCTGCGCTTGTGTTGCTTGTCGTCGGGCTTCAGCTTGCCGTCGTCGGCGGGTTTGACGTCGCCGGCGGCGGCAGCTTGCTCGGCCGTCTTTTGGTCCTCGGGCTTCTTTCCACCGAATGAGGCACCCATGTCCAAGACACCACCGGCACCGTAAGGGCCGGCGACAACGGCAACGTCGGGACCCAAGCTAACGCGGGTGCTCATGAAGGCGCCCAGAGCCTCGCGGCTGTTGATGACGCAGACACAGTCGTAAATGTCGACGCCGATCATGAAACCGGCACCGAGGGCGTGCACCTGGATGCCGGAGGGGGGACTCCAAGAGCCGTCGGGAAGACGAGCAATGAGGATACCAGAGCCGGTGGCACCAGAAAACTGGAAGCCTACTCTGGCGGTGGTGAAGATTGCCAGGCCGACAGCCTTGTTGATGACCTTGCTGGGGATCTTGACAATGGCCTTTTGCTCCTTCTTCACCTTCTCCTTGCCTGGGCTCGCGGGTCGTGAGCCATGGCCATCGGCAGGCTTTCCAGGCTCGAGCTTCTCGGAATGCTGGGGCTGGGGCGGGATATCAGATGTAATGCCCTCCTCTGTGAAGATGTTAATGATGTGTCTATCCTGGGCAAACAGGGTCAGGGGAACCTACTGCAGAAGCTCTTCAGAATCTTGGCGGCCTTTTCGCATTCCTTGTCCATGGTGGTGGGCAGGAAGCTCTGAGAACCCATCTTGTTGGCCAGAGCGTTGATGGGCACGGCGGCCTTCATGCCGATTTGCGTCAGACGCTCACTCCATCCCCGGTGCTGCTTCTGGGGCTGTGTGGTTTCTGTCGAAGCAAAGGCGGCAGCAGCCTGTCCGGCGGCGGGATCGGCGTGACCGGCACCGGAAGGAGGGTAGTGGTGACCGGCGCCGAACTGGGCTGGGTTATAGTCTGGGAGGGGATTGTCGTTTGTGTGCTGGCCCAGGGGTGGCTGTGCGTATTGCTGCTGCTGCTGCTGGTGACCCTGAGGCGGCGGTGCATATTGTTGCTGCTGGGGAGGAGCAGCGTATTGCGGTTGTTGAGATTGAGGCGCGTGAGTGAACTGAGGCTGGTTTGCCGGAGGAGGACCGGGAGGCGGCGGAGGGAAATACTGGCCCTGCTGGCTCTGGCCCGGAAGCTCGCTGGTTCCGGAAGGCTTCTCGCTGAAACCGGGCTGAGGCTGGTGCTGTTGCTGCTCAGTTGGTGGGGGAGGGTAGAGCTGTTGCTCACCCTGAATAGGAGGCTTCTCAGAATGATTGGGGCCTGACCACGACATGATTCAAGGATTGAGGTTGTATAATAACAAAGGGGGGGTATCGATGAATCAGACAAAAGAGGTAAATGGGAGTATCTGGGTATCGGCTGATGGAGGTGAGGGGCTCTGGGGTTGGAAGGAACAGCTGTAAAGGCAGTTCTTTTGTATGTTTGAAGATGATGAAGAGGGACCTTGTTTCTCTCGGAGTCACCAGATGAATTGTTGAGAAAACAATGTGGCGCAGAGTGTCATCAACGTGGATATCGCAAGTCTGTGAGGCTTAGATGGAAGTATTGGAGAGGCCTCTTGTTCAAACGAGAGAAAAAAGACATTACGATGTACACGTAGCTGGGGGGCGGGAGGCAGCATCCAGCTCATAGAGGGGCACAGAGAGGGGAAGCTTCCAGGGACCACCAACGTCATGGATGTGGCTGATGACAGAACTGTGGGTCTGGTGCGGTAATAGCGTGTGGCTGAGTCTTGGGGTACACTGCACTTCGGTGGCCGCGGGGGTGGTTCATCCCTGCCTTCCTTATTCGAGCGCTTGATTCCCTCTATCTCTTTCTCTTCAGGTACATATGACCGACCATCGCCTCATTCCGTCAACTTCGAGTGTCGCAGTCCTTTTATCAAAGTTTTGGTTCGCGTCGTTGACGTGTCTTCAATCGATGTCATCTTCAGGTGACCATAACCCGATGGAGGTAGTAAAAGCCAGTTCCGTTACGACAGGGCCGCGAGTCAAGTGACAGTCCAATTCGGGGAAAACGACTTGTTCGCTCGCAATCACAAGCCGGCACCCGGCATTTTGTTGGGTCTTTTTTTCCCACCCTTTCTCGCTTCTTCTGACAGAATTGATAACTTACAGCGATGTTTGTGACGATGGGGGTTTCTCCCTATTTATCAGCTGCATACAAACTACCTACGTGACGTGTGGCGGCGACATGCCCTAAACAGTGACAAACGGCCCTCGGCCCTCGGATCGGACGCCGCTCGAGAGACATGGCCAAATTGGGTTCAGCGGACGTCTCGCAAGGGTCCGGGGCCTCGAGATGGGTGATCCCGGACATCGCTCAAATGGGTGGTACAGTTTGGGCACGCGAGAAGACGGCGACCACAACAAGACCTGTTCAGCATGCCTACCTCGGAAGTTTGTATCATGGTGCTACCCAGCGGCCAGCCGATCGACTTGCCTAATGTGTCTGTCTTCGTGCTTGTCGAATGCTACGCATCCTAACCAAGCTTTATGGGGTGCTTCATCTCATCGCATCTAAGTTCTACCATGTGCTTCCATGGAATCTGATGTTCCATTTTGCACCTGCTGGACCAGTCCTTCGGGTCTGGTAGCCTTTACAGTTATGTTTTAGATTGACCACATCTGGGGTTCGCAGGACGAACTCGTAACAGTCCGACCGACGCAACCGAGATCCCTCTTGTCTCTTCTAAGGGAAGGGGAAACACGACCAGATTAGTCTCTTCGTATTCACGCCAGACTATCTGTCGGCTTAATCAATCAACCAATTCTAGCAATCCGGAATCCGGAATCCGCCCTCCGCCCGTCCGTCAGTGTCGGCCCCTACCATCTCGACCAAGTGTGCCTCCTGGGCGCGGGCCTTCCCCAAGAAACAAGGGGTTGTGGTTTACGCCAACGGCAGACTATGATAAAAACGGGCAAGCCTGATCTCCAATCTACCGTCCCCCCAACTTGATCTATTGGAGCTAGGTCAGCAACGTGGGTGGGATTGGGTGACAAGGGCTGACCGTCATCGTCGGAGCTCCGGCCGGTGAAGCAACCGGACAAAGGAATCCATCGCCCCACACTTAGGGAGGGAGTTGTGTGCTGGGTCACTCGCTGTCCCTGCGCAGGTGTGCATTTTTATTTTTATTTTTTTCGGCCCTTGCCTCCCAAACGTTGAACGAGCGTTGCATAGCGGCCGACCGACCGGGGACATTATTGAAGCAAAGAAGAAGCGTAACTTTTCCTTTTTACTTCGTCCTTTCGCGTCTTTCTCGCTCTTTTCTCCCTCCTCTCTCCTCTCTTCAACTTACCCGACCTACGAAACTTCGGTCCCGAGAAGACACAGATTTGGCATTTGCCTTACCTCACCCTTGCATCAGCCTTGAACACTCGCCTCAGCTGGCTTCGGCCATCTCGCTACTTACACATTCTCACATACACACATTACCCCAGCCAAGGCCAACAATGCCAAGCGCAACATTGCTCCCGCCGGGACCGGACACAACCCTCCATCTCCCGCGCATTCTGTGCCTCCACGGCGGCGGCGTCAACGCAGCCGTCTTCAAAGTCCAATGCCGCGCCCTTATCGCCCGCCTCAAGAACCACTTCCGTCTCGTCTTCGTGGACGGGCCCTTCATCTGTGCCCCGCACGAGTCGATAGTTTCCGTATACGGTGACTACGGCCCCTTCCGTCGCTGGCTCCGCTGGCTCCCAGAGCACCAGTATGTCGACGCCGAGACTGCCTCCGCTGAGATTCACTTCCAACTCCGCATGGCCATGGATGATGATGATGCCCTTGGCGCCACAGGCGAGTGGGTTGGTCTGATGGGCTTCAGCCAGGGCGCGAAGATTAGCGCGAGTTTGATGTACACGCAGCAGATGCTGCAGCAAAAGTACGGACGGAGGATTGCTTCCGCAGGCGGCTCAGCCAACTGGAAATTCGGAGTGCTGCTTGCAGGACGCGCGCCGCTCATCGTACTGGACGACAGGATAGACCCAGCCCAGGGCGTTGGTGATGCAGCTGAGGCGAGCGTTACTTTCAGCGACTGGCCAAATGGCACATCGCAAGACCATTTGCTCAGGTTGCCGACGATTCACGTACACGGCATGAAGGACCCCGGTTTGGAACAGCACCGGAGGTTATTGAAGCAGTACTGTGAGCCCGGCTCAACAAGACTAGTCGAGTGGGACGGTAACCACAGGGTTGTTATCAAAACTGTGGATGTCGATGCGGTCGCGAGACAGATTTTGGAGCTGGGTCATGAGCTTGGGCTTGTTGACAACATCGAATAGCACAAACGCACACTCATCATCATTGCACATCCTCGCACTGTAAAATCATGACTTGCTTTTATTATTCCCTGTATTTTTCATAGGCACACATAGACCTCAATACCAGATCTGCAATTCTCGTCGTCATGTGGTATAGACCCCCGTCGGCACAGCGTGGTAGCCCTTCTTCCCCACCAAGTGCGTCAACTCGCTCCTCCAATCCTCCCCCCTTGCCAGCTTCTCGACGACTTTCTCAATGGTCCACTCAGGCTTCCATCCGAGTTCCCTCACCGCCTTGGAAGAATCGTATACCCGGTCCAACCTGCCCAGGAACGACCATCCGAGCTTCTCAAACACGGCGGCGCACTGCGGCACCGCCTCGCGGAATACCGCACCGGCGTCCGTGTCCAGCCGTGCGAGCGTCTCGGGGTCGTCCCGTCGGAAAGGCGGCGGCGCCGAGATGATGTACTTGCCCCACTTGATCTCAGCCGCCTTCTGCATTCCGCAGACGATGGCGGAGACAATGTCGGAGATGTCGGCGCGCCGGTATGCTAATTCGCACACCTTAAGATTGGCGTCCGACAGCGCGTTCCTGCGGTCCTCGTCGTCGTCTGCCTCCGGGAAGAAACGGCTCGTGCGGAGGACGAGGACGGGCAGAGCGGTCTGGTGCGCGATGAGCCCGCAGAGGTCTTCTGCGGCGCACTTGGTGACGCCGTAAATGTTCTTCGGTATCGGCGTCACGGACTCGTCGATCCAGGCTGCTGGCTGGCCTTGCTTCGGGGATAGTGCCTTGCCGAAGGTTGATGTCGTGGAGATGAAGATGAAGGATTGTATGCGCGGCACGAACTTGGCTGCTTCTTCAAGCAGGACGAGGGTCCCTGTGATGTTTGTGTCGACGAAGGCTGATTTCGGGTGCGAGGCTACGTGAGGCTTGTGGAGGGTTGCCGCGTGGATTATGTGTGTGATTGACGGGTTCGAGGAGAGGATTGATGAGATTAGGTCGCGGTTGGTGATTGTATCTGTGATTGTTGTCGTCGCTGACGGGAGTATGTCGATTCCCAGCGGGTGGTAGCCGAGAGACGGCAGGGACAGCATCAAGGCTGCGCCGAGGTGGCCCGAGGAGCCGGTCACGAGGACCGTATATGGAGGTGAGGCCATTATGAGATGATTTGAGGGTGCTAGGCGATGAGATGGTAAGGGAGCTCAGGTGAGGAATTTAACGGTGCTTGATGCTGGTTTTTTTGCGTCAAGCCCGGCGTGACTCATTGGTCGTTGACGGAAGGGCGCGGCTAGCTCCGGTGATATGACCCCATCCTGACTATCGTCTAGTTTAACGAATAGGCGTGGTTGAAGCTGTCATGATCAAGAACCACTGTAGTTGGCTTATTTTCAAATGCCAGAATAGTTCACGATTAGGTAAATATTTAGTAATCTTGCAGCGGTGAGTGAACTACTTTTATTGCTATACGTCTTCCCAACAACACTTTCGCGATGGCTTCAAATGAGATGACAGTCGTCAAAATCCAGGAGAATGAAGTTCTTCACAAAATTGACATCATTCTTCACATTCCAGTGATTGAACGGAGAGATTGAACATCCCAGTTCAGTGGTCAGAAATAGACATGGGCGTTGTTGTTGATTCGTAGTTGGGTTGTGGCATGTGATCCTTTAGTGCAAACTCAAGACTGACTCGATATAGGCTAATAATTGAGGATTAGTTGAATTGTGCTGAGTATATGCCAGTTGAGCATGGTTCTCGAGTAAGTGACATACAGAAAACATTCGCGCAACCTCAAACAAGTCGGCAATAAATAGCTTCGCTTCTACCTCGCAACGCAATCCATGCCGCAGAATTACCGAACCAGGAATGCCCTCCGTCTTAACTTTAGGCGTGCTTTTGACGTCTCCTTGGCTTCCGGGATCGCTATTCTGGCAGTGCCCAGCCTCTCATGTGTGTCTTGTGCACCCTCACTTCCCACGTGCCACAGCACCATCAAAATGACATTGTTTATGTTCATCTCGTTCAGCGTCCCATATCCGACTTCTATCTGTGAATCCGACTCCCCGCTTTCCAGCGAGAGACTCTTACCGTCATGTTTGAAGACGATTGCCTCCAACTCACTCCCCAACAATGCATCTTTATCCATAACAGAATCTGGCGTAAACACGCCGTATATGACTTCCTCTTCGTTAGCAAAAGCCTCAAAATAATAGTGCTCTTCGACGTTGGCGCCTGCTAAAATAGATCCTGAGGAGTCCGTCCCATGTTTCATCTGCCCATGCTTCAGCCTTATGGTCATGGAAAGTCCCTCGAGGCAGAGTGACCGTCCGGTCTTCAAACTGGGTTCATTTATATGAGGCCCATAGACGTCGTGAAACTTTTCAAAATCCAGCATTCCCCAGTTCCCTGTTTCATCCTCCGCCTCCACTTTGATCTTTATATCAGCGTACGGAGACTTTAAGCGTTCCACGGTACTGGAAGCCTCGAAGATAGCCTTGCCGGATGGGGGTTCAACATCCTCGGCCCGATCGAAGCTCAACTCTAGCGGCCCTTTCCAGCCCGTCCATGACCAGCTGGGAAATCTCGGGTTCCGCTGTGCAGGCTTCTTCAACTTCCAATCTAGAGCTTGTAAAAGTCCCACTGTTGCTGTCTGGGGGAGAGGTGAGCTGATCACCGAGTTCCCTTGTGCCTGCGATACGGTGAGTATCGGCAGACCCCAGAAGTGGCCGAAGGGCGGGTCTGTCGTTGCACCTCGGCTGAGGATGCCGAGCATGCCGTTGAGCGTGTCGCTGTTGAAGCTAAGTGATCGTTTCATGTACTCTTCTATCAGCCCGAAAATCGTCGTCCCCTTGTCCAGACTCAATGCCATTGGAAAATTCCGGACGCTGTTCGCAACTTCTCCATACATTGGCGGCCAGGCCGGCGCCCCGTCCACGCACTGGAATGCCGTTCCGTACCTGAAAAAGATGTCGTCTGGGGCGTACACCGCCTCCGTGCAATGCGAGAAGTTGCATTCAAAGTACACCTGGTACTCCGTGAAGATCAGCCGCCGAGGGGAAAGGATCCCCTCTTGAAAAGTCCAGCCACGCTGTCTCCACTTGATGTGCCTCAGAAGATCTTTCAAGGATGGAAGAGAAGATACATAGAGGGTATCTGAAATTGTGACGGATGGTTGTCGGAATCGAGGCGTGGTGCTCACACCTGGAAGCCCAAAGTCGGCGTCTTGGCCGGCTGCGGCGATGATAGTGAACTCCGCCGCCTCATAGATGATGTGCATGCTCGCCAACTGGGCCTGGGCTTCTATTCTCTTGTGCGGATCGGGTTGTGCCTCCCCCTTCTGGTCGATACAGTACCTGTCGACCCAGAGGTACTGTATTCCGAGGTTTTTAGTAACCTCGAAGGCGTCTTCGACCACTTTCGGCATACCAGTTTCGTCGCTTTGTTTACCCCAGACGTAGCTCAGAGCAGCGTAGCCGTGACCTTCAGGTAGAGGAACTGTCTCCCTCGTTGAGGCGTCCATAACCTTGAACCCAGGTATATCCTGAGCCGATTGTTTGCTGCGGTTACCGCAGCCGTTGGGGTGGTACTCAAGACACGCAGATATCCAGTCTTTTAGAATCCCATAGTCAATGCTAGAAGGCGAGATCTGCCTTCCGGAAAAGCGACGGCTACCTTTGTCGTCCATGAAAACAGGATATAGATACCCCGAGGACCCAGAGTGCTGGCTCAAAGAGACACCTTGATATTGCGGATAGTAAATATGTGGTGCTTTCGGATCGACAGCTAATATAGTGGTATCCTGGAACTTCCGAGCTGCTAACAGAGGACCGATATTGTTTCCTTTCGCAATGGGTTCTAATGGCTGGAAATTGACGTACGTAGCAGATACGGCGTTGAGTTCGTACGGCCACTCCGGATGCCCATGGGCAGATCCCTGTAACCTTGTACGAACGGCAGCTAAAGCATTACAAAGAGGACAATTCGTTGTCTTAAAATCATCCGGGAAACGACCCAATTCAACTAGATTCCCCTGAATGGCGTTGCGACTACAGGGTAGAGTGCCTTCGTCTGCGACCTCGTTAATCAAGAACAGTCGTAGTTCTTCTGCTCTCGCGGTGTCCGCGGCACCCTCCATCCAGAGGTACCATTGGTTCCTTGAATCTTTCCCATCATCGCTATTTTCTGAGTCTTCAGCACCGTCCTCTCCAGCTGGCGCCGAAGTGATGCCTGGAATCTTTGCAGCGGAAGAAATGGGCATGTCAACGGGGTTAGGAAGGCAACCGAGCGATAAACCGGCACATCTGCTGCAGAGCTCTATCTGACCTTCAAGCACATCAGCTTCGGAGGGCGGGCTCTCGTCTCTTGGCGAAGCAGTCGTAGGCAACTGCCTGATCTGTCGATTTAATGAACCAAGAACGTCTTCAATTGGGTATGTCAAGGTTCGTTTTTCCTGTTCTGGGTCCTGAATAGTGGCACTGGCTGCTTCCTTCACAAGCCCGGATTGAAATAGTCCCGATAGCCTATCTGCCACCCAGACCATCGAGTCGTTAACCCATGGAATTGATTCGTTCCGAAGATTTTCTGGTGCCGGCACGAAGTTGTTATTTCTCGCGACGCTTTGATGAGTTGTCGCGTCATTTTCGCTAATCGCAAGAGGATCCATTGGCTCGCCGCTCGAGGTGGTGTGAAGCGTGCCAGTATTGTTACGTGACATGAAGAAGTGCGGATGTTGATGATATTGTTCTGGCTGGCGACTATCCAACAGTTCGTAGACTGGAACCAGCAACCAATGCGGTGGGTGTCGGCTGTTTACTGTACAACTTTCGCCATTAGAAGTTTGGCCAAGCGGTGCATCACCAAGGCGCTTATAACATGTAAGCTGAAGATCGCTTTTCAGACCAGAATTTGGTTACATTGCATGAATGCAGGAATCAAGAGCTTCTGATTGGGCTGAGCCCTGCCAAATGAGCGGAACCTTGCATGGAGCGTCTTCACTTTGCTGACTGATGGGCGGCTATGTTCGCCTATTGAAATAAGCCAACCGTGGGTCTTCTCACTTGCCAACTTTTGGATGCCGTTAATCTATTTGCTCTGCTTAAGTTGGTCAAAGTCAGAAAGTTCATTCCAAAAAGAATCTCACCACCGTTAATTAAAGAAATTTGGCGATGCTTTTCATTTCCGTATAGCCTACCGCATCCCCAGACAGTCGACTGCATCATGCGTGTTCCCCTCTCGTCCAGAGAAAGCTCGCCTCTGTCAACAAAGCGGCTATCTCACGCGAGTGCCGATGAACAGACTGTTGAATCCATTTTTCCAACCGTAGGCGCTGAATACAATGACGACGAAAGGTTACTTTCGATAGAAGATGGTGCAAAGGCCGAGAAGGCTTCGTATGGCAGCAAATGCTCCTCAAAGATACTGTATCAACACTTCGATGACGACGAAGATCCATTCTGGTCAGACGAATACCCAGAAAACGTACCCCTAGCTGCGGAAAACGACGAGACAAAAGAATGTGCGATTCTTGTGAGGAAAAGTAGGGGGTAGCTCAACTTGCTAGATTTCTGTGGTACTAACTGGAATGTAGAGAAGAGTGCCGATCCTCGAAAATCCTTGGAGATTGACAGTATAGTCATTCAGAGTCCTTTCCTCAAAAAATCACTTGAAGGAGCTCTCGCCGACTATCCCGACGTAAATCTCAATTTGGAGCGTGTGGAATTTAACGCTCCGTTTGGTCCCTTTGTACATCGATGGGAATCATTTATCGCGACTCTAACAAGCAAGGAACACGATGAGGAGACCCGAAATCACCTGAAACTATTGCACAAATCTATCGCGTCTGAGGTAACAGATACAATAAGAACTATCAAGGACTACAAAAAGAGCAAAGTTGTTGACTTTGAACGACTCTGGGCCATATTCGAACCAGGATGCAACGTATTAACCACCGAAAACAGCCAGCAAATGGCAGCAAGGTTTGAAAGAGCAGACTATATCGAGACGAGAACTGGAATGCAGTTAATGCTCGACTGCGATGTCATCAACTGGAGCGAGTCGAGCTTCGGCTGGGAGCATAAGACTTTCCAAATCCCCGCATTCAAGGACACTATCCCAATTCTGGCTCTTCCAGTATTTCCCCTCAAGAGCCATCCAAGAGTTTCCTCGATCTCAAAGACACTAGTCGAAAGGGGAAAACTTTTCGAGAAACTGCGCGGCATGCAATACAGGGCCTATGACGGCCAGGCAGTTCAGGTCGTAGAGCTGCAACAGAGCTTTGAAATCCGAGAAAAGGTGGTGAGGGTACAAGAGCGTGTTATTGTCGACGCCACCGCCTATGACAGGTTCAATCCGCACGATAGCACGCTGACACATCCGATCATCAACGACAACATGAAGGACATAGAATCTTCGAGGTTTGGACATGCAGAATATAAAGTCATTCCTTTGGACCACCTAAACAAAAGCAATTCCGACGAGTCCTTGACGGATAATCAACGCCTGCTTTGCGTGCCAACGGTTCGGGGATACGCCCTCAAGACCAAGCGATGGCTAAAGCTCAATATTTCTTGCGTACGCGAGATAACCTTTAATGAAGAGGCATTCAACAGCCTGGTTCTGCCTGGGAGCTACAAAAGGCTTCTGGGAGCCTTCATTGAGAGTCAGTTGCAGTTCAAAAACGAATTCGATGACTTTGTCTCCGGCAAGGGCAAAGGGATAGTCATTCTGCTTTCCGGAAGCCCGGGAACCGGCAAGACTCTTACAGTAGAAAGCGTGGCAGATGTTATGAAAGCGCCACTGTACAGTCTTACAGCCGGAGATCTCGGGACAGGCAGCGAAGGTGTTCAACGGCGCTTAGATGATGCTCTCCAACTCGCAGCTGACTGGAATGCGGTTCTTCTCATTGATGAGTGCGATGTGTTTCTCGAGGCTCGAAGCAACAATAATCTCGTACGCAACGAGCTCGTTAGCATTTTTCTGCGGACTATTGAGTACTATGAGGGCATTATGTTTCTGACGACGAACCGACTCAACTCGATCGACCCCGCGTTTCAATCCCGTGTGCATCTTAGTCTTGAATACCCTGGCCTCGAACAGTTATCTCGTAAGGAGATTTGGTCAGGCTTTTTGAGCAGAATTGCAGGTGGCGAGCAAGGGCATCATTTAACGGACAGCGAAGTCGAGAAGTTGGCTGCTCTGGACTTGAATGGGCGGCAGATTAAGAATGTCCTCAAGATGGCAAATCTTCTAGCGTGCTCGGAAAAGAAAATGATTGAGTGGGAGCATGTAACGAGCGTTCTAGACGTATGGCGTTCCAAGGTTGACTAGGCTTGCCCATTTTTTAAGGGTATAAAATGCGACTGAAATATTTTGGTTATAGTTGTTGCTTGGTATGCCGGAAGGTGACTTTGCGGCAAATGGCAAATGGACAGTAAACTTCAAACAGCGCCTTGGCTCATTTCGGTTTTCAGCTGCTCCGGTGTGGGCTGAAGGTAATCGATTTCACCGAGAAAGCCGATTCCTTATTACCGTTTGAGTACCAGATTGTCGCAAAGTCTCTAGTTCCGTCCACGCAAGGGCTCGCAAATGCACCAAGAGACCTATCTGGTCGAGAAGAAGACTTACTTGAACATCCAAATGGCTGCCGTGATTTCACGTAAGCTTTATACCAGGTGCTTCTGTTTCCACGACAGTTGCATTTTCCCCACTCACGCACATCCGATTCTGATACAGCACAGAGCGCAATGATTTTGCTGACTTCATCATGCCGGTTATGTATCATGGGATACTTTTGACCCGAGATATGTTGGCAATATGCAGCCAATTCAGAAGAGTGGGGCTTTCCATGATATCATAGGCTACAGATACAGCCCTGGGCGTATCGATGTTTGCCCTATTGCCCAGGCAAAGATGCCGCCGAACCAACGCCAGTTTCAATTCAGGGCGGCTTTGGTATTCAACCCTAATATTGGTACTCTGATTCCCAATGCACCTGTCGAGTTCAGACATGGCGTTGTACTTCCATATCAGGATGTCCGCCCTCCTGTACAAGTCTTTCGACAAATGCCTGATGCTCAGGTTTACTCTCCGAGAGGAAGAACACCAAAAGCGTGACCATCTGCATCTCTGACAAAAGATAAAGAGAACCCACGATTAAGCTGGTATGATTGCGGTCAGTTTTTCGTTAGCATATGCTATGCGGGCATGTAAAGAACCTTGTTATTATCTACTTTGCCGTTTTCATGAATGTCAGTCAACTGCAAGGACAAAGCGTGCCGGTTATTATTGGACGAAATTGGCATTTCAATTCTTTCTAAGCATGCACAACTCGTCATTACTAATTCTTTCTTTGATTTTTGGTGGCTAAGTAGACTGAGCTGTGTATGCCTCTCTGCTGGACTGTCTCTATGCCCTGTTGAATGCGCCCTGATCTGTAGTGCGTTCGCTAATATTTGTACCATTTTTTACTACACAGCCACTCCATTTAGGTGAACATAAATGTATGTTAAACTGTATGAGCGCAGAGTAACTAGCAGTATGTTACGTGATTTGATAGTTCGCTATTGCTGTGCGCGTATTGAATCTACAGATAGCATGTAACTAGGGTACTTGTTTATTAAACGTAGTTTGAAGAGTTGCCTATAACTGCTGAGAAAGGAAACTAGCTGTCAGGCCACCGGATACACGGCCCCTCGGCATGCTGCTTAGAAGTGGGTTTCAATATGTTAGAAAAGCATGATCCCGGAAAAGATTAACCCAAAGTGGAATTGTCGATCTCTCCAGCACCTAGCTTCGAAGTTCATCCACCCCTAGACACTATCACAAAGCAAACGACAGAAGCATGATTGTAGATCAAGCCCCGACTGACGGACAAAAGAACTCGGATCCTTGTTTACACGCGCGGCAGGCTCACACTTGAGCATCTATGTAGAAAGCTACAGGACTGGAGAAATTGTGCGTGCCTAGTTCCACACATGTCGTAATGCGATGCACCCTGATGCTTTATCGTATGAACATGTAAAAGCTTGATGTCCCACACACGACAGATGTTTAAATAACCCCTAAATTCCCATCTCGAGAAAGTAGGTATCATTTCAAGCCCATATCGACCCAAAAACCCCATCATGCTTCGTTTCTTTACACACGTGCTTCTTGGCGCCACCGCCATTGTCTTCGCCGCTACTCCCCCGGGCTTCCGGCCGTCGACTGACAAAAGCTTGGCTGTCGCCTACGGAAACATTTCGGCACTGAACGGCGTAGACTTGCCTCAAGCCTGTTAGTTCCTACTTGTAGAAAAATCATCGCTAAACTAACCATAGCAGTAACTCGGAATGAGCCCATCTTTGGTACCACTGAACCTCTTGTAGGCACGAGCTTCACGATCATCATGGTTGATATTGACATTCCGACCGAAAACCCTCCCGCCACGGACACTTACCTGCATTGGTTTCGGACGGGTTTTGTCCAGGACTCATCTCCTACTTTGTTGAGTCTCAACAATGGCTCTGCTTATTCTATCTACCAATTCCGATCAAATCACGGTGATCAGGCGCACTACGTTAGCCCGGCACCGCCGGCTAAAACCCCTCTCCGGCACCGATATGTTGAGATCCTGGTCGATACTTCCAACATCTCGGGGGAGGCTGCAACCATTATGGGGGGTGTCGCGTCGTTGAATCGTAAGGGTGTCAATGTGGAGGGTATCTTAACGCAGGCGGGGTTGATTGATAAGGTTGTGGCCGGTAACTGGTTCACAATCACCAATCCTGGGCCAGAGGAGAACTCCTGAGAGTGTATACAATTAAATACTTAGATACGCTCTTACTGTTAATAACTATCTAGCTCATAGTCCACTGGAGTAGCGTGGGCGATCAGGGAGGCTAAAAGTATGGTGTTGGGTTTGCGCGAAAATTGCATGCACATATACATATGCTGATTGGTGGTTGACGGATAAACGAGCATCAAAATGCTTTCTTTGTAAAAGAAAACCGCAATTTAGCATAACATGACTAGCCTGTCCTGCATACTGTTGGGATCGAGAGAGGCACATTCTGTGTCGTCGTTGTACAAAAAGGCAAAAGGAAATTCCGGAACGGGGAATTGAACCCCGAGCCTGACGGAGCCCTCGTATGAGAGCGTCAAATGTTGACCATTACACCATTCCGGATTTGCTTATGCTGATCCTGCCCCTGTAAGATTTCATAATGGTAAGAAGCTAGGGGCTGCTAGCTCCACTTCTCTGAACGACGTTATTTCATGCAAACCAATGATCTGCAAGGATCCATTTGTACTATTGGACAACTTGTCTGGCAAGACATTTCTCGTCTGCTCGGTTAGGACCTCATTTCGTAGCTCTTCCAGCCAATAACTCACGAATAGACCAGTATTTCTTTCAAAGTGAATTATTACGTGATATCGTTAAATGTTTTGGACTAGTAAGAAACTCTGCCAACAATGTCTGGTTTAGAGATGTCTCCATATAGGAAAGAACCTGGTGCTGGCCTCCCATCTCAGTGCGTCTATAGCATAACCAAATTTTTCCAAATTGAAACTGAGGTACTTGGCCCATTGTTAGTCTCGAACCAAAATGAGCTTCTGCTCCATACTGTCTCCATTCAAAGATCTTTCAAATCACCACGTTAGTGATTGATAACAGTTTACAATTGCCTTGACCGAAGACTTGAGCCTCACATGTATCTGAGTACATCAGTATTGACTGGATGTGTAAGCGGTATAGGATTCCAACCTTCTAAGTGTTGTCCTATTTGCTCTCTTTTGTACATACAATGATGCTGAATTGTAACCAGTCTGAACCAAAATTATCAAAGATTTGTTTACCTCATTCAGGTCATTATTATTAGTATTTTAAGATGGGTATTATTTAATCTGACTGCTTTCTAAGAATCAAATGCGCCGCTTTCGTTGTAGTCTTCTGATGATTCGTTTCGACCAGAAACTCTGGCCCGAAGGCGTTGATAACACGTTCATCTTTTGAGACGTCTTCATTCCCATCTGCCGATTTGAATCCATTTGTGCAAAACGACTGCCATTTTGCGGCTTCATTTACAAGAAACGTTTCCAGAGATCGATGCGTATAGGGGATGTTTGGATTCAAACTCGTTTTCCCTTCAGCATTGGTATCGAGAATTCTGCAAAACCACTTCGTAGACTTGTCCTCGCCGACAAAAACTCCAAATATGCAACAGAGAGGGCCATCGTTGGGACGAAACGTGTCGCAACTGACGCGTATCATGGTGCCGTGAACTTCATTTACGTGGAACCGATGCCAAGATGATAGGGTGTTTGCATTTGGGGGGCCGGCAATCGTGAACCTTTTCATCTTGATGAACCCCGCCTTTGACTTATTGTGCTTCGGAATTGCTTCAATGTTTGTTACTGCCAAAGTTGATTTTGAACTGTTGAAAACCAGAAGCAGAACTGCGAATTCTCCCAAGGTGAACCTTTCATCGAACGATCTGACGGGAGAGGCCTGCAGATCCCATCCCGGTTCCCTTGAAGGGACGAATATGTTTTGCGTTTTGACGCTTACTCCGTCGGCATTGAGGGAGCCAAGGTTCTTCCAGTGCATTATTATGGGGCGAGGGGAGTCGCGGACAACTTTGTAGGTATCTGCGGTCAAGGTCTTTTCCAGAGGCAGGGCAACCAGAAAGCCATCCGCAGTGCTTGCGGATAGGATGCAGATATATTCGAACGGGCGGAGCCATTGATCTACGATGGAGCGCGGCATCTGAGCCAAGCTTACGATGGGAAGCTGAATGGATAGCCCGAAGTTCGTCATTGAATAGGGCGCTAGCCTGCTCGTCTCATCTCTCGCTGGCTGGTATCCCGCGGCATTTCTGAAATTGCGAGGAGAGGGAGCTAACATGCTCGACCAGGATACCGGGTCGTCCTCGTTCCACGACCAACAAAATAGTGACTCATCTGTCGATATTTTGAGTATTTCCTCTTGGAGACGCGTGAACGCTCTCGTGCCTTCACCGTACAGCAAAGGCATGTTGATGTCGAAAATACCCAACATACAGTAGGCCATATCTTCGACACGCGTGGTTTTGCGGCGAGAAAGCCACGACATACGCTCTGCAACGCTGGCTGCGGAGATACGTGTCCTGTGCTTCATTTTCTTATGGTACAAGTAGGTGGTACCAATGTTGGTAGTTTTTGATATAACATCCGCTAGGGATTTGCGTGTTCCCACCTGCCGCCATTCACGGGAGAAGAACAGGACTTGCTGAGGAGCCAGAAGTTCTTGTAGCGTCCAGCCGCGCGTGAACCAGTGGCTTTTGGAGACTCTGGTGAACAAGGCGCGTCTACTGGTACTCTCATCTGGATCGTTCTCTTCTGATACATCGGAAAGGTAGGCGTAGCAAACTTCGGCATTTCTATACCAAGAGAACATAGAGTTGATAGCTTCGGAAAGCTCAGCGGAGCTCTCTTTGTTGATGCAGGTTGTGTCAACCCAGAGGTACTTCAAATCGTGACGGATGGCCTGTGTTCTGGCCAATTCGATCTTTTGAAATCCGCGCTTTTCTCTTGCGTACGCGAGATTCTTCCAGTCTTGGAAAGTGACCTCTTCAGGGCCCCAAGTGTGAGAGAGGATGGCATAGCGGGGGATGTTGGTGCCGAAGAACTCCTTCAAGGCGAGAGTGCGGGTGTTGATAAGTCGCATCGGGACTGAAGAAAACAAGCATGGATTCGGATGGGGTATTATATGCCGTTCGTTCATGCGCTGAGAAGGCACAACTATGCTGGGGCGCGGTAAGAGGGACGAGAAAGTGCGCTCCTGCTGACCGACTGACAACGGCACCAGATCCTTCGAAAAACGACGTTCTCATTTGTGATGCCAGCTGGCGCCAGGGGAGAGCCATCAATCTCATACCACCCTAGGTATACACTCGTTTCCCATACAAAACTAACGGAGTCGGCATTTTACCCATGAAAAAACAGAATTCAGGTTCATGTAGATGCCCAACAAACATTTAGACAGTCTTATCCTGATTAAAAAAAAAAAAAAAAGGAGCACATCTCACACCCTGTAAGCGGTGGGCCACTTGACTGCGTGACGCCTAGCTACTTGGCACAGCCCCCTAATTAATTGAATCCCTGTACTTTCGAGGCTGCGCTAGGCTTCCTTTCCAACTTACTGGGCTCCGTTGGAGCCCTCCACGTTTCGAGGTTGCACAAAAGGGCTCGTTTCCAGGTCTCATCTACTGTGCTAGACCAGATTCCTTACACATCTTGTCAGGTCCAGTTGATATAGTACCATATCAGAAGTTGGGAAATTGACGTTACCTACACGAAGAAAACCAAGCCTCCCGTTCAAATCGAGGTCCACGTACCTGTTATTTTGCAGATATTTTGTCTCATCGGCTGCCGCCTCAGCATCACGACAAACTCTCATACCATCAGAAGAGCTATGTCTGGCTCATCAACCAAGAGGCGGGCTCAGAACTCCATCCCAACAGGTCACAAGCGCCCCCGCATCGAGTCTTCCAGTGGTCGACGCGATGCAGTTGACGAAACTTCGAGAATCGAGGCATCTTCTAGTACCGCAGAAAAAGCTGGCAAGATATGTCATGGATGTCGCAGAATCGATTTAGAATGTATTTTTTGCGAAAACATGCGAAATGCAAAACTTTACAGAATCTGGGGCGGTCGACGGTTTTCGTTGCGACACATGAGTCCACAAAACAACTGTCCTTTGTGCAAATTCTTCAATAACGCAAGGAGCCCTCCAATAAAAGAAACTGAAACCGATCCGACATATGAATTGCGTGTTTTCCCCGCAAAGGGTGAACTTGGTGCTTGGAGGCTTGACTTTGACGACTCGCCGGGCTTTGTCGTCCTTCCTTCCAGCAGTCATTATCCCGGCTCATACCAAGATACTCAAGGAATCATTTTGGAGCTCGCCGATATACCTAATAGGCTTTGTGGTCGTCAGATCCAGCCTCGTGTTGACCTCTCTCTCCTCAAAGGATGGCTGGGGTTTTGTGATAACAATCATAAAGCGCTCTGCAAGAAGCCCATCTCGCAGATGCCCCAAGGCTTCCGCATGATAGACTGCTCAACGCGGAAGATTGTGTCATGGGAGAGTGCTGTCGACCCCAAGGACTACATTGCCCTCAGTTACGTCTGGGGAAACGCTGAGGAGGGCTATGCGGTCTCTACAGACTCTCTTTTGGGCCCATTGCCCAGAACCATCGAGGACAGCATTCTCTTAACAACTAGTCTCGGCTACCGGTATTTATGGATAGACCGGTACTGTATTCCTCAGGATAACATCGCAGGCAAGCAGTTGCAGATCCAGAGCATGGGACTCGTCTACGAGAACGCCGTCGTGACAATTGTCGCCGCAGCCGGCGATGGTCCTCATCACGGGTTACCCGGAATCAGTGCGACGCCTCGAGAATCTCAGCCCAGCGTAAAGATTGGAAGCAGGACGCTCGTGTTTATTCCATACCCGAAGAAAGAAATTCTGAACTCGAAGTGGAACAGCCGGGGTTGGACTTACCAAGAAGGACTCCTCTCGCGAAGAAAGCTCATTTTCACTGACACACAGGTGTATTTCCAGTGTAACGCCATGCACTGTCTCGAGAGCATCCAAATTTCTCTCGAGAGGCTGCATATACACAAAAATATCCGGATGCAAGACAACGTGGATATGTCTAGAGTCTTTCCCCTCCGAGGACTCGGCAAATCCACCAATGATCTAGAGGACCGGCTGGGAGAGTACCTGCGACGGGATCTCACGTTCGACAGCGACATATTGGATGCCTTTAGAGGGGTTCTGTCTGCGTTTGAGCATAAGTTCTCAACGCCGATGAAAAGCCTTCACGGAATCCCAATCTACTCAACTTTGTTTTCGACGACGGATTTAGAAGCTTTCGTTTTTGGCTTATCATGGTGGTCTGTTGGCCATCAAGAGCCACAACGACGGCCGGGGTTTCCAAGCTGGACATGGGCGGGATGGAAACTATCAGGAGTTTCGTTCTCGTTTTACGGCGCAACGCGGGATCCAGCAACGCCTTCACTTGTTGATATATCTGTAGAGTATGCCGATGGGCTAGTGCTTCCGTGGAGCGAGAACGAAGATCGAATTCTCGCTAATGACCGCTCGGGATCCCCTCCCAGCTTTCTTCGCATATGCGGTCCGACTTTCGAGGTCCAAGTATCTCCAGATGGCGAAATATTACGGGACGACGAAGCTGGGATTTTGGAACAGCAGATATCACGACGCATGGCTGGCAGTATTCAGGATGCGACGCGCCGGTATCCGTACAGTGCTCATCGGGCAAAGGCAAACGACGACGGCACTTTTTCGCTCACCTTTCTTGTTCTGGGCCATGCAGGTTATTCTATAAGCTTTCTTGTCCTCTGTCAGCCCGAGGGTTGCCTCCATTTTGAGCGATTTGACTCCAGTATGCTAGTAAAGCGCACAGTGGAGTTAGGTGTCAAGGCAGAGCTGGCTATACCCGATGCGTTGAAGGGCTTGACAATGAGAGAGGTCCGGATAGGATGAATTTAGGATATCACTGAGGCCTTCATGAGGCATTTTTATACGCCAGGGCGACAAATTTGTGTCGTGTTTTTTTCTTGCACTTTCGAAAATTTCCTTGCCTCGTGGTTTTTTCCACCGATTGGTACTCTATATCTTCAAAACAACTAATTCCTTCCCGTAAGTGAAAAAATCTTCCATAACGAGCCGTAACATGTTAATTGGGTTCTGATCAGACGTTCCATCCCAGTGGATTGGTAATTGGTACAAGCGACCTCCTCCCTCAACCGCTGCGTACCTTCATGCATCGGAAGGCCCTACGCAAGCGCGCGGCCAGTGTTGTCCGGGTCAACTTCGAATAGTCGATGTGGCAATTGCCACGGTAGTAGTCTAGATGTCAAGCCTGAGCTGACAAATTGACTAGAGAGATTGCTCACTTCAGTTAGCGTACGGGATTGATGGATGCTAACTCTTCCAAGAAGTCGCCTCAGTAAGCCATGGTTTTCCGACTCGACTAGAATACTATGAGAATTTTGTTAGACGTAAAATTTGAGAGTGTCTCTTTCTTTATCAAGAAATACCTAATTACGGAAATGTAAAATGAACAGTAACCTGAATATCCTATCACAACATCCATGGACATGCGAATTGGTTTGTCGCAGTTTCGTACCGAAAATCGTGGGGTTTCGGCGATAGTGTTGTTGACTAACCAAAGAAAGGCAGACTATTGTTTGTTTGTTTTTCCTTTTTTTTTATTTCTTATTTTTTTTTTTTTTTTTTTTTTTTGCCAATGTTCCGGTAGACTAATACCAAATCAAGTTGTACACCCCGTACTCCGCTATAATACCTCAACATAAGGTACGAAACCAATAGCATCCGACAACTAAAGGATGCGCAACTTCTCTACTGTTGTTCCAGTTTACAACTTGTAGCGACGGTCCTTATAAAAAGCTGCGTAAGCTGCAGTTTCTCACGAGTCGTTGCCCAGGCGGAGAGTTCTGACCGTTGTGGATGCGCTCGAGTTCAACGAGTCATTGTCACTCGCAAAGCCTGATAGGTTTTTCTGGAACGCTAAAGCTCCACCCACGGGGCCCCGTCCGACCCAAACAGGCGAATAGATCAAAGATTCGCTTAAGTTTTTTTGGGTTGCTGGCCGATGAATCGAGATTCATGGGTTGATGATGTCATTCTCGATGAGGTTAGCCGAGTTAATTTTTCTTTCATTTGTCGCCACGTCGACCAACCCCATCGGTTCTAGAACCCCCATAACCCACACGTGTGGTCGATCGAAAAGTCGGTTCAGGAGCGGGGACGCGTCAATCTTAATCCCCCCTGACAGGAAACGCCTCCAACGATGGAAGACTGAATAGGTTCGGAGCGAAAGTTGTGTTACTTGAGACTACCGAGGCCTCACCGAGGATACACCCCAGGATAATCACGCGTCAGACCACCCTGCATTCCATCACCCGGCGAGACATCAATGTCAACCTCCGCCGAGCCCCAGCGCGAGCGGGAGGTCCAGCGATACCTCCAGAGTTGGCAGGTCGCCCAGGGTTCTTCTCTAAATGTCGCCCTCAATGTCGAAAGCATCGCCGCTCCTGACCTGCAAAGCAATGGCTGGAAGCCCAAGGCTTCTCCTGACAGGACTCTCACAGCCTTTGCTCAACTGGCTGTGCTGCGACTTGACGTCAGGCGCGCTATGGTATCGCTGATTGACTCGACAACCCAGACCATCCTCGCCGAGGCCACTCAACATATTCAACTCGGAACTCACGATGACGCTGCCAAAACCGCGGACCATGAGACCGTGAACAGCACCAATAGCGATTTATGGCGTATGTAGATTTTTCCAAGGACACATGATTTAGTTGCACTGTTTCACGACACTATCCTGCCCACCAATGTCATGAGATTGTGCTTTCTTTCTTCCCTTGTCTCAACGCAAGAGTCATGGAAGGAGGCCTACCTTGCAGTGCCCATATGCTAACGATGCAAACCTCGACTAGTGGGCGCCGCTATCCTGTCCCGTCCGGACGCCGTCTGCGAGCACTCTCTCATTAACACGTGTACTGCGCTTGACTCCAAAGACCAACCATTCACCGTTCCTGGTCTCATAGTCCCCGACTGCCGTTTCGACTCACGCTTCAGCAAACGTCCATACGTACTGTCAGAGCCAGGCGTCCGCTTTTACGCTGGTGTGCCCATCTTTTCTCGCAATGGCCACAGAATCGGCTCATTTGCTGTCTCTGATGAGCGCCCGCATGATGGGTTGACTGTCAGTGAAATCAAATTCATGCAAGGCATCGCCCAGACTGTCATGGAGCATCTTGAATGGGCGCGAGACCGTGTTGACCGGTTCAAGGGTGAGCGCATTGTCCGTGGATTGGCAGCTTTCGTCGAGGACTGCTTCACTTTGAGCGAGGACCCTACCTTGACCAAGGATAATGTGTCGCCAAACCCGTCTACAATGCGCCCACCTGAAATGCCGCTCATCTCTTCAAAACGTCCGTTATCGACATCTAATTCTCACTTTCGATTTGGCAGTTCCGGCTCCCCCCGGGCCTCGCTCTCTATGCGCCTACGTAATGAGGCGCCTGGCTCTCCTCCTCAGTCACCACCAAGGCATCAGAGACAGACGGCAAGACCGAAATTTGATAGTATTTCAAACATATACCACCGAGCAGCTGAAATCCTCCGACGCTCGACACTGGCCGACGGAGTCGTTTTTCTAGGAGCCACGGCTACGACATCTAAGCAGCTCAGCCGATCTATCAGAAATGGCGGATCAAAGTCCTCTGATGAGGATGAGCAGTCTGTGCCCGTCACCTCGGGATCTGAAGGTGTCGGAATCGACAGCTCTGACTCTGACACATCGCCATCATCGAGACCCTGCAAAATCCTCTCTTATTCCATCACCGACGAGCAGACACGAGCAGGCATGGAACAGGGCCCTCCACTTTCACTCGGAACACTTGAGAAGTATTTCTCTTTGTTCCCCATGGGTAAGACTTTGTCTTTCACAGAGACCGGAGCCGGGGTTTCCTCCGAAGACGACAGCGCAAGCGACAGAGAGCCCATGAGAGTTGGGCCGATATCTGGAGAGAGGTCCACCGAAGGCAGACGCCGGAGGGTAAGGATGGATCACGAAGAGCTACTTAAGAAGATCCCCGGAGCAAAGTCAGTAGTCTTTGTGCCGTTGTTCGATTACAGTGAGGACAGATTTGCTGGAGGATGCTTCCTTTGGACCTCTGTTACCGGCCGCATGATGAACCTCGATCAAGACTTATCGTACCTCCGCGCTTTTGCCAACAGCATAATGAGCCAGATCGGACGTGTCAACACCCAGAAGAACGAAGTGGCAAAGACAACCTTCATCGCTAGCATGAGCCACGAGCTGCGAAGTCCCCTGCACGGAATTTTGGGATCCGCAGAGCTTCTCACGGACACCGAGACTGATACATATCAGGCCGGTCTTATCAGCTCGATTTCTACATGTGGAAAGACGCTGCTCGATACTCTAAATCATGTGCTCGATTACAGCAAAATCAACCGAATCGGTCGCGCACAGATGAGAAAGAGTGCAAGGCAAAATAGGCCGGTTGTTCTCTCCTCCGACTCCCTGGAGAGTTTGAGTATGACGGCAGTGGTGGATCTGGGTGTCCTGGTTGAAGAAGTGGTTGACACTATTGCGGCCGGGCATGCGTTCAAAAAGCTTGCGGGTGCTGGTGTTTTGAAGCCGACAAAAGCTGTCAACGGCCAGTTGATGGAGCCCGTGACGATTGGGAAATACCAAGCTCCTGGCTCTGAGGGACCAGTGTCGGTGTTACTCAACATCTGCCCGAGGACTTCGTGGCTTGTAAAGACACAACCTGGTGCTCTGAGGAGAATTATAATGAACTTATTCGGCAACGCTTTGAAGTACACTTCATCCGGGTTCGTTCTCGTCTCCCTCAGTAGCCAACCGAGACCCGACGGGTCAAAGGTCAGTACCTTGATACGGGTGGCCGATACTGGAAAAGGCATGTCGGACGATTTCCAACAAAATAGGCTCTTCGTGCCGTTTAGCCAAGAGGATTCCTTCCAGCCTGGTACTGGTCTGGGTTTGAGCATTGTCAAGCAGATTGTGGATTCTCTTGGCGGGACGCTCGAGGTCAAGTCAGAGCAAGGACGAGGAACTGAAGTCGACGTGCACCTTCGCTTGGCCCCTGCCACTGGCGAAGCAGCCCACCAACCCGACGAGCTCATTCGGTCCCTTAAAGATCGAACAAGAGGTTGCCGGGTTGTGGTGCTGGACGGAGAGGAAAAGCATCAGCCGACTTCTGTTGTTCGGCAAGTCACCAAATTGCATGAGGTTCTCGCCGAGACTTGCACATCGTGGTTCGGAATGCAAGTCGAGAGGGAAACTCCTGACAACGTTGACAAGGCCGACATCTACGTATATTGCGAGCCACCTCCTATAGAAGCGCTGGAGAGGCGATTCAGGGATCCCACAAAAAGATCACCTCGAAAGATCCCTATCGTCATCGTCTGCCAGAACGCCGAGGAGGCGATCCATCTGTCGCACAAGCACACGAAAATCTTGGCCGAGATGTCACAGATTGTCGAAGTGATACCGCAACCGTGAGTCTAAACTCTGTTTCTGAGGGCAACCTCTATATATCCACTGCAATGCTAACCCAGTTTCTAGATGTGGCCCGAGAAAATTTGCCAAAGTCTTCAGTAATTGTTTCAAGCGAGTTGAGGCTGCGGCAAAACTCCCAAACGGAGAGCTCATATCAGCTCCCTCGAAGATCAAGACGAAGCAGAGGGAAAAGGAACAGCCTAACACCTCTGCAAAACTCGACGATAGGGTTGTCGTTCATTACGACCAACCTTCGCCATCCGTCAAACAGGAAGTCGCTTCCACTGAAGCAATCGCTAAATCCTTGGATGCGCCCGAACTACAGGAAGAGGCTTCAAATCCACAACCTGCAGGTCGGAAAGACAGCAAACTACACGTCCTGCTCGTCGACGACAACAAAATCAACCTCAAGCTTCTTGTCATGTTCATGAAAAAGTGCGGCTTCTCCTACGAAGAGGCCGAAAACGGACAGGAAGCAGTTGATAGGTTCATAGAGGCGTCTGGCGTTTTACCTTTACAAGACTCACCCCAACAAACCAAGCAGCGACCATTCGACTTCGTTCTCATGGACATCAGCATGCCTGTATTAAACGGCTTTGAAGCTACGAAGCGCATACGGGAATTTGAACACGAACACCGAATCACACCGCCCGCAAATGTTGTTGCTCTGACAGGCCTGGCGAGCGTCGACGCAAGGCGTAATGCCGAGTCCGTGGGCATTGACGTTTTCCTTCCAAAGCCGGTTCGTTTTGCCGAGTTGAAAAAGCTGTTGTCAGCTGGCGAGACTCACGGGTAATGACTTTTTGCGAAGAGTGTGAGGCTGGCGGATTTGGTGTTTACTCGCTGGTCGACGAAACAGTAAATATCAAGTTTAGACTTATAGACACATTAAAGAGGCAGAAATAAATTTCTTTCAAAACCATCAGTCTGCTGTAGATCGAGGCTCGTGTATAGGTGAATGCGTAACCTCCATGTTTATGTGCTTGGAGCCTGACGACTCAGCACCCGGAGTTTATCTGACGAAATACTCCAAGAAAAGAATGCTCCGAAAGTCACATTGAATTTGTTTGGTGGGTTCTACATCAAGGATCGATGAGCTTCTAACGCGTCCAGGTACGACTACTCTTGCTGAGAAAAAATGGGTGACTGTGCAGGGTCATAAGTCGAACCGAAGCCCGCAGCAAGCACGCCGCAAGCGTCATGCACCAGTTGCCGACTGATCTGATGTACACTAACACAAAGGTCAGAAGACTCCTCATCTCCTACGGGAAAGCAATTACTCACCCAGCAAGTACCAGCACAGAGTGAGTGGCGCCCTTGTAAACTTTCGTCTGGACCTCAACACCCGCATCTTTCAACTGATCCGCGTACTTCAATCCTTCGTTCGTGAGAAGGTCCACTTCCGCCACGGCTACCCACGTCTTGGGGCTTTTCTTAAGAATCTCCTCAGGGGCAAAGCAAGGCGATGCGTCCCATTTCTTCTTGTCTTCGGGTTGCGAAAAGTAAAGGTCCTGGTACCAGGTCATGCGACCTGGGGTCAACCAAGGGACGTGCTTAGAGAGTGCCCATCCTGTCTCCGCGGTGGCAGTGCTGTCAATGACAGGGCAAATGAGGAGTTGAGATATGGGATCTGGAGTCACGTTCGCCAGAGATGCCTTCATGGTAAGGACTGCGGCCAAGTTGCCACCGCTGCTGTTTGTAAGCTACATGAATAGAAAAGGAGTAATCCGATTCACTAACGCTGAAAGCCCGGCAACTGTGATGAGAGAGGTGTTGATGTTAAGACGTGAGGCATTCGAAGGTTCAACTATCCACTTGAAACCAGTAAGACAGTCATCCACGGCGGCCGGATAGACATGCTCAGGCGCATGGCGGTAGTTTATCGTGACTACCACACATTTCACATCTGTGACGGCTAAATAGAGTGCCTCAAATTAAGAGAGCTTAGAACTTACATTTACAAACATGAGTCAAGAAACCGTTCTCGCTGTCTAGTCCGCCGTTGACCCAGCCACCTCCATGCAACCACACCATGCATGGCCACCCTTGTGGCGGTGCTTCACCTTCCGGTACGAACACGCGCACCTGAATTCCATCTCCCAACTCCTCATCCCAAGTCTTACCGACAGGCGAGAGCTTTTGCGTGGTGTGGGCGAGCGGGTTGGGTTTGGACCGCGAGGCAGGATCCCAAGGCTGCGCCTCGGAGGGTTCCATGAATTGAATTATGCTATCATGAAGGGCGACGTATTCAGGGTCCAGCTGCGCGCGGACCGAGGGGTGGATGGGTTGGTAAATCTTCCTTTCTTCCGACATCTTGGGAACGTCTAAGGTAAAACAGCCAAAAAAAAATGCCCAGAGCAGTGGTGAAAATGAGGGGGTGAGGTTGTAACTGGTTGACGTGATTGGTGTGGAGCTACGGAGTGAGACTTTTTTGAAAGTTTGCGAACGGACCCATTGCAAACTGTAGTTTTTCAAGCCAATTCGGGCGATGAAGTCCAGGAGGCCCACATTCTGCTCGCTGTGAAAGTGATACATTTTGATGGGAGTGCGCAAGTCTATCATGTAAGGTAGTTCAAGTAGGGTTGTCAACCACGTCAGAATTGCATGCCGAAAGGAAAAATCGACTGTCTGGTAATTTGGCCATAAAATGGGTCTCTGCTAAAGGTTGCTGGTAACTTATTGGCACTCACAACATAGACAGAGTTCCCAACTAGCTGGCTTAGAATACTTGCTGGGCTGCATAGTAACTGCAATTACTTGCATATTTAGTTTGTAAGAGTAACATGCCATCTTCATAGAATGGAAAGAGTCGTTTACATACTAAATGTAACTACTTTAATAGAAGGAGCCTACAGTGTGTCTAAATACATCTCAATAATGTGTGACATTTTGTTCGTCCTGACTAGAAGATGCCGAAACGAGGCGCAATATCAATATGCAGTGTCCAAGTCTTTAAACGTGCAATTCGTTTCTCTCAAGCAACTTAATACCAGTCTCAAACTACAGCCCCGTTAACTAACATCTGATACTTTAGAATCCCCTAAGGTTTGTCAACTACAACCTTAAACAAACTCCGATATATTGCGTAGTAATTGAGAGATATACAAAGACCAGCTCTATCCAGTCGAATTCTGCTTGAAGCCTGTAACATAGTTATGTATAGTTTCGTACTACCTTCATTAGTGGTAAATTTATGTCGTCTTGTGTTTGGCACGAGTCGTATGGCTGGTGGTTAATGTAGTCAATCAATTTACCATTCAGATTTGATTGGGCAGTCAAAGTAGATATGGGACCCTTGAGTCCAATTAGACGACCCTGGTGGTACAATAGTCCAGCTCATTCGCTAATAGGATCCCCTCCCGGCTCATGTATCCACTGATATCGATGGCCTCTGGCGAGCTGCATGTAAGAGATACGAAATACCTATGATTCCCGCAGACCAAGGTGATTGACCACAGTAACAATCCGTGAAGCTGACCGGCCCGGAAAAGTTACAAGACGGAGAGCCCGTATGTTTAGCGGAAAAGTCGAAAGAGCGGACCGGCAATATTTACCAGCTCAGGTGGTTGGGCTTGGCAGTATGGCGATGCTGCAGGGCTTCTTAATATGACATTGTCACCGCCCAGTTACATCCAGGATAGTGCCAAGGATCTGATGCAGGTGAGCCGGCCTAATGATAACCGAGGGTTCTAATCGATCGACACATTCGCCATACGGACGGAACTATTCTCAGGAAGAAAAAAAAAACAGCATTTATCGCTGATTGGTGTATAATTTCGCAAAACCTTGCTGATTAGGAGAGTGCCCGCGACTTTGGGGCCAGTGGCGTCCAGGAACCCTCAACGCCAACTTCCACAACCGATGACTGCCGTACCGGCATTTGTGATTCCTTGCAGGCCCTTCATACTTCCGAGCGGTGAAAGGGTGTAGAGATGATTTATCTTTAGGGTGGCCCTTGTTCTATCTTGGAGTGCCAGCTTCCAATGGCTGCGAAAGCCACATGAGGGAGAGACGTCGTTCAAAATAACTCAAAGCTTTTTGGTTAAAGGGCTCCCATGGACCCAAATTAAGCATACAGGTAAGCTATTGGGGTTCCCCGCGGCGGATTACCTCCCCAACCCCTTCCCCGCAAAGTCATAGCAGCATGGGCAGACCCCGCACACGTATTGTAGCTAGGATCTGCTTTTCCGTCTAAATCTCGACGCCCACATTAGTAGATCTTCGTATTGCCATATTTTTCGGTTTATGGTTCGCGCTTTTGCCAAGAAATGAAGTCACCAAGAGGCATATCCCATAAGGTACTCATCGGATAAGCAGATGGAAATACACGCACACACGATTCATTGCATGGGCGGGTGTTGGGTCAGTGAGGGGAACCTGGAAACACTGGATATTTACAACATTTAGGACTGCTGGTAGAAAAGCCTCAACATGTTTGGCCAATGAGTATAAATAGTGCTTGAGGCAGACCATATCGTAAAAAGATTCTGGTTGCTTCACCTCCAGAGACATCGGTAGCCACATCTCATCGGCAGTCACCATGAAGGTCTCTACTCTCGCAGTCACCGCGCTGGCTAGCGCCACCCTCTCATCTGCGTCTATCTCTCTGCCAAACGGATGGTTTTCCATTGCTCCGGAAGAAAAGATTAAGCCGGGCAAGTTCAAGGGCGAGGACCGGTTCTTGACTTGGATGGCCGACTCTCAGATCAAGCATGGTGTCGAACCTACTTTCGCCTACACCATCTCATCCTTTTACTCTGGTGTCTTGTTGGCTTATAACCGAACCGGCGACCAAAAGTACTATGATTATGTGAAGCACGCGGCTGATATCGTTCTCTACCCGGCATGGGACGGCGAGATCCTCTTGTACAACAAGAGTAACTCCATCGATGACATCCGCTTTGGCCACACCTTCCTGGACCTTTACGGACTCACTGGTGATGAGATCTACAAGAAGGCTGCTCAGACCTTGCGCGGCCAAATCGACCGCACCGGCCGCACCCCTGACGGCGGCTTTTACCACCGTTACCCTGTTTACATCGACCAAATGTGGCTGGATGGCATCTACATGCTCGATGTCTTCTACGCTCGCTGGACCCGCGAGTTCGAGGCAGATAACTCTACTGCCTGGGACGATATTGCTCTCCAGTTCGACTTGATCGATGCCGGCACCACGGCCGAGAACCGCACCAACGGACTCCCGCTCCATGGCTTTGATTGGAGCAAGAAGGCCATCTGGGCCCACCCGGAAACTGGCGCCTCTCCGCACGTCTGGGGTCGCGCCGTCGGCTGGTACATCATGGCTCTCGTTGACACTCTGGAACTGTTTCCCAAGGAACACCCCGGTCGTGAGCGCTTGATTAAGTACCTCCAGTCCGTGTCAGATGCTATTGTCGCTGCCCAGGACAAGAAGACCAAGGGCTGGTGGCTGGTTATGACCCCCGGCACTGAGGGCCAGTGGGGCAACTACATCGAGAGCTCTGGTTCTTCCATGTTTGTCTACGGCTTGCTCAAGAGTCTGCGTCTTGGATACATCAAGGGAGATCAGTACCTCAAGACTGCTCTCAGCGGATACAAGCTGATGACGGATACCTTCGCCACCACACGTAAGGGTGACAACGCTCTCGTCTACGGCTGGACTGTGCAAACCGGCAGCTTGAGCTCCAACGGTACTTTCGAGGTAAGGATGACTGGATTTTGATTGCTTTTTATCCGTTACCTCTTTTTTATGTAGCCTTACTAATAATGTTCACAGTACTATGCCAGCATGCCGCTCTTCGAGAACGACCTGAAGGGAGTTGCTCCCTTCTTGTTTTCTAGCTACGAATATGAGCTTTACTTGGAGCAGAAGAAGTAGAGTTAGATCACTGTTCATTTTAGAAGAACGAGGACCTGTTCTTGATGGAATCATGAATCTATGGCTTGAATGAATAGAAATTGCACAATCATGTAGTCTCATGAAAGCTGCGGTATAATTAATAGAATTATTCAAGACGCATAGATGAAGCCATTTGCATGGAACTTTTTACGGACAGCTTCGCCCGAACTAAGTTATAACGAGGGCCATAAACTATGACCATCAGTTTTTAAGGTTGGATGATTATAATCTCACTCTCTATAAAGCCGTCGGACTCCTCACGTTGCGACAAAGCTACATCCGTGAATATTCATCAAGCAGTTCCGAGACAACGAACTGCCAAATTTCGGCATAGTCTTGAATTTATGACTGCCACAAATCGAATGGAGAATACCTGAGCTGCAAAATTCACGAATCGCTCTTGTACTCAAACAAGTCAATTCCTTGGATGAGTCGATTGTGGTATCTTGAACGAACGCAGCTCAAGACACTGCGAGCAGAATACGCAGGACCAAAGAGAATTGACATTATGTTTGATTGCAACTTTTCATATCGTGGCGCAGAAGTAGCTCCTCATATGAATCTATTTTTGTTTGCGCGTTTCTTGGGGAATGATTCTACCGGAACATATAATGGCCAAATTCTGCTATCTCTTAGGTTGCGAAACGGAAGTCAAGCCTATGAGAATCTAAGTTAGCACAAGACCAGAAGCGAAATGTAGCGAGATACTTACCGCTTGTTTCCTTCATCTGTTGTATTAGTTCTATATTCGTGTTGTTCTTCTGGGCTCATGGCATCCCAGATCTTCGCCTTTTGATCGTTCCTCCACCGGTAATAGAAGAAGGTAAATGGGTATTGTACGAGCTATGACTGTGAGCCTTTGCGTTCATTTCATCAATGGGGATTTGAAGATGCATTCAACTTACACACATCCATATGCAGATAACTAGTAAACCTTTGTTGGCCTTGTAGTACCGGGGGCTGTCATCGGGTTGATAGACTTCTTGGATTAGCATGTCGATTGTCACATGGATAAGACCGTCGACTCACTGTTTGCTCCTATCATACCACTCACTTGCACCCACATATTATACAGCCTTAAGATGGTTAGTAAAAAATTAGCCAGAAAGAGATTATTCGTAACTTACGAGGCGGAAACTGTTCTGTTCTGGACAGATCCTGCGTTCCTGCTTGTCCAGGCAACCTGAATGGGATGGGTGCTGATACCGGTTAGCTGAGCTCCAGGTTGCTTCCAGTGAGTACATACTATGGGAATGATAGCAATACTGTTGCAATGGCAAAATAAGACCAGGCACCAATTGGGTCTGGTAGGGCAATCAATGCCACGAAACACGGTAGCAGCCACGCGTCTTCCGCCATCGCCACGAAACTCCGATTGTTGACCAGCTCACTAAAGGCGGTAATGAGCAGCATTGTCAAACTGGAACCAACAATGTTCGGAATTGAGAGCAGGTTGGTCTCTATAACGTTGAATCCCAGTTGCCGGAAAGACAGAGTGAGGTACTGGTTGACAGGATACTTTGGCAAGCCGAACAGCAGGCCCAGAGCGTACAAAGGCCACATGTCGTAGTCCTTTGCACATTTCCAAATTTGCCCAACAGACAAGCCTTGTCTGTTGTACATGCCACCTTTCTGAGGATCATCGCGGATGACTTATTGATGTGTGGTCAGTAGTGTACCAAGTTGAAAGTCTTGGGCAAGGAAGGCTCACCGGAGTTAACGATAATCTTTACCTCCTTTTCCTCGAAGTAGCCCTTGGGGTTCCACCAACTCTTCGTCCGGGCTGGGCATTGCGGCATCAGAAAGAATGAGAGAATTCCAACAAGGAAGGTGAAGCAACCCCTGGAGAGTTATTAGAAATAGGTTCGGACGTTGCGAAGCTAAACTCACTCGATGAGGAACATCCATCGCCAGCCTTCATAGTTCAAAATGCCCCGCATGGACAGAAGACCAACAGCTGCGAATCCAACGCCGATATCGACTGGAAAAAAGTCAGATTTTGCTAATCTCATCTTTGTTTAAGATTCTTACCTATTTGGGAGGACATCCAAAACCAGGCTAGGCGGATGGGCAACTGACAATGGAGATGTAAGTAAAGATTTGCCTAACCAACGTTGGCGATTCAGTTCAGTATTCTTACCGATGTACCGGTATACCAGTAACTAAGATATAGAATGGTGTCTGGGATAAAGCCACCTTGAAATGTAGCTCTAGTTGTTCATGTTAGTGAAGCTTTTAGGTCAATTATAGTTAGTATACTCACATCAAGTAACGGGTCGCAAGGAAGGAGGCTCTTCCCTTGAGGAAGAACTGCAACGCAGAAATAGTACTGAATAAACAAATTTGGATAGGAATCCATAGATCCGGACCAATTCTGTGGACGTTAGCAAGGCTCCCATGATAGCAGGTGGATGTAGTCTGACCGCTTAGAGATGAGCTGAGATGGCAACTCAGCGACGAGGAAACCGACTCGGGAGATTGTTTGGCCGATGTTCTTTCTCAAATTAGCATTGATCAGTTATAAGGGACTGGTGTGATGTCAAGGGTGGAACCAACATAATCACCGCGGGTGAGGCCGAGGTCATCGAGCATGTTATCAGAGACAGCGTTGTTGATGTTGTTTCTGTCAATGTTCAATGCAGCAAACATGATGCAACACCAAACCTAAACAGTTAGCTTTGTATCTCGAAGTTCGATCTACCAAAAACCTACCATAATCTTCCAGTCAACCTTCCGTCTGACTTGACGCTCTTCTCTCCATGTCCAGCGGAATGATGGATCAAAAGCTGTCTTATTTTCCCATTGCTCGTGAATATAGAGCTCTTTATATTCTTCAAGGTTCTCGGAGTCCCAGATGCTAGGTTGCGTTGCGATCTTGAACTTGATTAGCGTACAATTCCAGGAAATGCTCGCCAAAGGATGCACACTTACTGCATCTAGGTCGTATTCCTCACTCTTTGGACCCTTCCGAATTCTAAAGAAACGAAGAATGGCGTCGCCAAGAGCTGCCTCCATACGCTGAGTCTGCTGAGTCGCCAGTGCTGGGGCTGTAGGGGGCACCGAGTGGACAGCATCCTTGTCGATGCCTGTCTTCGAGTCCACACCTGCATTGTCTGAAGAGGTGATGGACCCTGGGGGTGAAGACTTGACAGTCGGTTTCTGCTGGGCAGACATTTTGGCCCTCGACTGAAAGAAATAACAGGAGTTCTTCGGTGACAGCAGATCTGACAGACTAGGGAAGAGAACGACCAAACAACCTATTTAAAGGACGAAGGGGTAAAAGTCTTCCTCAGGGATTTCGGTCGCCTCCCGAACCCCCTGCCCGCAGAGCCGGACTGTTGGCCGACGCTTGTTCCCGCCAAGCGGCAGTCATGGAGAGCACGTCAAAGACGTGATGAAGAATTGGGATTGTCCATAGGCAGGGCAGAACTCCGATACTCCAATTTTTTCCCCTTTACCAAAACACTGCTCCCCACAGCAGACGACGACACCTTGTTCGCTCAGGTAAGAAAGACACATAAGATCACAGTCCGAGGAGATCCAAAGCTTGAAACAAATTACTTGCATCCTTCTTAGTTAGTGCCTGTACCCAATTCAACGCTAAGAACCTAACTGCTCGGGATATTGCTCAACTTTAACCTTAAGGCCATATCGTTCTATCTTCTCTTTCAAACCTTTCTCTGACATTGATCTATCGATACGCGTTCCTTAGCGGATCGGTAATTGAGGAACAAACAATTATTGGGGCCGATGCTACGGTCCGTCCACTTTAGTGACTTGCGCCATTCGCTTGCAGCGCACGCCATTGATTCACCATCATCTGAATCAATGGCGTGCTACATACTCACATATCTGTTGCCGATGCCGTCGAAGTTGAGTATTCAAAAACCAATCAACATTCTGATGAATGTCACCCGGTAAGTGTTCCCCGATTTCGCCGCCAATTAGTCGCCGTCGACGACGGCAAATCTCACTGATGCCCCGGACCACCGGGGCCCAGATTTACCTCGCCCCACCCCCGAAACGGAAGGTCGTTCTATGTGGACCATGCCCGGACCTTGATTCTCCGCCGATTTTCTCATGTTCGTATACTTTTTTAACGCTTGACATGCGCAGTCCCATCCCAGTTATCATCCGTCTGAATGCGAAAACCCCGTTTCCTCCTATTGATGCATCCAAAGCCACAAAGCCCCCTCGCCACTTGGCCGACGATGTTTTGTAAGATGCAAAGAACAAGATGTTGAATCTTGTGCGATTCCTGATGTTGAGTGTTCGCCATTTATGTTTAATCGTTTCGTTTTTGCTTCATACACACAGACTGGAAGTTGTATATGCAACACTGTAAGCTCTTGTGTAGGTTGAGCAGATTGCGAATAAATTGTTGGTTTATTCATTTGGCATAAGGTGAGTACTCCGGTGGTTTCCCAACTTCGTATGGTGGTGGTGGCGTTGAGAGCACAGCTCCCTCTCTGTAAGTATATGGAGTATGGCAATATGAAACCTCGGAATGGCATGGTCTGCAACATGAAGTCTGCCGATTGTCAGAACCTATCAAAGCTAACTGGTGAGTCAAGGACACCTTCGTCGACTGGCATACCTGAGGTGAACGAGGAGAAATTTCTGCTAAGGATGAGGCATCATTGACGGTGTTTATTTGGTCTTCAATAGGATCGTAACCGTAATCCCGAATGAGACTCTCTACCCCAGAGTTGAGTTCGTTGGTAGGAGTTGCCGAATTTGGCGGCATGTGAACTTGTGATATGTGACATGATTCTTGATTGAGTTGAAGGCGGCTGCCGCAACAAAGACAGCGTCGGCGACAGTGCATCCGGTTGCGATATTTGAATCCGTACTCCATGTAATAGTTATTACCTAGATTGGTCTCAGTGGTTCTAGCTCGCTCATGGTGGCAGCAGCGTTGGTTTAGGTGCACGCATGCCTGGCATGAACCGTAGCGATGCACTCTTGAGCCACGTGAGACTTCGACATACCACTTGCCGCGACTCAACATGGCCACAGCCTGGAGGAGAGAACCCATGTTGACAAGTAATACGATGCAGTTTTCCTTGCTTCCTTATGTCAGATGAGCATGGTGACGATCTTGACTTGTTCCGCTTGGAGCAAAGGCTGTCGTAAACCTGGTAGTTTACGATGGAGAAGTTGCAATGGTTGTAACATCAAAACGAGGGGTGGAAGAAATCCGGAGGTCCTAAATGGATTCTCGAAATGATATCTCCGATTAGTTTGCCTTCAAGTGGGCTATCAATGTAGATTCCAGACAACCTTGAGGCTTATACTTGGGGATCCGGCATGTTCACCTGCCGCGCAACAAAGCTTAAGTGTAGTCGTACACGAATAGAGAGCGTGCTGGGTTGTCATGTCCCGCTACTTTTATTGTTCTTAATTCTTGCGAAAAACGATATGTTGTATTGAACTTACGATATTGCAGATGTGGAAGATGTGGTATTGGGCTATATGCCTTCGCTCATTGAACAAGGCCCAAAACCACGTAATTGAGCTCATACTTTGTTTCAGCTGACTTCCATTATCATGATGATATTGACACACCTTTGCCGACACGCGATCACTGACGGGGCAGCGACTGGGAGATGTTGTAGGCATTCAGGCCATTATCGACAGGTTTTAGTGGAATAAGATATGAGTGCTGAGGCTGAAAGCCAAATAGATTCCGGTCCGGGTGTACTTAACCTGTTATACCTGATATCAAGACAAAACTTTCACAACCTGTCTACAACTGAAATACAGCCGTTGTATATTTAGTAGTCGGAGCGACGATCTGGCACCGCCCCCATCCCGGATGCATTCCCTCAGCCCAGATGCGAACATCAATTCCCTATTCGAAACGATGACGTACTGTTAGGGTGCTTGCCTAGTCAGGCGGTTAGGCTAGTATGCACTGCGTATTAGGGCAGCCAATCAACAAGCAAGCAGAACAAGTTGGATTCGATCCCTGGCATCTGCTGGGCGATTTAGACAATTAACTTCTCTTCCTGACCGAATGTGGGCCTGGTTATGCTAAGCGCTATCACACAATGGAGTTTCCCCGGAGTGCCAGACCAATTCATCATAAGCCCAACACTGAACCTTAATGACAATCATACCATACCAAGAAGGAATAGAGAAGTTGGAAGGGACTTTTGTGGTGGAAAAGGTACTTCCCTACCATGTGAGATGATGAACTCTACCCCTGCAGACTTATGAGACACCCACCGCACCGGGGCGTTATGTCTTCGTTATGGGATATACACAGGTAGCTACCGAGACAACAATGTGCAACAAGAGCAATCGGGCCATGAGTCTAATTGGCAGAGCTACGGGAAAGGATTAGTGGCACGTTGTGTCTTGTGTTTACATTTTACCCGCCGAGACGCTAAGTTTTAGCTCACTAAACTACTCTTATTTTCCTGTTTTGTACTGGTCGTAGCAGTAAATACCTATGCCTGCCCACGCGGTGGGTACAGTGTAATATACTAAGCCTTGGCAGGACGAAGGAAGCTAGAAGTGTAGCATTCGTACACTAGTCTGGCGGGTAAGCCCGCCGATTTGACGAACCAGAGGCGTGTTACACCGGCTTCGCCTCGCATGCCGTCAGGGTTGACGCCCTGCGAAGGTGGGCGGGCTCCATTATCGCCTTATACTACCAAATAGTAAGCGGCCCCTTGATTGAATACCACGGGTTCCTGGGCTTTTCATAAGGGTCGTGTCCACTTCCATTCGCGTTTAAGCTCTCGGCTTCCTTTCCCTCTCCCACCCCCCGCGGTGACGATGATGCATTCATGACACTTCTTCTTCGACACCTACCTTAAGCAACATGACTTCAAATAGGTCGATATTGAAGAGTCTGTCTCTTGCGCTCTACCTTAGCGCGCAATTGGCCCAGGCTCAGGAATGCAGCTACGAAGGTGGCTGGGCTCTTCGGAATGATAGATCGTGCCCCCCGAGCGCTCCAGTCGAGTGCGGTACTGGCGCCCAGCCGCGGTGCTGTCCTTCAGGCTTCACATGTACAGGAGATGGAGACTATGTGGGGAATTATTGCTGTTCAGGTAAGTAAATATTTCCAATTGCTCCCGTATTTTCTACCGTTGTCCGGGAGATCAATGCTGATGGATTTTCGTCGCGACAGACCCGAAGGATTGCAGAGCGCTAGCTCTATCACACCCCAAGGTAACTCAACTAACATAACTTGTGAAGGGTTTACGATCCTTCTCTTACTGTCGGTGATTGACAATCATTTAGTGCCCCGACTCATCGTGGACGCTCTGGGGTGTAGACGGCAAGCTTGATAACGGTGGATGGTGCTGCACGTCCGGCTCCAACGGCACGTATCGAGAAAATTCCCAGGGCATAGCGCTTTTGTGCACGCCCTCCACGGCGACCTCCCTCCCACAGAGCCATCACTGGGCCGAACCCGTTAGTACTTCATCATGTTCTACGACAACTACGGCAGCAAGCTCTGCTGCAACGACTACATCGGCAGAAGCGACCTCGGCTACCGCAGCGGGAACAGAGACCACTTCACAGCCCGACCCGACCAACACAGCCGCGCCAGCTGACAAGGAATCGAACGGTTTATCGAGCGGAGGGATCGCAGGGGCTGCCATAGGTGGAGTGGCCGGTGTCGCTTTGATAATTGCAGGAATCTTTTTGATGCGGAGAAGGAAGAAGTCTGCGGCCGAAACGACTACGGCTACTACAGAAGAGGGGGGATGGGCATCTCGTGATAAAAAGAATAACTTTGGCGGTTACTATAACCCAGCTGCTAACGAGATGCCCGCTCAAGCCGCTCGAGTCGAGTTGGCCGACACCGCGCAGCCAACCTATGAGCTGGACGGTTCGACGCCTCATGAGCTTGAATCGATACCCACAAACACACCACGAACAAAATAACGATACCAACGAGACCCTGTCCAAAAGGGAAGCCATCTCATACGAGAAAAGCGAAGAAGAAAGCAATTGTCACATGGCGGAGGATGGATGGATACCACGGAGAAGTAATGTATTTTACTCGCACGCATGAGAGCTTGTGGCAGAGGAGAGGCAGAGAACCTAATGACGTATGGATGGAACCACCGTCGACGACACGTTTTGTCTGCATACATAGTACCATACCAGGACCGACGCACGGCACAGGCTAGCTGTTTACAGTTGCTTGCGTTGGTGCAGGAACTGTCAATAATTGACCGTTCGTATTCTCCACCAATGATGTCGCCCCACCAAATGAACTCCGAGAGGAGACTCTCGGTTAGTGAATGTTTGTGGGACGAACTTGTAGAGAGCAACTGCGTAAGATACATTTAAACAACTGTTTTGTCTGATATGTTGGGGTCACTTACAGGCCGATAATATTTTTACGCGGCAAACAACGATCTTTTCTCACAGCTTCTTTGATGGTCTTTTCTAAAGCTGATTGGCCGCAACAGTGCAGAGAAACCATTCGTATTCGTTAATAGTTACGAGGCTTTGCGCCACAAACCGTACTTGCAACGAATTCAAACTGATTGATTCACAGGACAAGTTTGGTTATGAATAAAGCTTGTGGCTCTCACAGCGCCTAGTCTTCCCTCCACTGTGACCTACGTATGAGCGTGTTTCCGCCAATATTGTGTATATCTGCTTTAATACTGCGGATTTCATGGTTGTCACACAATATGACTACTTCTGTTAACAGATTACCATGTGGGTTAGAATTCGTTAGCACACCATTAAGTGGTAATCATTCATCATCCTCCCAGCTGCCTCAGGTGTATTTGTCAACGAATTTCAGCGGCTGTTCGCAGTAGTTTAGTTGGGGTCATAGGGTTAGCCGTAAAGTAGGATAATCTCTTGAGGAGAATACTGGTGTCTGTTCTTGTGTCCGATGTTTAGGAAGGAGTTCCAGCAGAAGTGCTGGAGAAAGTGATTGCGGAACTTTTACCCGTCTGTCGGACTGCTGGCAGGTCTGCCGGCGACGGAACTACTTCAACCGGGGGTTTCGGCTATTGCAACATGTTTTTTTACAATGTTTTCTACTCTGGTGGCCAACCACACGTAGATCCCAGTCCCTGCCCAGAGCGGTAAGTAAGGCATACCGCGCAATTGTTCGAGGTGAGAGAAAAATACTATCTTAGTAGCATACCCTATTTTAAAAGTTATATATAGCACAAATGACAGCAGATCAAGCTACATACTACGCGCTTTCCGCTAACACTGGAGGAGCTAGTTACCCATGATAGCAGAATCCTTATGTTCAGCCCATACCATGCGTTTCTTCAGTAGCACCGGCCAACGCAAATTGGTGGTCATTCACTTCTGCCAGCTTTGCCGGCGTAATCAGTGTGGTAAGCCCGTCAGAAAAGTGGCTGAGGGTTCTAACAAACAATGGTCAAGGAGAACAGAGCTTGATTGTGTAGTTCTAATCAGTGATTGGTTGTGACCTTAAATCGTTAGCTAGGCAAATGCCTAGTGAACTCCAAAGTACTAAAGAAGTACTAAAATGATTTAAGGTTTTATCACAGCCACCCAGCTGAACACAGTACAATCAGCCACTTGACGTTTGTAGTTGAGCGTCTTTGCTATCACACTAAATAATGAAAATATCAGCAAGAGCTACAATATATTTCATTTATTCTGTGCATACCAGATATTACATGATTAAGGTAATGGAGTGGCTTTCGTAGAGTGCCTCTATGAAATCACTGTTTAAGGAAGGATAAGGCTTAAAACATTAATAACAGGCGCGGCTTTCGTCAAGTCAAATCTTTCTACCTAAGATGTTCGTGGTAACAAGGGGCTTATCTTACCGCTGTCACAAAGGGTTCTGGACCCAAATTTTACATTGCCTCGGAATATTGTAGACAGTGTTTCGAAATTTCTGAGTTCTAAGCTACATTCCCAAGACAGCGGCTGAGACAGATTTCCGCAAAGGTGCCCCACAACAATCGTGACCTTTCCATCTTTGTTGTTCCTTCTTTGTCAAGTGCGTTGCAGCTAATTGGCTTGCCTTATGCAGGGCACATGGGAAGCTAGTTAGCTCACAGTCATAAACAGCCTCTTGTAGCTTTCGCGATGGCTAGTGAGCAAACCTCTAATCCCACAGGCTTCAGCTAGCTTCTAGGCTATTGCCTTGAAACGCCTTGATGACTTCGCAAGGCGCCAGGGTGTACCTATTTACACTTTGCCAACAATGCAATCCAAACAGCCTACCCAGCGCATGTGAAGGCGCTGTGGCTGCGGCTGTGAGATAGCCAAGGACGCACTGGACTAAAAACGGCAATATCCGCAAGAGCATCTTTGAGAATCTGTTGGCAGCGGAGCAGTGGCTGGGCCACCAGTCTCCGAAAATTTACGATTTCTTTTGATAAATATATAGAAGTACGACTTTTGGCTGATCAGAGGCTGCAACACTCCTCATGTTAGACTGTTTCAGGAGGCTTGTAGATGAGGCTGATTTGTACTAATTTACAACTTTCCAAGGAGTCGGATCAGCACATGTCATCAAGAGATTGAAACTGTCAACCATAACTAAAGCTCACATTTCCACACTCATGATTAATTTGAACCCCTATTCCATTTTCTTTCTTCAATAGTCTCACTTTCATCCAGTCTTCTTCTCCTCGGGCGAGATGGCATCCGGATACCACTCGATAGAGCTTGATAGAGATGAGTCTCAATTCCAGGAAGCTCTAATGTTTGAAGGCATTCCAAGCCAAGCACTTGCTCTCCACGATCCCTCCGAACCCAGTTCTAATCATCGCCGGCCGCTTCCGTCGGGGTCGCAGGATACTGTTCAACAGCCTCTTCTTCACGAACAACCACCCCCTCATCATCAATCAAGTGGCCTTGGTCCAGACTCCGAAAACTTTGGATATGGCCATACAGAAAATAAAGCAACACATAACTACATGCCTACTCAGTCAGCCACCAGCTTCAATCACGCCTCAGACCTGAAATACAATCATCTTGAAGCACATAGAGTGCCAAAGCAAATCACACGTACCAGTTTGGCACGCTACTTCAACGGGTGGCTTGTTCATATACCAGCTGTCCTGCTGACAGCCATCACCATATGGGTTAGCACGAAAAGATGGTTCTGGTATCCTGAGGAAGGTCTGGGCAGAGGTATTACTGCCGAAGTTATCGGAAACATTCTCCAGTTTGTGGCAAAGATACACGAGCTTCTCATCGTTGCGTCACTTTCTTCCATTGCTATTGCAATGTTCCGGCGGCAGCTAGTTGGCGATGGCTTACGGCTGGGGCTTCTGACCGGTGGGTACAGGGTCGGCGATATCGGATACCTCATGTCGTCTCCCTTTCGCTGCCAAGGACTAAATGGCACGATGCCATGGGACATTTTCCTGGTCGTTTACATCGTCTTCGCTACACTTCTATCCACAGTTGTGGGTCCCGCATCAGCTGTGCTCATAGTCCCAACGTCGGGCTGGTTTTCACTCAAGCATCCAAAGGCTTTTAGCGATCTTCCAATGCCTCTCATATACTGGGCGAGTAGCAACGAAGCCTGGCCACAGCATTTAAAGGACGGGAGATTGATTGGTAACGAAATACTGGAAAATAATAAATGTAAAACCACCGAGGGGTTATACATTTCTGAGTGCCCCACTGGAGGTTACTCGGAAATCTGGAACTGGGCTGCTAGCCATGGTTCGACATCCCTGGAGAACGTCTTGACCTTCAATCATCCGTCCACAGAATTGCGCCGGCATCTAGTGTTCACCCAAGCACTCAACGCAACAATACTTCTCACTACACCATCACATTTCCTGTTGAAGAGCCTCGGCCTCTTCCAGAAGTATATCACTAGCAATCATGTGGGCACTGTATCCAACGGCGCTCGCCACGAGTTCACAGCGAAGAGGAAAAGTCCCGATAACAATCTATCGCAGCTTCCCATTTATCAGCCTTTTGTTCAATCAAGATGTAGGATTTACAACAAAGAGGAGGTTCGGAGGAACAACAACGTATTATACTATCCGACTGAAGAACTCAACTGCCTTGGCGACGAAAAATGCGAAAAGCTCAAGAAGGATCCACCAACAACTGAACTGGCATTGGAAAGTGACGACAACAAAACGACCAGTATGGCTAGTTCTTACTTTGTGAAGATAGATAACAGCCCTATTGTTCTTACCTACGGACTTGTCGCCAGTTTACCAGAACATCGAGAGGAGGACATGATATACGCCTGCAGCATGTTTGCTAGGTGGGTTTCTTCTGGCTATTCTATCGACGCAAAGGTCAGCGACGTCTTGAGATCCACCCTAAACGACAAGGAGCGGATGAAAGATGTCTTCCAAAGCCGGACTCCTTACAATGGGGACATAATGCCTTGTCGTTTCAACAACGAATGGCTCAAATACCTTGACATCAGTTTTGACAATGCCGTCAACAACACTATGGGCCAAAGCACCAATAGCCCGACATCGTCATTGCTTCAACTCGCCGACCTCTTCCAAGGAGGCGACGATGCAACAGATAAATCTATTACCAGCCGTAATCATAACGAAGCAGAAGTGATTCTAGCTAAAGTGTTTGGGGCTCATCTCACGGACGGGTTATCTCGTACCGGGCCCCAACGGAGCACCATTCTCAAACGCAGCGTAACAAAAGATCGGCTAGAGTTATTCGAGCTAGACACCCAATACGGCTACTACAAGGGTTCCTTAACGATAAAAGCAAAAAACAATACTCATTCACAGTGGACACGTGGCGATGAGATGGGAGTTGAGTCGTGGCCGTTGTCTTTAGAAGGGGTAACCCAAGCAATGAATGAGACTCTCATCCAGTTGGACTTTGATACTAGGCGATATGGATATGGCACCGGCCGGCCTCGAAAGACCTTGACTTTTGCGCTGGTTATCATGTATACCTACCTCGGCATAGCGACTCTCTACGCCCTATCAGTGGGCTCTGCCCATGTTTTAGAGCTGATGGAAAGAGGTCGAAAATTCCGGGTGCCGAGCATAGTTCCTTGGGCCGATCTGCAGGACTTGTTGATCCTCGCGCTGAAGACGCCACCTCCCAGGGATGCCGACCTGGCGGATGCAGGAGCAGGAGTTTCTTCTAAGCGAGCGTGGAGAACACTTGTCAGGGCAAGAGCCGATTCGCAGCAGAATGTACAGCTAGTCCTGGATGATGAAACGACGACAAAAAAGCTGGACCTGACTGGGACGGAGAAGTACTACTAGAGGGCCTGTTTTTGAGTTGATTTGTATTTGGTTGGTGGTATTGGTGTCTGATCATAAAACTTCAACTCTACTGGTTTATATCCCGATGCCCCGGCCAGGCTTTCGTAGAATAGATACAATCACAAGGCTAGGCCCTGGCGGCTTATTCATTATGTTCAAGTCTGGGTAATCTTGCTAAATTTAGTTTTTGAATTTTTTCTGTGATCCGTATCAAGAGATGTAGATGCTGTAACAAAACAACCAGCGACGATTGGAGAATTTGTTGATAATTTTCTAAAGAGAAAATAGTTTCAAATGCATGTCCTGACTAAGGAGACGACCAGAAGTTCAGTTCAGTGATGATGCAGAAAGTGAATCGCTATTTGCTATTTGAGAATGTAAACTCTGCGAGTCATGCCACCTTGCGCTGTCACCAAGGCCGGGCAACAACATCTCAGAAACACTTAAGCCGGAATACAACCGAAGTTGGAAAGGCTGTAAAAGCCACACTTGTCCGTCCTCGCCTTCCATGCATAGCAGTTTCCGCAAACACGATCAACAGTTACTCTGCAAAGAGACGCCTGGCCGTTGCCGTTCGCGCCACGCCAGTCAGAGGTTGTGAGGCCAGAGTCTTGCCCTGAGATGCGGGCGCGAACCGTTGAGCCTAGTGCCGGTGGGTTTGCCCACTTAGAAAACTCACTAGAGGTAAATATTAGCGATTTTACTCAGAGCTGACATCAAAGTCTGATCTCAAGTTACTCACGCTGAACAGTCACAGTCTCTCCGGTTAGAACCACAGCTTCCGCGGGCCTCGAGCTCGCCGTGCTCTGAAGGCTGCGTGCTCGGCGCCGCGTAGACGCTGGAGACGAGAGCAAAAGCGATGGGAAAGAGAGACAACTTCATATTGATAGATGATAGTGACAGTAAGGTTGAAGAAAGGAACGTATCGAGTCGGACCTTGAGCGAGAGAACGAGAATGGAACTGCGTCAGATGATGAAGAGAACTGATCGACACTGGTGACGATCCAAGAGCTTTAATAGTCCATCTACGAATCTGATGTTCACGGTTATTGTCAATCTTTCTATTGATGGACCCGCCTTTACAATGAGACGAACTAATAAGATTAAATTTTGTAGAACGCTGGACAGCTAATCAGATCCGTCACTTGTCGGGACCAATGAGGTCTGTTGAAGCCGGTGAGACCCGCGCTCTCATGACTGCCGAGAGAGGGTAATAAATTAGCTTACTCGGAATCGCATTGGTCCGCAGCATCCGAAACTGCAGCACTGTACAGCTTGTGAGGCTTAGAGCCTAACTGTTGTCGTTAAGACGAGTCAGTGGCGAGCACAGCTCACTTGAGCATGGGCTACTGTAATGGCCTAATCCTGCCGAATGCGTGCTAGGGCGGAATCGTAAAGGAAATATATAGTGATCAATAATCAGCAGTACTTTGGACGTAGTCACTCCAATGAATCGCTGGAACTCAAAATCACTCGGATACGGTGATGATGATATTTGCTGGCCACAGGGTTCTCCATAAATTATCAAACAAGCCGCCTGCTAATATGAGAAAGCATTACACGGCTCCGATGAAGGTGACGGAGGTTCAGAAGCACGCTCCATAGTTAAGAGTGCCAAGTAAACCATACTTTTTGTGCTCATAACTTTACATTCAAGAGAAATAACGCCAATCTACCCAAGTAGCTCCAAGTGACCCTCCTCTCTCAACGTCTCCCTTACAGCAGTACGCACCTTCTCATGAATCGCCGGTGGCGCGGCGATAAAACCGTAGTTGGCCACCATTTTGCGTCCCGCAGTAAGGTTCACCGGGTTTCCGTCGACGTCCGTTACTTTTCCGCCAACCTCCTCGAACAGTAGCATCGCACCGGCATGGTCCCAGATCTTGGCCAGACGGTCGCGCCTCCTGTATGCCCAAAAGGTGCAAGTCGCCTGCCCGAGGCCGAGCACAGCCCATCTCAACACCCAGCCAAGAAGGTCGTTGCCGGGATAAGAAATACCGAGGCGGTCGGCAACCTTCTGGTGGATCCCTGGCACAGCGGAGTCAGAGCCGTCGATGCAGGTGACTGATACCAGATCCGGCGTCTCGGTGTCGGCATGGCGAGGGATTTTTGTGGGTTGAAGGTCCAGAGGACCGGAAAGTGGCCGGATGAATGTGCCATGCGACTTGACGGCGAACATGATGCTGCCCGTGCCAGTGGGGTCAATGCTGTTGTTGTTGATTGGTGCTTTGGCGTCTGCTGCGAGCAAGGGCAGGCCTACAATTCCGACGCTCTGCTTGCCATCTTCCATCAAGCAAACGTTAATGGCATAGAGCTCGCCCCTGACGAAGGTCTTGGTGCCGTCAATAGGATCAAACACCCAGAATCTGCCGGTTGGTGACGGCTCACCCAGGCCGCACCAGTCGATCATCTCACACATCTGCTCTGGTGACTCGGGCAGCTTGCACAGAGAATCCGGCTCTTTTTCATTCTCAACCTGCTGCAGAAGCGCCCATACGGATTTGAGAAGCTCGGGGTTCTCACGGAGGTCGGCGGCAGACTCCTCGCCAACAAACTTGTCATTGGGAAAAGCGGCGTGCAATGTTGATGTCAGGAGAGCTTGAATAGCGAAGTCAGCGACGGTGACGGGACTAAGGTCCTCCTTCGTCACGACGCCCTTGTCAGAGGCCACTAGAACACGGCGGCTAAGTCTTGCGGCATGCTGAATTGCCGCGATAGCGACGGTCAATTCTCGAGCGTACGGTCCGTCCATGGCTGCAATCTATCGGCGGTAAAATGAGATGAACTGAGAAATGTGAGTCGGGGCCGAGCGGGGCGAGCTGCACAGCGGCGGTGATCTTGCAGGGGTTGGTGTGGTGGGTGATTATTTGGTGCGGCTGCGACGTAGGATCTGGATGCGGGGGAAATCGATGTTTGCGGCTGCGAGACAGATGAAATCGACGGGGGAGTCAATGATGGTATATTTGGTTGGGGACGGGGCAATGATGTCAGAGCAATAAGCGCGGCTTTTTTGGGGGATGTTGCTACACATGCAAATTTTCGCCGGGAGAACTTGGTTGGGTGGTGGCATCAGCACCGGCATCGGCCTCGGAGGCTCCGAGGGTAAAAGTGGGTCGTCCCTTCAAGATCTCGGATCCGATCACAGCAAAACGGAGAAGTCACAAGGAAGGACGGCGATAACAAAACAATATACGGAAGCTTTCTTAACCTAGGTATTTCGACGGGGTCGCAAACCTTCCAGCTGCTGGAAGACCTCTTGTACAGGTCTCGATAATGTGCTTTCCTACGGGTAATGAGGCACGTTTCGTTAGCGAACTCCTGGAAGGTTATTATCAAGGGCCACAACTGACTGTCTTTCCACGTTCGCTTCTTGTGGAACTGCACCGATTTACACTCCCAAAGCCTTATACACCATGTTGCGACAAGGGCATCCCGCACAGCGCGCTCCAAGGGTACCAGAATGTTCAGACTGTACATGTCGTCTTTAGACTCCTCTACTGCGAGGCGGACTCCCTTCCCATCAAGCCAGTCAAACACGTCATTGTTTGGCTTGATATCAAACAAAAGTTCTCGGGGTTCATATTCGCCATTCGTGTTAGGTTTCCTTCTGATGCGCCATGCTTTGCAAGCGCTCTTGCCAATCTTTGCAAACTTGACGCCGATTGAGCCTAGTACGCTACGAGAAGCGGGCCACAGGTAGTATGCGAAGGGGTCATGCACAACTAGCGGTGGACGTTCGAGGTTAAAGACGAGTTTGGGTTGTACAACGATCTCCGGGGCCGCGGTGGAGTCGGGGTTCCGTCTTTTGAGGTTGTAGTCGATACGGCTAAACTCGACTTTCCGGTCTGTCTCGCGCAAGAAATCGATCTGGCAGTTGATTTCATACACTCCCGAATTCGCTGAAGCGGAGTTGGCCGAATGGATGGAGCGTCCTGCAAAGCGCAGGGTGTCAGGGGCCAACGTCTCCTGAACATTGGCGGCGTCCGCCGCATAGTCAGGGGGTAGGGGGCCGCTGACCGCTGCAGCACTTGCTTGCGACATGGTTTATGTTTGCGCCGATGGTCCCTTGTAGGTGGCTAACAAAAGTACCTGCCTGAGAGTTGACTAGGTTGGCGTTTGCAAGTGTTTTAATATGAGTTCCAAGACATGTAGTCAAAGAAAGCATTCCGTAGCGGCGGTAACTAGGAGCTCATAAGGCGGGCATGTCCCATTATGTGAGCATGACCAGTGGTCTGGGCGGTGGTAGAATGGCTAAGCAGGTCGCTGTATTTAGTGGCTGCCTGGGTAAATGGTCAACTGGGCATGGTTGGTTTTACCCAATTGGGTATGTTCGCTAGTGGTACGCGATACTATTGGTTCCTAGATGGTTAACACTGGGCACTCTCGGGCGCAATTCTTGGTAAATAGCTCAATTGCGACAGTCACCTGTTCTCACTGGTTGCCCGGCATTTATGTGATGGCGTTGACTTTTTCTCGTAATCCTGAAAAAAGTATGCACGCGGCGGTTTTCGGATGCAAGAGTGCCTGCGGTTCTTCCATGAAGCTAACCAGAATTCGGTAGTTCCGCCAAAGGTTTGTTACTTATATGCCTCGTTCTATTTGTCTCAATTTGCCGCACTTAATCATGCACATCGCATAGCAAAGGATTCAAAATACGTCCGCCAGGCTGATGACTTTATGACATGACAGAGTAAAAACGGTGTCTGAAACTTTGGGCTCTTTTTGCAACTCAGTGCACGAGGGTCAGAGGCTGCGAAGTTCAATACTATGATGACTTGTTAGCTACCTGTCTGTTGCAAAATGGGGAAGTCGAATCAGAAGCAATAACCAGTTCATATGCTACTTATATCTAAGCTTTGGTTGTCGAGTGGTGTAGTTCTTTAGTTGTGGATGTTCATGTAGTTGTCAACTTGAATTGACGCTTGTTATCACTCAGCTCTAGTTCGTTTGTGATCCTGTTGTATGTTATTTACACACGAAGAGTTTCCGCAACAAGCTAGATAGTTAAAGCAGAAGAATAAGCAACAGGTTCTGGACACTTATGTATGCGAGAAACTCTTGGAGGACATACTACTAGCTGCTAGGGATATGGATTGGCATTAGACTTTTTGCCGCTCGACAACCCGTAGGAAGTCACAACCACTCGCACCTAGTACATACATATTCCTTTTGGCCTTGTTCGCCTGCAACTACCAGTGTACCTACACTTGCCAATCCAACTCTGGTGTTGACAGAGTAGTAGAGTAACGAGTTTTGTCGTCACCAAATAGTTACGTCTACTGCGTCGTGAATCATGTGTTAACCTATCCTTCGGATGTTGACCAGTTTCAGTATGCTGAGTTGACCCTCAAAAGTAAACTCAACTATGGCTCATTTGTATTATCATCAAAATCGAGCTGCGTGCTATTCTAAAGGCCATCGCAGTTCTTTCTCCGAGGTGGTTTCAAGAAATGTAGCAGGGTTGTAACCTCGCAGTCGCCGCATAAAAGAAATAAAAAGAATGGACAGGGCAACCCTTGCAATTGCAGTTGAAAAATTAAACTCGAGACTAGCAATTTTGCGTAGGGTCGCGGCGTAGGGTCCTGTCAATCATCCAGTGTGCATAGCCAAGGCTAAACCTGGGAGATGGCGGCGATTGAACCTGCCGATCGGCCTTTTTCGCGTCAAAAGAAACTTTTCACGAAAAAAAGTTAATTGCCTATGTTTTGGTTGTCAGCTCATTGATTGCTGTACGACTTTTTTTTCCCCCTTATTGAAAAAAGAAAAGAAAAATGGAAACTGGCAACATCAACTGGACCTAACTCTTTTCTCTTTTGCCGTCCCACGGTCGTCGTAATCAGTGGAATAATTTCCTCATTTCGACGTACAATATTGGGTCACGTTCATCATCAATTGACCTGACATCTATGTTTTAGTCTTCTTTCAATAGAAACCTGAATTTTTCCAGCTAGAGATAACCGAGGGTTTGAGGCCCAGACCTCACGAACGTGTTCGGAGTAAACTCCGCATACGGCTAAGTACGACATGGGAACTTCCGTAACAGCCGCTTAAGGCAAATATTGTTTCGTGAGTGTGACGTCGAGACATTCATCACGCGATCCAGGTGACGGTGGTTTCAGCGAATACATCTGAAGGCAAAACTGTGATCGCCACAGTCGCTGGGGATCCATTTGCAGTATATTAAGTTATCCGAGTTTGTTTTTCTACGGTCGGGCTTCTGCCGAATGCTTACGGTGCGAATCCTGCACAATGCAACATGGATTCGATGTTGGCTTCCAGATTTGCGAATGGATCAGTCGGTTGCGAGACCTCGAATCTCGGATCAAACCCTGATATTTCGATGGAATCGCCTGGCCAGTCCCAACATCACGTGCAATGAGGCTTGTCAGAGTAAAGAAAGGTAGTAATGCTATCCACATGTGGCTAACAATGGGCAAAAGGGCAACATGGCGATACGTTCAACAATCTTGTCGACCAAGAATCTGGAATTAGTTGCCTGATTTCGTCCACGAAGAGTACGTGGCGAAGGCATCTCCAAGGAGCTCAACCGAGCCGTGTGTGGCCGTGGCAATATTGGCATTAGATAATGAGTTGAGGTATTCACTCGGGCACACTCGCAAACCAAAGCCGAGGTCAGCCGGGGAAATGGCAAGCAGCGGAAGAATTGAACCCAGAAAAAAAAAAAAACACATATTCCCGTATACCCATACGGGAATGTCCTCGTCTGACCCTGCATTGTCGGTGGCCGCCGCTCGATTATTATTCGTCGCCAACAGCGCGTAACCTACGTCATCTCGTAGAGCCTTGTAGCAGAAAAAAGACGCTTGGCATCTTACAATGGATGCATGCCAAGCCACGAACAGCGGTTGGTCGGCAGAGATTGGAAGACGGCGCGAGGCCCCCACTCTCGGGCCCGCACCTAGTGGGGCCGTACGGTCTGCTTCGCTCCCGTGTTCCAATCAAGCGGTCGGTAGCAAATACGCCGCAGACTCGGCGTCATGCGATTATCCACCCGAGGGAAGCCAGAGAGGTGCCAGCCACTGGCAGGCCACGTTTAAACACCTGGCTGACCCCCCCCCCAGTCTCCCAAGGGAAATGAAATGAAACACCATCAGTTAAGAGATCGCCAACCTTTTGCCAATAAAAGAGGCGCACACCCCCAAGGACTGCGGCTCAACTTCTAGGGATGATCATTTCCAGTGAATATGTCGCCAGGCATAGGCAACCTTCTTTTAACGTCGAGGATTCATTCCGCTCTGCTTTAGTGCATCACAGTAGGCCTTCTTATCGCCTCTACGCCGTTGACGACACCATCTTTCCTAGCGATTCAGACTGGTGGAGCCCGTCTCATTTTCGCCCTTGCCTCCATGGGAGTAAGGTGTCCACATCCCTTGGTCGGGCATTGACTGGTTGCTGCATATAATGTGGGACGTGAAAGGCTTTTGGGGGCGCTCTATGGTTCATTGTTCATTGGGATGTGCCGCAGCTTCTTAACAGCCTGCCACTGATTGGCCGCGGCCGTTTGTTTAGGCCACTATGGACTAATAGTTAGAATTTTCGTTATTTTTTGTTACGAGAGGTACACCCTTCTCGGCCGGGATTCGCTCGCCAACCTCGCGCGATTTTAGGACTGGCTGGTCTCACCGAAACAAAAAAGAGATTGGCCACCGAGTACACCATGGTCTGAAATTATGAGACGCTGTTACCCTCATTGGCTGCCTCCTGGCAGCAGCGAGGTGCGGCCCACGCGGTCCATCTTTTCCCATCTTTTCCCCTCATACAGTGAACCCCTACATCGTAGGTCCCTTCACACATTGGAGCAGCTGGAGTTGGGATGAGCGTTACTTATGGAGAAAACCAGCATCGACTCTAGACTTTTGACACTCTCTCCACAAACGGTTGCCCTTACAGGCAATTTGAACCCTGTTGAACTGATAAAAAAATGATGGGGCGACCACTCAACATCCCCCCGATCGCATTTTCGGACTCTGCGATACCGATTAAACGAATCTTTGAGCCCTTGATAAAGAACCATCAATCGTGACGAAAGGACGCCAAAGGCACATGCAGACGGGCTCTCATTAAGACCCCAAACAGACCAATAACTGCTGTTTTCGAGAATGGCACTAAGGCAGCTTATGACGACATTGCGGAAACCATTTTTCTCCTAGCCCTGCCCGCGCCGAAGGATTGGTATGGGGCAGCCTAGTCAAAGTCAGGGACTGTCCTAGTCAACTCCACACAGACGTCCAACATCCATGAACGCTCGATGGGTACTGGACATGTCCCTGAATTTCTGAAGCAGAGAACGCCCAGCACGTACTACGTTTGACCGATTGTCGTTCGGCTGTATGGTTACCTGTAGAATGTCAGAGTGTGGCGGACACGTTGGGTGCTTGTGAAAGTTTTTTTTTCCTCCGATCTTTCTTAAATTGGAACCGTCGCCCATCGAGATCTTGTCGAAGACTCTTTTTTCCTTCTGACATTCCCCCTCTTCGTCCCAGCGCTTGTCTCAACCCCCGCGACAGCCACTTTTGCCCCTCCATTCACATGCAATCTGTGGCTTTCTCCCGTCTTTTCTTCTTCAATACCATTATCGCGGGGAGAATCTAAACAAACCCATCAAGGTGGATTGAATTAGGTTTCTTCATCATGTCTGGCGAGCTCAAGACATCAGCGGACTCCGCCGCTGCTACCCAGAGGGTATCCATTGACAGCTATGGATCATCCATCAGGCACAACTCCGACGGCCTCCAGCGCCGCCTCAACAACCGTCAGATTCAGCTCATTGCCATTGGAGGCACCATCGGAACTGGTCTCTTCGTCACCATTGGTGAGGGCCTCGTCAAGGGCGGACCGGGCTCCCTCCTCCTTGCCTACACCCTCTATGCCTGTGTCGTCGCTCTCGTCAACAACTCCATCGCTGAGATGAGCACCTACATGCCCGTCTCTGGCGGTTTCATCCGTCTGGCCGGTGTTTGGGTCGACGACGCCCTCGGTTTCATGGTCGGCTGGAACTACTTCCTTTACGAGGCACTACTGATCCCCTTCGAAATCACGGCGCTCAACCTTGTCCTGTCCTTCTGGAGTGACAAGGTCACGGCACCTGGTCCGACCGCGGGTATCTGCATCGCCATCATCATTGCTTACGGGTAAGTCCCCTCTGGTCCTGTGGGATTATTGACCTCCTTTTTCTTCTCTCTCTATTTTTCCAGGGTCAAGCGAAAGCAACTAGATCGACCGGATATTCTAGAGCGCTCTGTGCCCATCGTGACCTTTTTTTCTTCTTCTTTTGCCCTCTCATCCCTCAATGGGTGTGTTGTGTATGCATGCTAAACGCGAATGTGTGATTCTAGTCTTATGAATGTGGCTGCTGTGCGCGTATTCGGAGAAGCCGAGTTTTGGCTCTCTGGCGGCAAGGTCCTTCTCATCTTCATCCTCTTCTTCTTCACGTTCGTCACCATGGTCGGTGGAAACCCGGCCCATGATGCGTACGGATTCCGACACTTCAAAAACCCCGGGTCGTTCGCGACCTACATGACATCCGGTGATACGGGTCGTATGGAGGGCTTCATGGGTGCTCTGGCCACTGCCACGTTCACCGTTGTCGGCCCGGACTACATTTCGATGATTGCCGCTGAGGCGAAGCACCCTTCCCTCTACATCAAGTCCGCCTTCAAGACCGTCTACATGCGATTCGGCCTCTTCTTTGTTGGCGCCGCCCTCACCTGTGGCATCGTGCTCCCCTACGACGACCCCGTCCTCAAGAAGATCTACCTCGGTGGCGGCAGCGGCGGCGGCACCGCGGCTGCCTCCCCTTGGGTCATGGCCATGGAGAACATGGGGATCCAGGGTCTTCCCCACTTGGTCAATGCTCTGCTCTTCACCACCATCTTCTCCGCGGGCAACACGTATACCTACTGTGCCACCCGGTCCCTGTACAGCTTGGCCCTCGATGGTCGTGCCCCAGCCCTTCTCCGCAAGACCACCAAGAACGGCGTCCCCATCTACTGCTTCGCTGTCACCATGATCTTCCCCATGCTCTCGTTCCTGCAGTGCGGCAGCGGCTCCGCCAAGGTCCTGAGCTGGTTGCTCGCCCTCATCACCGGAGGCGGCGTGATTAACTACCTCGTCATGTCGATCACATTCCTGAACTATTACCAAGCGTGCAAGGTGCAGAACGTTGACCGCCGCAACATGCCTTACTACGGATACTTCCAACCCTACGGTGCCTGGATTGCCCTCGTGCTGCAGACCATTGTCATCCTCTGCTACGGATGGTCCGCCTTCCGTCCCACATTCGACGTCGGATCCTTCTTCTCCAACTACACCATGCAGATCGTCGCGCCCCTCCTGTTCATTATCTGGAAGGTTTTGAAGCGCACCAAGTACGTCAGGCCCGAGACGCTTGACCTGACATGGGACCGCCCCATCATTGATGCCTACGAGGACCATCTGCGCACCCACGAGCCCCCCACCACGTTCTGGAGGGAGATGTTGCAGATGATTGGCATTGGGCGTGACAAGGTCATCAAGGGAGAGAAGGCCTAAGTTAATGTTTTTTGATGATCAGTTGGCCCGTTTAGATATAGAGAGGGCTAACATTTAATGAATAAAAAAATATGTCATTATGAAATACGAGTCTTTGGTGTTCACAGTGAATCTTCTTTTTTCTTTCTTTTCGAATCTAGCAGCCCACGCTGATCGGCGATTGCTCCCTTGGCAACATGTCCCTTGTGGGGTTCTCGTGTCATTTTCGCGCCGTATATCCGGCTACTGCTGCAGACATGTCTCGCAAAGTGCGTTAGTTCGCATGGGGTAAGTGGGACATGGCGGCCTCAAAAGTGAGATCTTGCGCCCATAACAAACTGTGCTATACGATTTAGCATCCTAGGAAGATGATCTGGTCCCAGGAGAAATCGCGGGATAGAGGTAGGTCGAGGATGGCATAAAATTAGCTCTTCTTTTACCGTTCGAGCTCTTGACGCAGGCGGGAACCAACCCTTTCAGGCCATCTTCCATCACAAATGCCAAGCGAATCCTTGCGATGAAGGTACACAAAATCCGGATCCCGTACACCACCTGCACCCCGCGTCCAACCTAAATGGGATTAGACCTGGGGCATTGGGAGGCGCACGGCGAGGATTCTGCAATCGGGGTTGTCTTCTCTTTCATCGAATTTGAACCAAGAGATATATGCAACACTTACTCCCGTTTAACAAAGGTTGTGGCCTCCGCATCAAAGCCTCCACTCTATCAATGCCTCTTGATAAATATCTCTTGATCATTTGCGTTCATAGTATCACCAACACGGAACAGGGCTTTAAGAACAGTAGCTATGATGATTTTGACGGCACATCTACTAGTATAAGAGACACCACTGATCCAGTGAAGAGGTTTAAAGACATGGTCTAACCCCACCATTCAGTGATACTGTGTGTGTTGGTTTGACGGGGAATTTCTATACCGGTAAATAAATAACAAGAAGGCAGTGAATTCTCATGGTAATAGCATGCTGTGTAAGATACAGTAAATGAGTGCTTGAATTGGAGAGAGGATAAATTGTTCTCACCAGATGAGCGGCCGGGCAGCTATGCATACGTCGTATGCTAAATAACTATTGCAACAGCTACCAAGAGTTTCAGGCCAATCTTGATGAATTGTACAAACAGAAAGCTTGGAACTTCCTGGTTAAATTTGGGATTGGTGTGGATGGCCCAGCTCATGGAAGGCTCGCGTCGAAAATAGTGACGAACCGGTATGCCCGAGCGCTGAAGGGGTTGACATAAGCTGCGGTCATCGGACGGTGGTGCCGCCAGCGCTGATTCGATGGAGGTATTGCCGACTGATAGGTTTTGCCGGGGCTGGATCCCTCAATACATGTAATCGTAACCAAGTAAATTGTTTCTGTAGATCTGCGGGGGATCTCCATTTCCTTGCCTCGCTAGTAAATCAATCATCCTCCCGGACAATACCCCTGCTCCTTTAAAGCATATCGACCGACTGCGCATGCAGTTTCAGGGAGATAGGTTACCTAGAGTCACGCGATCCATGTACACCTGGTCATTAGGATGGTATTACTCAGTTTGCGACGTGTTACCATTGGCGCACTCGGCAACGTTTGGCGTAGCTAAAATACAACAGAACATGGGATATTGACGGCTCATTATAGAAGCTTTTGCTTTGTAGCACAGCGGTTAGCCTGACTGCTCATAGCATTAGCGGTCTCATAGCTACTATCCTGAGTCTCTTTGGCTGGTTTTCCTTCCTGCTGAGGCAACAGTAGCTACGAATGAGGACCGCAGTTGTCACTCAACTGTTCGAGTTGCTTCGGATGGAAGTAGATCGCCTTGCGCTGGCCCACTCGGGAATCTTGGATAGAACAAGGACACTCACGCCTGGCACCATCGATCATACCCACAGACATTATGCAAGGAGTGTATTTTTCGACACCTCTTTTCAACATCATCCTACCACAAAAAAACGTTGTAGTAGCTGCGGATTGCATTCTGGTGATAAGATAGCGTGAGTGCCAGAAGGTCTGGAGCAGAAATATATACCCAGCCAGAATGCTACCGGAGATCCGCCGAAACCGAAAACGAGCAATGATCAAGACTAACGTGAGCTTGGTTTCACCCTATTCCAGGTGAGGGTCTTTGCGTCGACATCCTTGTCACTACACTGTGAGAATATGAGCCCGTATACAAGGGGCGTGCCCCTTTTCGTGTAAAGGCCCTTAGTCGTCCAGTAATCCTCCTGTACACATAAGCAATAATTGTTTGTGGCATACTGTTCGGAGACCTTCCTGAAGGGACGCCACGATCCACTGCTTGATATCAACGGTGCCACAGTCTGGTCTACTACTGCTACCTCATGGTCTGGTATGGATACTTGGAAACAGGATTTGAGTAAAACTCGGCATCTTTCTGCCACCGGGAGGAAAACATGGAGATAGATATAAAGAGCGTAATTGAAGGCCTATGGATAGCAAAATCCTGTTGATACCGTCTCAAGCACTACTTACTATCGATTTACTCCATTTACAAGTACCTCAGCCTGTCATACTCTAAACTTGCCCAAAATGAAGGCTTTCCGTTTCATGCTCGCCCTCATGTCCACCGCCATGTGCGCGGCTCTTCCTCAGCAAACTTGCGATAAGTCCCTGTGCGACGCACGCTGCAAGGCTGTTGGTCAGGTATGGTTTGGCTTGGCTTCTTCGCAATTTTGCGCAATTGTTAACCGCCATGGATGTTTCAGGTCGTCGATGCGGCCGACTGCTGGGGTGCCGCCCCCGTATGCAGCTGCAAATGATCCTTAGCTAGTATCGAGCAGTGTCGGAAACGGAACCTTTCCCAACTAGTTCACGATTTAGGCTGGAAAGTGGTGTGGAGCTAGGATGGCCATTCTTTGGGTCAGCCCTTTGGGAAGTAGCTACTTAAGATACATGTGTTTGGGTGTCTTGCTACCTCCTAGCCTAGTGACCGGGCTTCATTCATCTCTCAGTGGCTTATGAAATTCAAAATAATAACCGGAAGCCATTCGTGTTATGCAGTCGCCAGCTTGCCGTATCCAATGCCCAGCCCCTGTGTGCACTGCCATCTATGTGAAGTGATCAATGATCTTGTGAATGTATGCTTGGTATCTGTAGACCTGGTTAATTCTCTTTAAATCCTGTATGAATCAAAGTAGAGCGTCCCCGGGGGTTTTGAAGACTAAGAAACCCCCTGGTTTGTCTGTGTACTTTAGAGTCATATGCGTCTACAAGTGACGGCCACTAACGCTGTTCACCCGACAGTTTGAAGAGTTGAGCTTCCAGGTGCAAATTAATGCTCACTTAGACGACTAACGTCATAAAGCTTTATCGAAAGATGGGCTCTTAGGATGAGTTCCAAAAGGAATGCGGTCTTAACGTCTCTGGACGCTATGGAAGAGTGGGCGATGAAGGCAGCGAAATCCTGGCATTCTAATCCCTACACACTGGTGCTGAAGGTGCGGAGACCACGGCGGTTTTACAGCCCTTAGAGTACAAGTGGCACCACCCAAAATCCTTATTCCCCTTTCTGATCTGTACCCATTTTCCAATGTCTACGCAATTCGCTGGAGCTCGCGACTAATGCCGGGGTCGATGTAAGAGGGAAAATCAAGTAACTCGACTAAGAGAGCAGTAGGACGGCGGCTAAGTTCATGAACGAGGTTCTAAGGCGCTAAGTCTGCCCGGTAAGTGGCGTAAGTTTCGACACGGTTTACCCCTTTATCTGTCATCTGCAGTTTGCTAGTAACGGCAAAGTCATGGGATAGAAGATCTTTAACCCTGACCACTTCCAAGCAGCTTTATATCTTAAGCAGTAGTGCTGATTTCTGAAATACCAAGGCCAAGGGATCACCATCATAATATGGAAACGGTGAAATTATTGGTCTCCTGCCAGAGCCGCGTTGCATGCTTACCCCTGTCTTGCACGTCTCCCGGATCTACGACCAAACGAAAATCATGGCGCAATTCTTATTCCAAAGATGGGATGAACATCAAGGGTAGCGTAATTAACTGTATCGTAGACGATCTGATTTCCCAAAAAGGAGGCGCCGGCTGGGACGGAGCCGTTGTCGTTTTTCTCACCCCTACCAGTTAGTTCCCCTTCGGGCGCTAATCTAGCTTTGCATCTTGCTGCCCCTGCCAAGTCAAAACAATTAACTAGATACTTACACATCGATCAGAACCTAAGCTTCCGTTTCAGACTCAGGACCGTTGTGGGCTTCATTGTTGGGAGTGGGAGGTAAAAAGTCGTCTACGAACGTTGAATGATTGATTATAAGAAGAGGATGAATCCTCCTCCCAGTACCTGAACTTAGAAAGGCTATTCATTATTCAACTTCATTCGTTTCCTTTCCCTCGCATTGCCTAAAGGCATTTCGTTCATTACCATCCCCGGCGGATACCACAGTCTTTTCTTCATTCATTCGATCTTCACTTTTGTATCAAACCCTACTCTTCGGCAGCCATGACCAAGTTCCAATCTGCCCTGGCCCTTTTGGCCACAGTCGGCGCCTTGCCGAGCGCCCTCGCTCACTACAACTTTGAGCGTCTTATTGTCAACGGTAACGACACTGGCCCCTACGAATACGTTCGAAGAACTACGAACTCCAATGGCCCAATCGAGGATGTAACTTCCCTCAGCATGGTTTGCAACCAGGGAGGCCTTGATGCGGACATCATGGCGGCTACCAATATTCATACTGTCGCTGCCGGCGATGAAGTGGGATTCGGCATGAACGAGTACATCGGTCATCCTGGTCCTACCGCTGTTTACATGAGCAAGGCTCCTGAGGGAGTCAGCGCTGCCGAGTACAAAGGCGACGGTGACTGGTTCAAGGTTTACGACCTGACCTACCGCTACATTGATAAGGATTATGGCCCACAATGGGGTAACTATGTCAGCAAAGAGGACATTGGCGTCCGGAACTTCACTTTCAAGCTCCCGGACCAGCTGCCCCCTGGTGACTACCTCATGCGCGGTGAGCATGTTGCGTTGCACGCCGCTGGTGACTTTGGCAAAGCCCAGTTCTACATGGGCTGTGCTCAGCTGCGCGTCACTGGCTCTGGTACTGGAACTCCTGAGCCACTGGTCAAGATCCCCGGTGTTTACACCGGCCGCGAGCCTGGTATCCTGATTGGCATCTGTAAGTACCCTAAGCCCCTTATCCCTTGAATGACCTTTTACTGATCCTCTTGGAAGTCTGGCCCCCCCCGCAAAACTACACTGTCGCCGGCCCCCCTGCTTGGCCCAATGGCTGCGAAGATCACACTGTCAACCTTAACGGCCAAGAGAGTGATGGAGACTGCTCTCCCACCACAGTCCCTGCCGGTGTGACTGCAGCTGTTCCCTCCACAGGTGCTCCCACCGCCACCGCCGTTGTGCCGTCCAGTTCTGCTTCCGAGGCCCCCGTTACCACATCTGTCGTCCCTACGCCCAGCGCAAGCGCTTCCGCCTCCCAGCAGCCTAGCGTCGAAGTTCCTGTGCCTAGTGCCAACGCGACAGTCCCCGGGGCCAACACCTGCGCAGAGAAGGCTGCCCGTCGTCGCGCAATGCGAGCTCGCCGTGCTCACTTGCACTAAGCTTAGCGGCCCCGGTCTCGTAACAGCAAGCGCTGAGAGCTACAAACAAGCGCCTGACTTGCATAGTTGAAGATTTCTCATTTCTTTCTGCATGTAAATTTTATCCATTTCGCACTCAACTGGTTTTATCAGCCGTATATAGTTGGATACATATAGCCAAATTCTAAACGCTATGCTGTATAAGCAGTTGACGTCCCAGTAGTCCATAGTGACCGAGTTGCCTTATCGTATTGTTGAATCTGTCAAGTGGATTCACCCTGAAACAAGCATAATCCGGGCTGGCATCACACTGCGACCTGAAATTCAACACCTGTTACGCATGGGGGCCATTTATCTCTACAGGCTCCCCAGCAACTACGCAATTAAACATCACCATAAAAAGGAGGAATTACAGTGCGTTGCTAGAGGAGCCAACCACCACTTTGATTAGCCCCCTTTTCACCTTACGTACCTGTACCCGTACTGTTTCTGGTAAAATGTAAAACAGGGGCTATGACAGGTGGGAATACCTTTGTCTTCCCAACCACACTACCTAATTGCAACGGCAAGTCCCGTTCAGAGAGTGTGCGTGGTGCAAACATAGATTAAGCCAGGCGCGAAGTGGCAAAATCTGTTTGACCCACAGACGTTTAACTCCGTAACCCACGAAAATGGAGCTGTGATAGGTGTTTTCAAGCATGAGTGGACAAATATTAAGAGGTAGAGAGGACGGTTTGTGCTCACTAGCTTCTTCGAACAGTACGGCGTGTACAGACAGCTACCCATCCGTTTTCCAACGCCGTTCTGCTTACAACGTATTTACATAGTAGAGAAAAATTTTGGTTTCAGGCTTTCAGTGGAAACCAGACCTGTACGCCGCGGGGGGAATGGTCCGTTTTCAGGATGGTGCGAGCGGCTACCAAAACCGTGTTATGGCTTAGATGCTTGGCTCGGGATGAGATTGACATTAGATGTCAGCCACCTGCATGAGACCATGTCCCTGTCCACGATCGTCCCATGTCCATAATCGCTTCTTCTCAAACCGCCTAATGAGACTAATGCTTTGTTGGCACGAAAGATTTCTGTACAGGTCCGTTGAGAATTTTCAATATTCCATCTAAGAGGCCATGGAACCCATGGCGTTTTCTGATCCAGGAGCCGGAGACGACTGCTTTGGAGGATTTTCGGGTGCGAATCTACTGTGACACTGGGTTTCCTTGTATTTCGCCGCGGAGAATAATACGCATTCTAACATGGTCCACCACACACCACTTGCCTCCCTCCTTTTTCAAAATCTGTGATGATTACAAAATCATTTCAAGAACTTCTTGTGAAAAGCAAGTCGATTCCTTTTTTATCAGTTACTTGCATGTGGGGTAGCCTATCCATCATTTCCCTATGCGCACAGCACATGCTAGACTACACTTTAAATTGTGCTCCATGGTATTATCTTGTATTATACCTTGGGACGTTGACGCTGAAGTAGAGCTTGAGAGGGTTCTAGTCCTGATTTAAATCTCAAAGTTCTGCTAAATGAAGTCTCCACGATGGCTAGGCGGCTGGTAGACCACTCTTTCAGATGTACTTTAGTTTGCTGGGATAGTGATGTATCCATGCCACCGACTTGTAATGGTTTTGTTCTAAGGCCAAACTGGTTGCCGGTTCTACAAACCGACAAGACATCCAAAAATCTCTCACCTAGGATGCTAGAGACCCTGCTAATTCCTTACATTGGATTATGTTCGGATAGATTACGACAGCAAGCCAACCCTACCACGCGAAGCGGAATTTCGGAATTATAACAATAAAAAGTCAGTCTCAAGCAAGGCACGTGATCGGAATTATATCCATCGGGATTCTTTTTCCATTCTATCGCAGGCCAAGAATCCCTGCGTCAGTTCCCCGTTGTTCCATTAATCTCGCTCACTAGTTCATGAGCTGCCGATTACCGTCACATACAGCCCTGTTTGCAACAGCCATCACTACGATCTGTTTCTCATAAATTTAAGGATAATGCGAATGTTTGATCGACAGGACGCTGCTTCAAGGGATACTTAATTTCATTGGAGGTGTTATATTGTCCTCTCGACAACTGTCAGAGGGTTTGCGGCATAGAGTGAAGAGGTCAGAATGTAGGGGTCACGGTGACTGCATTCATCTCTGGTCTCTCAATCCTTTGCTGGATTTAAGGCCTCCATTTATAGCTCTGGTGAACCACTGCCCAACCAGTGGTTCCCCTTCCCTTTACCCCTTACTAACATCCCCTTCGTTCCCCTAATTTCCACGTCCTTGATAGTGTCGTCTGTAGCACCTTTCTAATTACCTCCCGATTCTGTACGTGACAATAACTCAGTTGCTGCCTGCCAAAGTGACTGTAGGCCGTATAAGACTCCATCCCGGTCAGTGGCGGATTCGGACTACCCGGCGTGGAACTCCGCCTTTAAGTCTGGTCAACTCCATCTTTGGAACTCCTTGAATACAACTTAAGGCTCTGATAGATATCAAGTCTAAAGAAGCCTACCGAACAATTTAGTTGTTCTTGTTTGTGTTAGTGGATCGTGGACGAAAATGAAAGTGAGTGTTGTTGTACTACAGGCTGGATCCTAGTGAACTTGGACAGCGTGGCCTTGTGGACATATTACACGAAGGGTTTCAAAAGTCTTTAGGTTTCTCCTAAACATGCATCTCCACATCATATGCTGTATCCTTCCCCGTCAAGACAACAAGTGTGCTCAGCGAGAAGGAGCAAGACTCATACTAACTAAGAGCCTGTCCAGAACAATTCTAGACCTGTTGCAAGTCCATACCCTTCGAGCCCGCCTTGTGAAGTTGCCTCAATCCACTCATCTTTGATGGCGGATCTAGCAACCCTTAAATTAAACCCCAATCTTTTGCTTCCTAGTCACTAAAACGTCGAAACTACGCTTAAATCGAAGGTAATGACTATTTTCACAGGGTTGTTTTGCTTCCTCTGAATAAACCTTTTAGACCAACAAAATGTCATACATCGCAATGATTCATTCATTATTCCAAACATCATACTATGAAGAAATATGTATCCGTCGCTGTGCGCAAAGTTCTATTTACCATCTCCTACTTCCTGCTCTTGAAGTTTCAACCAACCTCCCGGGACTCATCCTGTAGCCTTGCCATTTCTAGCATTAGCCTATACAGGTAGATACCCTGGTGATTTGGCGACATAGCCCGCGAATACCACTCCCTCCCAGCCTCGGCAATGCGGTAACTTATTCGCTGTCCCTCGGCTGTCGTGCTAAGAAAGCGCACAAGCTCAGGCAACTCCCCCATATTGACGCTGACAGGAATGTAGTGTAACCAAGGTATCAACCGCTCGTCGTGCCACTCGCGGAAAATGCTCACTTTGAGCGGCACGCTACGTGATGCGAGGAATCGGTAGAAGCGGCCACTGAAGCTGTTGCCGTCCACGTCGAGGGCGTAGCGGAATCGCAGCGGGCGTGACTCGGATTCAGCGCGTCGAGGTTGGCCGAAGAAACGGATCTGCTCCTCGCAGACCGAGTTGGTGGCGCATCCCGCATGGCGCGTTAGGCCAACGTCGAAAAGAGATGTGTCGATAGCATCATTGTAGGATTCCACTCCACGACCTGTTGAAGAGTCACTAGAGCTGCCGCGTAAGAATGTAAAGTTGCGTTGCTCTTTCCCAGTCCCAAGCGTGACAATCCGTTGCCGATGACCTTTTCGCCATGTGTCTTGTGACCAATGTCCACCGGTCGAAGAGCCCGTCCAGTATAGAGAATTCTTCTTCATGCCCCAGGTCCAGTCAGACCAAGGGCTATATAGACTCGAATCGATGGAGTAGTGTGTTGCGGGAAAGAGGATATCGGAGAAGGGCAAGGGGGCGGCTCGGGAGAGCATTGGGATGTCGATTTGTAGCCGTCGAAGTGTGGTGGGACACAGGAGAAAGCCATGTTCGGAGGCGTATTCAGGATGTCGACATAGATCTTTCTCCGCAGTCACGTTAGTAACAAAGCGTATGTCGAGCAAGTTACTGGCCTCATCCGGCGCCTGCGACGAAGACTTCTCTCCCCGAGCTTTACAAGCCTCGGCCACAACCGCAGCAATGGGTCGATGGGACAAATCCGTCCAGAGTGTTACACCATCTCCACCCCCTTCCGTCTCTTGGGATCCCAAAAGGATTGAAGGTTCGTCCAAAAAGTTCATCAAAAACCTAACATCCGGCGCCAATGACTTTGCGTCACCCAGCAGGTGCGTCAACGGGTCGGCCCATGTCCGACATCCGGGCCCGAACTTCCCGCCAGTCAAGTCGCAGATTTCGATATGGTCGCCAATCTTCTTTGCTAAAGCTTTGCGTATTCGGCCTTCGATCTCAACTGCGGTATATTTTAAAAAGGGATGGACGCCCTCCGCGATGATGTCGAAGTCGTCGATGACTGGTGAGCCGTTTGCGAGAGCGTATTCTGCCCATCGGCGGAAGCCCGATGGCGGTGCTCTTCTGTACCGGCGCTCATACTCAATCTCAGCTTCGTCCGCCGTCTTAGACTGACGCTTGAGGAAGTCGTTGAATCGAACCTCGGCGTCACGGTGGAGCTGCACAACAGGGTGATTGTCCCATGTTCCGGGTGGATCCTCGACGGCGGTCGCCGTTGAGAAGAAGAAGTTCTTCACGGCACCATCAAAAAAGTAGTTCAAGACTGTTAACAGAAAAAGGATGGATATTGTAACTATTTTGGTTTTAAGCTTTCGAGGTAGCAGAGGCATCGTCGACAAAGCCAAGGCATGAGATAAGACGGTAGGCGTGTCGGGAGCCAGTGCCAGCCAAAACTTTAGACATCAACCCTAAAGGGAGAGCAAAAGTAGCATCAAACAGTATATAAAGGCAACACGTGATCATAGGCAGCCACAATAGTACTGATTCATATTTGGCATGAATGACAAGGGGCATGTCATTACATAAAATTATCCTCTCGTGTTTCTGGGCTACATCCTTGGGAGCCAGGATGGACGAGGGCGGGAAAACGCATTGTTCCCCGATCGGCTGCGCCATCCGGACCCCCTTGCTGCAGCCGCCTACCACTCTGCACACGTATGTATACCTAGCAACTGTGGGGGGGAGATGATAGCTTCGTCTACGCATAAGGATATCACGAGCCTACTCCGGCAGAGATATAAAGGACAAGCAGATTGGCGAGGTTAGTAAAATGCAGTGACATGAAATAAGTAGCAGGCAAGCTAACAACATATTCACATGAAGAAGCTTAATCATCTTAGTCTATGTCGTCTTCTATACTCCCTTTACGCATCTTACATTTACAGGTAAGTGCCACAGGCCTGGAATGCTACAAGACGAAGTGTCTAGAGATGGCTATGTAAGGGGGGGATTCAAGGGGTCACGCAAGGGGCATAATGGCAAGACATGGGCAGACACCCTATTGTCCACCCAGTGGCATACAAGAGGGGAGGCCCAATTCCATGTGGGATTGAAGGATCTAGAGATGAACGTCACTCTGTGCCATAACCCCCTCTGACAATAAGCTTATTACGCTTCATTCTCGCGAGTACACGTGCCCCATCGACTGCAAAATGGCTTCAGGTACAATTGTTCCCAGTTTTCTGCCCACTTTTTACGCTTCATAACAGAGATACAACAGTGTCATAGCAGTATCCCTCTTTTGCCTTCATTTACAGCAGCAAACAGATATGTAGCTTAGATGCTCTGGTTGCAATTACACCCTAGCATTAGAAACTGCGCCATCAACCCTTCTCAGAGCGGTCATCATTGAACTCGTGATATTGATAGTGCATGCGACAGTAAAAGTTCATAGATAAAAAGAAAGACTTGAGAATCTTCTTGTTTAGCTGCGTCGAAAAACACATGCCGAATAGCAGACTCGCTACACCCCCCACGGTCATGTACCTACGGCCAGTTGGGGCTCGGTTTAGGCTTTTTTTCTTCTTCTTCATAGGCTGATATCCAGGATCAGAAGCAGCTTTGGAACATCATGAATACTTTACGTTCATGCCAGTAACATTTATGGCCACCCATAAGAGTTTGAACAGTTAAAACTGTCTTTCTTGCTAGTAAATATCTCTTCTGACCGTTATATTTGGCGTCAAGGTGACAATTCCCTTCCTAGGTACAATGGACGAATGGATGTACCATTCTGAGCTCGATTGTTTGCTACTGTTGTGTATCTCTGTTATTGTATGTGTGTGCTGGGATATTGGGGACTTTGGTGACAAGGGTGGACCAAAGTGCCATAGCCCAGTGGCACTCAACGGGGTCATGACGACACAAATCAATCATAGTAGCTAGCAATGGCTGCTGCCTAAACAGCCAAACAGCCGACACAGGGCTGTCCAGGCTTTCTTGAGCCGACAATGCATAATTTCAAGGTATGAAAAGAAGGGTGCCCAGTATAGGACAGTCTGACGACTTCCAACATGGTGAGGGGCGACAAGTGTTCTTCTCAACCCGGGGAGCACTAAAAATCTTCCCATGTTAGTCGCGGCGGGTCCAAATGACGTTTTCACAACACTGCAGTGGAGCAACCAACTAGGTAGAAACACCAGCTTAGGCTAAAGCAATGTTGGTCGTTCCAAAAGGAAAAAGGGTAGACAGCCCATCACACCCCTACGATATAATTAAGGGGCAAAGTAGGGCTTAAGATGAAAGATATGAATTCTCATATTGAAGAAACAATCGCTTTAAAAAACACTGCTCATTGTCTCTTTAGTCGCGTAGTGTAAGAGCCGGCCGTTGACAACACTATCACTGTTGTCACTCTTCCTGTTCAATGTTGTCATACTCGTATACGGGATCTCGCTTACAATTGGGTGTATGATTAGGTGATCTCTTGAGCCAGTAGGCCGCGGACAGCCAAGCGTGCCGAGCGTTCAAAACAGGAAGGAGCTCGCAAACAACACCTGCTAGTTCTCACATTTTACGTAAAGTAGGTACCAAGCCAACCGTTAATTAGTTTACTATTTCTGCCTTTCTGATTGGCACGCTGATTGCAAATCGTGTAAGCCACCTCCTGTTTGAGCCTCCTTGACTTCCTGATAGAATCCCAAGTGTCTCGATAGGGATGGTGGCCCCTGTTGTTCAGATTAATTTTGATGCTAAGAGTGCTACTTTGTTTTCTTAGCTATGTATCAACTTATTCGTGCCGAGGGATTGGCACATTTGGGGATACTATGTAGAGGTTGGGTGCCACATTCTAGACACCACGATCAACAAGTTCGCTGCCTGAGGGACATCCCATAAGTCAGATGGAATTAGGAGTCCAGACATCACGGCAATCGCTCTTCTCCCCCAACCCCCCCACTATCACGTTGCCTGCCAAAAGACTCCGTCTTTGCCAAGTCTAGAAAATCTCCATCTTAGGAACCACTTTTACTCCGCACTACATTTGACATGGACAAATTGTTGTTTTTTCCTACGGAGTACACTCCTCATCAATCTTAAAACTTCAGCATAGCGTTATCTACCAATACTAGTGTAGTAGGGATCGCCAGTACCTCAAGTATGACTAAAATGATAAGAAAATATGTGTCCTCTAAATTCAAGTAGGAGCTAACGAAGCTAGTAGACAACAGGAGCCCTGTTTCGTTTTACCCCTCCTTTGTCAAATATGGTGTCTTGTGGCAGTCGATGGGATACCGCAACCTCTGGCAAAGGAGGTATGTTGTGCCTATTCGAGTGAAGGTCGTGTCCCAACTTTTTTTTATCTACAAACGTGAACTTGCGCATACTAGGCCTATGTCGAATTTCTGTCTTGGATCTTGGACAGGCTGATGGCCTGCTCAGCACGCTGATATATGCATACCTAGGGTGCATCAAGCTTGCTTAACGTGGAGTTTCTCACACTTTCAAATGTCTAGGTCTGATTCACTTGCACGCGGAGTTGTGCACAATTCGAATGTGGTTTGGCTGATAGTTGGGATGTCTGAATACAAAGTGGTCGGCGCTGAATCAGCTAAACCATGCACAGCATGACAATTTGGTGAATCTTTTGTTCGTAGAAGCTGGCAACTGATACAAGATGTTCATCTCCGTCGGAATGAGCCAGCAAGGTTAGTCACCTCAGATCATAAAGCCAGCATAAAAGGACTGCCATGCAACTACCCAGAATTGCTCTGTGAGGGTTGGAGTTGTAGTTGCTTTGACGATGGCTAGCGAAGGCACAGCCTCCTCGGGCTGTAATGGCTTCCTGCAGAGAGTTGATTAGCTGCACTATCTCTCCTCTTGCGTGAAAGCGTCTGGCCATTTTGAAGCCATGGCTTCATTTGGCTAGGAACTACAGCAAACTATGGCATTGGAGGGAATAAGGAAATGCAATCGATCTTTTGGGACCGAAATGCCCACATATTCTTATTTGCTCTTCCGTGACCTTGTATGAGCTTAGCGTGTAAGTTATTGTGAGTTGTAGCAAATATCACAATTTCGATTGGAATGGAGAGACAAGGACGGTGTAGACTCACATTTGGGCTTGAGCTAAACGGGGGTTTCATAACCACCTGATCGGGCGGGACAACCCTGCCTTCCACAGACACATCCCCTCCGGATTTCTCCAATGATTGTATGTAGAGAAACCCCTTGAACCACGCTTTTCTAACTGCCCAAACAGTTCAAACAAGCTCCGGCCCCGACCAGGCCTGGTTTTCCGGTCGAGCTAGAATGCTGCGCGGGCACGGAGTCCTGGACAGCTACAAGATTCTAGGTAGTTTTGTAGACCCTATGCCATCTTGTTGTGGCAATATTTACAAGATGAGTAATGCGATTAACGAGAAAATATTATCGAGAACAACGAGGAAATATACTGCGGGAGTTTAGGTAGTATAATATACACTTTAGCAGCTAACAGCTTCCATTTCATCCATCTTCAACTGCAGCTGTTTGAATCCAGTTATCATTGATCAACCGGAGAGCATATCCAATGGCATTTGTTGGTTTCTGGCTGATGCCGGCATAAAAGTCATAGCCTTCTATGGATGTATATTCCTAGAGTTGCATCGTTTCAAGGTATCCTAGCCTTTTGGAAATGACCGTCAGGTAGTCTGCCAGCCAACAGTAATTTTCTCAGGTTGGCCGTGTGGCATACACAGCTGGTTACAGACTTACGGCAACATGGATTGACTATTGTGCGACAGTCTGGGAAAACATTTTTTTTCTTCTTTTGATAAAAAAATATTTCATTACGCCAGTTCTGTATGGAGATGCCTGACTCACCATACACCAGCTGCTTACTCATGTCGTGTGGCTTTGAGGCGGCGGGGGATCTAGGGATACTTGAGCGCCGTGTTAGCGTTTTCTCTACACATGGTTTCTTCTTTCTGTCTAACAATAAGATAAGATGACTCGACGCCAAATAAGTTGATGAGAACCATTCGCTTGAGGGTATAGCTATCACTGCTGAAGAATGTGGGTTTACACTTAAAGAAGTTAACCTCTTGAGTAAACCAGCCACGAGTAAATCAAGGGCATGTAATGGAATTGAGAAAGACTACAGTCTTCTAACTTTTAATAAGGCCAAGAGCAATATCGCTAGTTACAGGCTGTACCCCTAACCCGATTAGAATTTCCTCACTCCTGTGGCTCTTTTCCTCTCAATTTTTTCTCTCTTGAAAAGTTTCTTAAATTAACAGCCTGTATAGGAAAGAAGCGGTTGTTCAGCAATGTTTGCTCACTTTTCTCTAGACAATCTCTCTTCACGTCAAAGCTTTTTCAGTGTTGGCATCGCTTGATACCCGACGGGTGGGAGAAGAGAGATTCTTTAAGTTGCGGCGGTATTCGTGTTCTTCTCTATGGGTGAAGAAGCTATAGAAGGGTGAGTGGAATTTCGTGGAGAAGATGTATCTCTCACAGTTACCTGCCACGTGCGTGGGTAGGTAGTTAAGGTTGCCTACCCCTTTAAAGCCTGGTGGTCGACAGCCTGCATCTTGAGTAGCCACGGAGGCAGTTCAACACAGAATTTGGACTATTACATAGCTAAACCTCCTTCAATCGATGAAAATGGAGACAGCATCCCACAGTGAAGCTCAGGAATAAGCCTGCAAATAAGGACTTGAAGACTGCGAAGTTACAACCAAGACTATGCAAAAACTGTCAATGTCTGCTTTTTCAATCGAAGTGCCAGATTCATCGGCCATGTTTCGTGATACGGAAGATGCTGAGAGCTATTCTGTAGACATCGTGGAGGCGTCTGCAATGATGGTCTTCCCAACTGTTGTACTGATGAAAGATTCAAGATGCGTCTTCGCCCTAGACTCTCGGACCTCTATCAGCAAGATATTTGAATATACATGATTCTCTTCTTATAATACATACTACACAGAAATGTGTGATATTTTTGAGCTCAGTAGTACAACCCGGAAAGCCCTTGTAGAGTGTTATAAGCTTCAACTTGATCAACTGACCATTTGAAGGCCATATGGTAAGTTATTATGATATTTGATTTGGGAGACTTGAAGCCACATGATTTCAATTGCGTTCATTCTAGTAATCTTTGGAAAGTGTTATAAAAGGCATTCAAAACCTACTATCGGGAATACCAGAATTCTTTGGTTGTGTAGGAGAACTCAGCCAACCCTCTCAGAAGCTGTTGAGATGTTCAAGTGTCGATAAAGCTACTCTATAACCCAGTAACGTGGTGATGCTGTGCAATTGATTCATCTAGTAATCAACAGGACTGAGGATAGTCTTTGTCACATTTTTGAACATTCTTTTGTTTTCAGTAAAAGACGACCCGATGGTTATTTAAACCGTGGTTGCCGAGATTACTATGTAATAATTTGCAAGCCGACATCAGAAAGATATGACTAGAATCCGCCTGTGAGGCAAACTGATTTCACTAACATTTCGAACACTTGGAAGAACTGATAACACAACCCAAATACAACTCTACTGTGTCGGCACCAACTTGATATTATACTCAAGCTCCAGGCTCGCCTTAGGATCTCCTTTTCTATCGGCAAACTTCACTGTGAGACCATCCTTCACAGCAAACACAGAGTCGTCATCAAGGTACTTGGAGCTCTCATCAAAGATCTGTGTTGTTACCGACTGGAAGCCCTCTGCTTGAACCTTTCACGTTGTTAGTATTGTATCATATGACAGAGGTGCAAAATAGTTATGCTTACGATTAAATGAATGTGGGCGGGCCTGTACGGGTGGCGATGAAGGAGTCCCAAAAGCTTTCCAGCTGGTCCGTCACTGGGCACCTTGAACAAGTTGCTATTAGTTGGAGATTTTGAAATTGCCTATAAACACACTTACCGGGTAAGGCGTAGGCCTCAGACAGTAGAAGCTGTACCTGCCCTCTTCATCTGTCATGAACTTGCCCCGCAGATTGTGTTCTGGCTGGTCTGCATCCTGCTGCTCGTATAAACCTGCGACAGGTTAGATTTACGGAAATAGCAACAGTGAGCCTAAACCAACTTACCATTTGTGGAGGCTTGCCAAACGTCAACAGACGTGTTGGCTAGAGGCTTCCCCGTATTAGAACAAGTAACTTGTCCATGCATGAGGGCGACTTCGCCATCATCAGGACATTTAGTGACAATAGTACTGCCGTTCGCGCGTACTGGTGTATCAGCGCGCCAGAACGGGCCTAGGATAGCTGTCGCTGTACCGGGGTTGCCATTCCTTGTAGCCACCCTGTTGGTAATATCATCAACCAGCCTGTTGTCCATTAGCACGATGCCATTTCCGAAATTTGGAACGGAATGAAGCATACGATTCCAGTCCGATGACGTCGCAAAGGAGCTGGCCCTCGTTGCGTCTATCGTTGCTCATCTGGCCGGCCCAGTTAATCATCTGCACACCTGCCATCCACTCATCCGTCGTGAGGTCGACTTCTCGAGCGAAATCATGGATGTGCTGAATGAATGAGGCAAGGATTTGGCGCAGTCTAGGATTGGTGTCTTCGCCCATGGATGCAATGACATGCTTCGTAAAGTCCTGGCCTAGGCCTTGGTACTGGCCATCTCCGTTTTGCAATGAACCCATTATTGATGTAGTGTGGTAGTTAATGATTGCAGTTTGGATTGCCAGAGGGTGAGATACAGGGTAAAGATGTAGAATTCTGAAGGTTTGATCACTGTAGATGAACCAGTCTGACTGTTTGCGCCACGATCGTCTTTCTTTGTTCTCATCATATGGAAGGGAGATAATACTTATCCCAATCATCACGCGTGTATTACTTACCATTTTGCTTTGTAATGGCACGTGCCCAGCGGGTACTGCCGGCCATTGAGTTTACGCCGCTTTGCCCGGATGCGTACGGCAGTCCGCAGGGCGCACTGGGTCAAAATTCAAACATTGCCTAATTAGGATGCATAAACGAGATAAGCATATACTACCTGTATAGATAGTTAAGCTTCTTATCTTTACTATGTAATTATTATAAATTTAAGCAAATTCTATATTTCGTATACGTATATATATAGAGTTTTACGAGACCGTATAGGAGTATATTCTTAATTCTTAATAATAATATTTACTATATTTTATACGAATATGTTTTTAAGGTGCCTTAAGCAGGCTAACCTAGACTATTTTTTAATAAAACTATTATAGAAGTAGAAGACGTATGTATTTTGTTTAATCGATTTATCCTAATGTTACGGTCAGCTATCCGACAGTAGGGTCTGCTAACAGAAGTTGGGGATTGACGCTAGTAAATAGTATTGTCGTATCGTAAGTCTGGTTCGTAGGTCGTAGGCTGTGTCGTAGATCGGTAGTCAGAGGCTAAGGTGATTAATCTTAGGCTTAACAAGTATTCGTAGTAAAGGTAAGCTAAAAGTATCCTAAGGATAAATATAAAGTTAATTGCTAAAAAGCTATAGAAGTCTGACTATAAGTCGAGCTTA